TTAAAATAGGATTCACTCTGTAATTTAAAGCAAATGTAAGTTAATGATATTTAAACAATTACTTAGTTACAGTTGTATGCAAAGGTTTTAATACCCTTTGTACAATTACATCTTCCTGATTTTCTAAGTGAAAAGAAGTTAACACATCCTCTACAGGGATCAAAGCACTCCTAGTGGTTTTGCTGGTTTTTGCGATTCAGAGCTAATTCTTCTTTTCACATAAACGAATTGCTGTGTAATGTTATTTTCATGCTAAAAGTTAGGTTTGAATACAGCTTTGAAAGTTTTATGATTTTAACCTTGATGGTCTTTTATGTTTGAGTTCAGCATGTATCAACATGATTGAAATAAATGGTCGATTGTGGCTAGCCTCTGAAAAGCTTCTGATAGGACTGGCATCATTCTCTACATGGGTGATTCTGGTCATTCTGAAGCCAACTGTTTGATATTTACTATAGTAATCCACTAATTATTATGCTTTTATACCATTGTATCTATAGTGCTCTCTTCTACCTAGTGCTAGCAGTGAAGCCCCGAAGTTAATCCAGCTAAACTGTTTTGAATATTAAATAACGTTACACTCTTACTGCCTTTTTTGTTTAATAAGAACACATCCATTCATGACACACCATTTGAGTTCTCATCAATTTTCAGTATTCAAAATGTTTCAATTTTAGTAATTTTATTTACGTTAAGGATTTAATTACATTTACCTAATTGAGAAAATTGAAGTTGCCCTAACTGAATATATTTGTGCCATCTTTCAATAATTTGATTATGGTATTAAAATATATAATATGTAACTGTAACTTACAACAAACTTCTGACTTGTGATTTTATTATCTTTAAAAATTAAGGCAACTGACTTGCTTAAAGTTCTTGAGTTCTCCTAATTTATTTGGGTTTACAATGTATAATACTCCTGTAGGACTATTGTACAGTTATCTAAAATACATGTGTAATATCCAATATTAAACTATGGTAAGTGTCCCAATTTGTTGTAATATTATTGCAGGAATCCTGTAGAAGTCCCTGCAGAACTACTATAGATAATTTTCATAAGAAAATACTACAGTAATACAGCACATCACCTTGTTTTAAAAGTTCTCCCACAGTGTACAGTAAAGTTCACCATGGGCCGCTCAGAGCAGGCACGGCACGAGGCACAGCAAGTAGCAGCGTACGCTCATAACATCCCGTGACTTCCACACTTGGTCATGTCTGTCCTCACCACTCACTCTGAGTCCAAAGGGGGGCCCAATATCAGACAACAGTATCTCCACATCTTCACATTTTCTTAACACTTTAATTACATGGCCGTATATTGCCTCTAGGCCTTATGGAAAGCAGATATTGAGAGCAGATAAGATGGAGAAACTTCTGTCAGCAGCCCAGCATATTAGAAACGCAACGGAGCCCATTATCTCCTTTCTGACCGACAATTAAGCGTACTGCTGTATCAAAATACATACAGTCAGATGCATGGAGCTTAGAGTTAAAAAAAAAATGTTTTTCAGGCCAGGGAGAACTTTTATTAAAAATGTATTACTTCCCCTCTCATTTGTTGTGCTGGCCGCAGGAATGAAAAGTCATTTCCATGAAAAGATCCAATGAAAACACAGATGAAGGGCTCAGGAAAATAGGGCCTGAGAATGAGCAGTGGTCAGCTAGCCTGGCCTGGCTTCAAGCCTTTTATTTGTTTACTTATGCCTGAATACCAATAGAGAAAAAAACAGTTCCTTCAGGAAAAAATAAACAAAAAAGAAAACATGTCTGATTCACATGAGAACATTCTGTATGTTCCTCAGTATAGACTGGAGTAAAAAAAAGGGAAATGGCGTCGACAGAAAAGGGGAAAGTCTTGGTGCTGTATGAGAAAAGCATTACAATGTGCAACCATATAAAGTCCTTGCTGAGTACATCACAGTTCTGATAACAGCAAGAGCTTTAATGGGACCATCAGCTTGGAACACTGTAAATCAATCTCACAGAGATGTTCACTAGATGATGTATGAAAAAGTGTGTAATCTCACAAGAGCATCTTCTATCTCGAAAACAACTTTTTAAGAACGTACAAAAAGAAAAGTCATTGTACTGTTTTGATCTCGTTGTCACAAACCATCAAAGTACTTCCTGCCCAAAGCTGCTCAAAACTGATATAGGAGGTTGACAGCAAAGATATCGTAAACAAATATCCATCCAGAACATCGTAGACATTGTTTTTTTTCTCATGGAAACTTTTTGAAGTTCTCACCTTATATGCCAAGCCTATTCAAATGCTTTATGAAAAACAAACACCTCAAATAATCTGTTATTTATTTGAGATTCTGTTTTATCACTTGTACACAAATTTACAAACAAATAAATCAAATAATCCAGTTTTTCATAAATCATTTGAGAAAAGCCGATCAACAGTTTTGGCCATGCACAGCAGCTGAGCAGTAGAAATGGAGCAAGAGAGAGAGAAGCAGTTTTTCAAGAAGCAGAGTGGGAGAGGTCACTTTGAGGAACTGGACACAGGCTCATGCCAAGCACTGCTCCCTCTCCCTCTGTCTCTCTCCCTCCCTGTCGCCTAATCCTCCGGCAGACTGGCCGGTGCTGGGGCCAGTTGTCTGGGGCGGGTCAGTTACCCACTATCACAAGGCTTTAATCTGAGCGGCCTGCCCGCGCGCCGCCTCCCCTAAACACACTGGCGGCCCGGTGCCAGCGGAGGAGTGGCAGGCACTGCCATCCCTGAGAGAGACAGCTAGAGGTTGTCTGTACATGGATGGGCACTTCACAGCTCGGCAGGGGACGGAGGAAGGGGCATCGCAGCAGCTGCTCAGGGCATATGGGCAGAATTCATTAAAGGTGGCTAAATAAGCCAACGTGGAGAGAAAGAGTGAAACAGAGTTAGAGAGAGAGAGATTGGGGCGGAAGGCTGAAAAAAAAAAGCAGAATGTGTCGGCTTTTATTATTTATTTATTTATTTCGCACCTGACATGCAGCTTGGACAGAATTGGAGATGGAGTTAAAGATTTTTCACAATTATGCCCAATTACAGTCTCGGAGCATAAGCTTTCTATTTAAAACTCATAAAGCTTGACATCACTTTGGCCCAGTGCTGCATTCTGAAACACTGCGTACTCCGTGTAATTAACGCAAACTCCGTTTTCTCTCTCTCTCCTCTTAATGCCAATGTCCCTTATCAACTCAACTCAATTCTACTTACATATATGAGGTTTTGTACAACAGGTGTTGTCACAGAAATTTAAAAGATTATATCTTTACATTAAACAATATATTTACAGTTTACAGTCATTTTTACAGTCTAAAGTCACTGAATGCAGCTTCAAGATAAGACACTACAAATTAGTAGGGTCATTTTTTAACAAAAAATATCACAACCAATAATATTAAATATCACAATGAATCTTTGCCAGCTAATTACTGATATTCAAGTATTACATGTACTGCAAAACAATACATTTAGTTATGCCGATGAGATTTACTTAAATGTGCATAAATTTGTACATATTTTAAAACAAAAAAAATCACAAAAATAATTCTTGGAATCTGGAACCTGGAGTTTTATTGTTTAATCAAGAAAACACTATGTACTGTTACAATAAAATGCTTTTCAGGTAATTTTGTGCTACATAATCTAGCATAAATGTAGCTATTACCCTACATTATTCCGTTATACCCTTCAAAATAGGGTTAGTATTGAACACGAAAAATTTCTTCAGTGCAGGTAGTCTAGAAACTGAGATTATTTGTTCTGAATGTAAAGACAATCTGATTTGGAGAAAAAATAATTTAAGAATGTACTTCAAAAAAGCATCACACAGACCCATCTAACTGTAGGTCTCAGAAAACATGCATATGTCTAAAATATGTCTATTTCCTTTGTAGTAATGACAGCATTCCCACAAATGCTGTCATTACTACAAAGGAAATAGACATATTTTGGATATTCTAGTCAGATTGCACAGGAATTTTTTTTTAGTGATGAAGGACAAGCATGGGTGGAGCTAAATCTTCATTAAAGTTAACTAAAGAAGCTGAAATATACAAATAACCAAACATAATAACAAAAATAACAATAATTCTGTTTTGACACTTTTATCATTACAGTACAAGAGAACAGGGAAGAGAGGGCAAATTCTTAACATCTAATGCAAGTTAAGGAAAATAAAAAGATTTTATTCCAAGTAATTGTGGAGTATTTCTATTGCTTCATCCAGCATGAACTTTGAACACAGCGTTAAGAACAGGTGCTGTGTTCAAATGATGTGCAAAAATAAAAATCCAATAAATAAATAAACAAAACACGGAGATACCTGTTTTTTTGTTTTGTTTTTTTACAGATATGGTATAAAACTAATGATTGACTGGACTGACTGGTCATTTCTGCCTGTAGTGTCTTGCCTTAATGACACAAGATAGTGTGCTTTGTTATTTTAGGGCTACTTTTTTGTCTTTGGTCCCATTTGAGAATTCAGGCACAGCTGGCTGGACACTGAATTCACAAATGTGAAACATTACACTAATGTGTAAAAAAATGTCATTACCTAAGTCTTGTGTTTAAAAGAAGCACTGACTTTTTATACTTTCTTTTGTTTTTGTTAGTCTCCATGAATAAACTGTGATGCCAAAAGAAGTTAAACATCATCTAATCACTTAACCTTTCATAATTAGAGTGTGATTTTTAGGCCCAATACAAACATTTAATTATGTTAATCCCACTGATGTCAATAGGATCCTAGCTCAATGTGGTTGAGATAATTGTGCAAAAAAAAGGAAGCTTTGGAGAACAGCAGAAAGATCGAGTCGATGGTGCAGTCAATAATGATAAGGTTGTGTTGTTCTGATGGGTAAAGTTCATTTTAAACCAATCAACTTAAACCAATCAGCTTACCTGCTCATTAACCTTGGACTTGATCTCACAAATTCTCTTTAGACAGTATGAATGACACGAAAGGTCTTGTGATGACTGAGAAAGTTTAGGAAGAAAGTAGTTCAGGGTTTCGGCCTTTTAATGAGAAGGTTGCATCAAAGTATCAAGACATGCCACAAAAAGGACAATTAATCAAGTCAAAAATTCAATATGAACAATAATACGATGAATCCAAATATACAGGTGTAACTCAGACGTGCACCCAGCTGGGCACAAGAAGAGGCTCACTAGAGTGTAACGAACGACACTGGCCTTTCACTGAAAGTCATCTATCCTCAGGCCACAGGAAGAGGAGACTGCTCCTCTCTCTCTCCTTGATCCCATTCCGTCTGCAGCTCGGACGACACCTCCGTAAATAGATGATCCCAGTCCCAGCCAACATCCTCCTGCAGACAGAGCAAGAGAGGTAAAGAGAAAGCCAGGAGTAATGGTGATGAAATGAATAGGGAAGAATAAGATAAAGAGACAGAGCAAGGACAAGAGCACAAGAAAGACAAGAAAGGGGGCAGGAGCAAAAAGAAGGGATGAGCGAAGCACTCATAAAACAAGACGCAAAATAGAGACAAAGGCAGAGAAAGCGAGAGAGATGGAGAGCTGTAGCGAAGACTTCATAAATCTTACATTCATCAGAGACACAGCATTGCCCCCCTTTGGTGGCCCAGAAGCAGCTGGTCAGTTCTGGAGATAGACTGACCCTGCTGCTACCTCTAAAGCTCCACTCACCTCTCTCACCTCCTGCTCTGGAGCTAAAACCTTGGTGAGGAGCTTCAGGTCAATTTCGCCATCCTGAACAAAAACACAGGCTATGCATTACCCACACGATTCTCCCATGCTTAGAGACAGCTTTTAGGCCTCCAGGCAGTGTGGAATAAAGGTGGGTCCTAGGCTGCTTCGACTGTGACCACTTCAACTGTGGGTTTGTATTGTAACTAGCGACCTCAGCTGCACTACTAAAAAGCATTGAATCAGTGTGAGCAGCTGATTGGATCCTCTTGTCTTACCAGAGTTTGGAACGCAGAGTACTTCATAAGATCATTATCCAGGTCCCTGTAGGTCATCACTCTGTTCACCTGGATGCTGAAAGAAAGCAGTTCACATAAAAATATGAAAATAACTTGAAAAGCATTCAACCATTTCAGTTAACCATCCATGACTCACCAGAAGCTTAACGAATCACAAGCAAGAAACAAAAACTGCCTAGACAGTTTCTAACATTTCAGCACTAATAATCATACTACTACAAATAACTGAATCTGGGATTATGAACAAATCATAGCTGCAATATAATGTCTGCACTATGCAACAAATTGCACATCGATGAATAGCCTGAAAAGTATGTCCAAAAACAAATACACCATGAACAATGACTTGATTATGAAGTGCTGGGGCACACGGAAACAAACGCCAAGTAGAAGTCAGTCTCTAAATTGAAAGCCAGCTGCTTATCTGCAATTTGTGAATTAAAATGAGGGGGAGTCTGTAAAAGTAGCCAGGGCCTAGTAGTGCATGCCAGTCCTACTTAAGCCACATTACACGCTACATTGCCCCTGCGATGAGTTCAGTGTGGACATTATCTCCCACACGGCACACAGAGGGAGCCAAAGGGGACAGGGCACCCACATTAACAACCTGGGCCACTGTGATGGACCCCCAACACACGTGACATGGGGCTAACTACTTGACTTAATCATCACAACTCTTGTTAACATTAGCCACACGCTAACTTCAATAAGAGGATGAACTCTGTGTCTCAAATATCTAAAGATCTTTTTCAGATGAGGGGATCATGATTATTAGATTGACTAGTGTTACAGATGAAGTGTAATCTTTCCCTGCTTTCTGCGATCTCTTATCTGTGGTGCTGTAGTTCAAACTGCAACACGAATAATGCACAAACAGCTTCACTCACTGTTATTAACTGAATATTTGCACTTTAAAGGCCAATTCTCCATCTTTTTCCTGCTTCATTATAAGAAATCTCATTCTAAATTGAAACATTACCTTTTTTGCTTTTATGTTATTGTATGATTTTATTTCCATATTATTTTTAATATCTTTCATTGTTTTACAACCCTCTGTGAAGCACTCTGAACTGCATTACATGTATCAAAGGTGCTACACAAGTAATGCTTATTAATGTATTGTTATGAAATAGAAAGCTCTTTAGATTTTTTTCCTTGCAAAAACTGAAGGAACAACTAATGATGATAGTTAACTTTATTTATATAGCACCATTAATACCTTTAAAAGGCAGCTTAAAGCACTTTACAGAGCTATGTAATAAAAAATTAAAATATTAAAACAAGCATCAAACAAAAGCAGTGACAGAAAAAGAAAAGTAGTGCCAGTAAAAGTAAGAAAATAATAAAAGCTAGTGAAATGCTAAAGTGAAGAAATATGTTTTTAGCTGTTTTTTTTTTTTTTTAAATATAAATCAGTGTTAGGTGGAGCCTGATGAATGTTTATTGGTAATGTGTTCCAGATCTTGGAACACTTGGACCTTTTGGTGCTTAAAAACAAAAGGCTGCTTCACCACTCTTTTTAAGTTTCATCTGTAGAATATGAAAAAAAAAACTTAAAAGAATGCATAGTTTTCCCAAACTTTTGATGGACAGCGTACATCATTTTAAACCTGAGAAACAGCCAAAAGTCATTAATCATCTCAAAGGCAGAATCGAAATACAAATATGCAGAGTGGGTTAAACTACAATCACATGCAAAGGTTTGGGCGCCCTGGTCAAATCACGTTTTGTTTATTTTCTAAGAGAAAAATTACACATTTCTGCATTTTTTGATGCACAATCATTGTTTTACATATTAGGAAAAAGGCAGCCTATGCAAAAGACATGTTATATTTTATGTCTTATTTTTTCCTATATGTTAAACTCAGCAAATTATTGTTAATTGTGAACTAAAATTTGAAGTAAAAAATTGCTGTATTTAAGGATGTTCTCTGTAGATGATGTATTAACTTGTTTTCACTTAGAAAATCAACAAAATATGGCATTTGACCAGGGGTGTTCAAACTTTTTCATACTGTATACTGGGCATGGTAGCCTATTTCAGCAATATTTTTGCCATATCAGAACTAACTGGAAGTCAAAGCTGTAGTGTACCTTGGAGGTGCGGCCACCTGCATAGTGAGGTCTTCTTCTTGCACCTCATCCAGATCAGGAATCACAGGAATGTCTAAAAACAATGCAGAGAGCAACAATAACACACACTCATTCTGTTGAGAACAATTTACAGTACTATTTGGTTAGAGTTTTGAATAAAAGCACTGGACAACATGATGTTGGTAACATCACTGTGGGTAAGAAACAGACCAGCAGTTGGCACAGATCACAGTTTGAGTGGGAGAAAAGGGAAAAGGAGGGCTGAAGAATTATAAGCATCTTTTTTTAACTGAACACAAACACTTTAAACTTTTCAAAAAAAAAACACTGAAGCTTTGGGAACACGCAAGGCCATATGCTGCTTGCTACTGCTGGGTGTTAGTGAAAGCTGCAACATATCTCACATCCCTCGAATCAGAAGGCTTCACAGATGCCGTCTGTCTCCTCTGTTCATTTTTGTTTACGTTGTGTGTGAATTGGTGTTTGATTCCCACCCTCCCTCTCTTGCTCCTTCTCATCATCAACTCTCTCTCTCTCGCTCTCTTCTATCCTCTTCCGTGCTGCCCCCTGTCACAGTGACCAGGCGGCCATGAATATTCAGTGAGCGAGGCGGCATCTCTTCCTGCTGCGAGGCAGGGCTCTGGCCAGGGGCTCCCCGGAAAGCGCACCCCCCCAACCCCTGTGCACCCCCCACCACCCACGCACTCCACCTTACCCCCCACTACCCAAGCATTTGGGCCTTGTCAGCAGAGGCTACCCTAAGGACCCTTCGGGCTGGAAAGGCGACCTCCGTGTCCATTCGGGCTGGGCCGGGCTCCAGGCGTGCAGGCCCATCTGTGTGGGGTCGGAAGTCACGGCGCGCCCTGGCAGGAGCCACAGTGCCATGAGCCGCCTGCCCGCCGCTCAAAACAGTGGGAACCCACTTTAATTGGCAAAACTCAACAGGACAGAGCATGGCGTCACTCCCAAAGAAGGACGGGGCGAACTTTCACAGCCTCCCCCCCCTTTTTTTTTGGATGGACTTTTGTTGGAGTGAGTGTATGTTGGTGAGTGTGTTTGGAGTCAGTCATATAAACAACAGCGGTAGAGCATACAGTACAGTTCAGATATTTCTTTAGTTTTTTTTACTACAACATATCACTGCTGTCGGAACAAAACCTCACATCTCCATTTTTGTCATTTTTCTGTTTTTGACATAATTTGAAGATGTCTGTTGGCCTTTACATTGTGTGTAAATGTCAAGATGAAGGGGCCAAAGGAAATGGCCAAAATGACTTGGAAAAATTCTGGATCCATTGACTTACATTAAAAATAGAGTACCTTTTTTCCTTCTCCTGTAAAGTTACCATTTTGGAGATACAAGGTTTTTTTATGATAGCAGCGATAAATAATGCATATTCAATTTTGCATAGCAAAAAAAAACATCGTTCCCATTCTTCAAAGGTTTAATCACACAACTTTCAAGGATTTTAGATATTTTACTCTGTACAGTGCATAACATTATTAAAAGATTCATGGAGTTTAGAGAAATCTCTGTGCATAAAAGGCAAGGCTAAAAACACAGTTGAATATCCATGACCTTCAGTCTCGTAGACAACACTGCATTAAAATCCAGCACGCTTCTGTGATGGATTTCACCACATGGGTCCTGGAATACTTCAACAAACTGCTGTCAATAAACACCGTTGCTGCATTCACAAATAAGACTTTGCTATGCACAGCAGTAACCATATATCAACAAGATCCAGAAAAGTCACAGACTTCTCTGAAATGGACTTATGGACAGTGGAAATGTGTACTGTGGTCTGACGAGTCAACGTTTCAGACTGTTTATGGAAATACTGGATGTCGTGTCCGGGCCAAAGACCACTGTTAACACTGTTAACAAAATCCATGGTCTGTCGTGTGTGTGTGTGTGTATATATATATATATATATATATATATATATATATATATATATATATATATATATATATATATATATATATATATAGGCCTCGTAGCTGAAGTATAAAAGAAGAAAAAAAAATCACACCTAAATCACACGTAAACCTGAATCAACACATGTCTACAGTCTCCACACAATCATAAAGTACTGTTAAAAGAGAAGGTGATGTAACACAGTGGTACACATGCTCCTGTCTCAGCATTTTTGAAACGTAGCAGGCATCACATTTAAATGAGCATATATTTAACAAAAAAAGAAACAATTTAAATAGAATTTTCCAATCTCTGCTTTTCGTTTTTATTTGTGTTTCACATAATGTCCTAACTTTTTTGGAATTGAGGTTTGTAGCTTTAATAATGTGGACCTTATGAAAACAAAACACATGCACTAAGCTTTAAAGAAATCAGTCACAGTTCTTTCAGACGAAAAACAACTTTGTACTTTCACCTTCATGACACCACACGAGGGAAAATCAATTATCAGTGTGATCACCTGTAATCAACATGAATGTAATCAGTTAGACTGGTATTTTTGAATAACTTTAAAAAGCCAAGACACACTCTAGAAGTCTTTTTTCACTGTAAGGCTCAGGTCACAGCAACATGCCACACAATTCATGTTAAATTCCATCACCCTGACACTGATAACAAGCCCTCTTATCCCTCCATTGATAACTTCTTGCTTTTCTCTTATTTTTAATTAAGTCTAATTAAAAATGCCAGCCTCGTTTAGTCACTGACAAGATTCATCTGCGTTTCTGATATCCAAATAAATGCGGGCGCGCGCCAAGCGCTGCTTCATATTCATGAGGTCCTGGGTGACACTTTGTCCTCTCATTTCCAAAGCAGTGCGTTCAGCAGAATCCGTCCCCCCCGGACCCCCAATCAAATTTAATGGTCTTAGCGCAATGACATCAAAAAGCCTCTATGTCCAGCTCTTTGCAAATAGATTCCAGGCTTTTTTTCTCCTCCAGCCCTCTCCTCGTCTTAGCAAATAATGCACTATCAACACAATTCTATGAGAGTTCAATGTGAAACAGAGAGGGCTACGCTTTGTGTATGCAAACGTCATGACTAAGTAGCAAAGGCAAAACAACACCTTTATATGATGGTTCCAAAGCAGCCTATTATGAGAGGTCAAGAGGGAAGGAAGGGTCACTGAATACAAGCTAATATGATGAATCCATCAAAAAGCAAGGCTACATTTCACTGCAGTATCACAGCATTTAAGATCTGTTAATGTCCTACCCGAAAAGAAATGGAATACAAAATATGTGATTTTTCAAAGCTCAGTAACACCCAAAGGCCAGCCTGTGGAACTCACCGCCCACAAGGTAATCATTGTATGAGTTATATTGCCTGGGTTAGACCCTAAACCACCAGGGTCTCAGTGTATCTGACCATTTCATAGCGTGTGGGCAGTAGAGTGGTATTCGGGGGCTGAGGTTATGTGTTGGACTGCGTTGTTAAATTGACTGTTTCAAAACCATGTGCAAAACAATCACCAGGACTCAAAATGTATGTCAACGCCGGCTGCAACATAGTAAAAAATACTGATATAATAAAATGGCCTGTTAAAAGTACCATATCCAGCACAGGCTTTATTATTGCCTGTTTCCTTCAGTATTCGTACTGGTTCAAACTGCAGCCGGGAGGACCCATATCGAAATCAGCAACATTCAGGGCATGCCAGACTCAAATCATACTGGTGATGTCTGTGGTTAGATTTTTCCCCCAACACCAAATAATGCACTCTTCATAAAAATGCCAGCTTTGCAATTATGACACCCATCAAGAGACTCTTATCAACTGGAACATTTTACTGGTAGTTGCTATATAATAAACACAATATATGGTTTGTAGTATTTAAAGTGGTTCAAAAAGTCTAGACAGTTTTTCCCTGTAAATGGCTTTTTTTTTTAAATATCCCGTTTCTCCTACCTTACAGTACTATAAGTAAGACCACCCTTTATATATTACATTTCCAGTCAAAATAACAGGATGGAAGGACAGAAAAACACCTGTGGATCTTTTCAGACCTGTAGCAAGAGTGGAGTTTGATTTTCTCCTATCTCTCAAAGATGAAAGCTCTAAGTATTGTATATCTGATGGTGATAGTTTTGGTGGTGCATATGATTTTCAACAGATAACATTACGTTACACCATTTCTTGGTAACATATACTTATTTCACACATCCAACTTTGCCAGCACATCATCTGTGTACTTGCTGGATTGTTTCAGTACTTATGTTCATTTCTAATTTAAAGTGATTAAATCAAATGTCAGGGTTGATTAAGCAAAATATGCATGAACAGCAAAAACAGCTAAGAAAAATGTACATTAAAACCATCAAATGAAATAAATCTGTGGTGACCAGATTGAGTGATGTTTTGGGACTTTAATGTATTTAAACTTACTCTGAATGTATTTAAGATTTGCATACTTTACCACCATTGCCTTCAGAAAATGTGCAACCAGTGGCTTTGCTCTTCACCTCTCCTCTTTACTCTGGCAATTTCAACCCTTATTTCCCCTGCTGCTTGGTAGAAAAATGGAACAATTATTCCAGGCTGTGCTTTGCTGAAAGTCCTGACATATTTGTGCGGTGGAGCTCAGGGCTCCAGGGTGTGTGGGAGCAGCGTTCTCAGTGGAGAACCACTCCAGGCTGGGACTAGTGTAGTCCAACACACGCAAGAGAGCTGCCACTAACAAAATTACGAAGTGTGGAGGATATGGATATAACTTCACAGCTCAAGTAATACATATTAATAAGGCCCGAATGTTAAAAAGGCACCTGCCACAGACATCAAAAATATCATGTTTACTTCAAATAAGGTGTAGGTGTCACTCATTACCAGATATACTGGCAATTAATCACTCAGAGCTGTTTTGTCGATGGATGATGTACATAAATGAAATTCATAGGTCAATTATAGCCAGTTAGCACATTCAGTATAATCTTGGCCTACTGCACATTTCTGCACCTGCAATCAATTTGGCTACCACCCACTGCTCCTAGTTTTCTGTAATTGAGTATCATGCCCAAGCAGTAAGTGATTGTCAAAGTGGAGACTTCTTCAAATCTGTCTCCACTGAGGCAAGCTGAGCAGCCTCACTAGCAGGGCCATGGGGGGTACTCACCGCTCTCATCATCAGAGCCCTCGGGGGTCTGTGGTCTCAGCCGCCGGCTACACACAAACAGGAAGAGAGATGTCTGTTAAATTCAAGGTGATGTAATTGTTTCTTAAAAACCACCAAAACAAGTCTTGGAAAAGTCTTGTTGCTCAGGAGTAACATAAACCCATACTAATTTCTCCTGCTGTGAATATGTTTTGCATGGTTAACAGGAGCAGGTAAAGAGGTGGAAGAATGCAAAAAGCCAGCCATCTTGGCCCCCAACCTCAACTAAAGTGATGAGAACTCTACCATGATGTCTTTTAATCAGGCTAAGTGATTGTTCTTGGAACGCCAGGATTAGTTGCAACCAAGGACAATTTCCAGCCAGTGGTAATTTCCTCCTTTTAGCAACAAGCATAAACAAACACGTTCCCATTTGTATTAAAATTTCATTTGATTTAATCAGCAATGTGTAATAATAACAATAGAACTAGGATGAAAACAAGGGGAAAGGCATGGAACTTACTCCTCAACCTCCTCAGCACCTTGCCTTCTTCCAGATCTTTGGAGGGCAAAACAGAGAAAAGGTTAAAATAATCAAGCATACATTTTATGTGCAATAAATGCTTTTATTCAATGCTTTTTTCTTAATAATCAATGCACTTGTGGCTCTAACTAGGGATGCATTCTGTGTTTGAAGGAAACAGCACAATTTTATTATTTCCACTATTCTATAATGTACCAACGTAATTAATTATTTATCTTGATTTATTAACTTGATTTCTTATTTATTAATTATTTATTTAAACTATATCTTCATAAAACATTACTGTTAAGAGAACAATTATTTACACCACAGATGCATAAAAGAATAAAAAACAAGCAGCGCTTGACTTTGTCCTGTACTCTTCAAAGCAAGTCAGTGTCAGTAATACAGCTACAGTCAGGGCACAACTTGTTGATTAAGCAGATAAAACAAATCAGTGCTGTTCTGATTAATCATGTGCAATATAAATCCAAAGGTTTCTCTTAGAATGCAGTGCCCCCTACTGGGCAAAAAAACACAAGGCATTTAATACCAAACTGAAAAACAGCATGTCTGTTTACTTCAACACAAATTTATAGACTTTTGCCACATTTATAGACTTTTGCCACATGTCATTCTGTAGTAAAAGATTTTTTCTTTTTTTTTTTTGAACATTACAATGTTTATGTGTGCTGAACAGGTTCTCTAGATATACAGTAAACACAAAAAAGGCTGTTTTTAAGATATTAATAAATCTGTTCTGTAAAAACTGCTGTTTGTCAAACAAACTAAGTGCAAAATATAACATCTTTTGGGACAGAATCACCTCTAAAGTTGTACAGGATTAAAACGCCACGTAGAGACCATCAGCCATGTTCATTACACTACTGCACTACCGCAGTCACCATTTAGATAAATGTACTTATTTGTGCTCTACGGTTTTCATACTGTTGACCAAAAAATACAAGTTAAGAAAAAACATGGCATATTGAGAAAATAGAATCCATCAGATCCTCCTTATTTTGTTCTTATGATGAAGTGTGGCATTACAGTGAATTTTACTAAACAACAGCTGCATGCTGCTAAAGGTCTGCCTTCGTAATTTTGCTCTATACTGGACGGTAAAGCAGCAGTAGCTCACCTCACTGCCCTTCGAGTGTGTCCTGTCCTGCCGGAGCCACATTTAAGACACATTACGGGCCCCTTGATTAAGACTCATGTACGGTAAAGCGATAGACATGGTAAAACTGTCTGGAAAAAGTTGTTAGGGATAAAATATATTGTGACAACCTGGCTTCAAAGGTTCATCAATAAACTGACAGATCAGTTAGTGTCAATTAGGAGTGATAGATCGGCAAATCCTGGGATTTCTGCTGTGGGATTAGTGCGAGCAGGGCAGCGGTGATTGAGCATGAGGGGTGACATTGAGCGGAAAAAAGTCCTTGCCTGCTCTAGAGGGGACCATTAGTTACTTTGTTTCAGAGAGGAGGATCAATGCATTGTGAACCCCTTTAACACCTTGTATCGCAGTCTTTCCCTTTGCTCTCTCTTTCTCTCTCTCTCTACCCCAAACAGAGAAAATCAAGATAGGTTAGGCAGACACACAGAACCGACACCCTGACCTTTCTTGAGACAGATGTATAGAGCTTCTCTCTACTATTTGAACCAGTGACTCAGTAAACCATGCAAATGAATCCAATCGAGTTGGCTTGTTAACTTCAATGTGCCCGTATATGCATCTCCAGCTCTGGAGGAGAGAACTAATGAAGCAGCAGAGCACAGAATCAACTAGAACAAAAGACTTGTTCACAATGATAAGGTCTACACTGATATGAGGACTGTAGTTTATACAGAGTTTCTTTACATGAGTGCTGCTATTTTATTGAATTAAATTTTTTTCAAGTTCAAGTCAAATACTGAGCCACAGTGCATGTTTTTTTTGGTCAAAATGAGGGAATTAGTAATTGGTAAATAAAACAATTTAGTGGTTGCACTTTTTGTTTTCCACAAATTTCCACAGAGAACAGTGTCCTCCTGTGGCTGACATGGCCTACTGCTTTGCTCTGTGATTCGCTAAGCTTAACCACTTCAGTAAATCTCAAACCATCTTTGTAGACTCAATCACTGAACTGAGTTATTGAATATTTTTAACTAACTGAAAATAGTCTAGTTCTTTTACATATCCACTCTTTAGTTACTTGGGCTAAAACCCAACCAAATTTTTTGACACTGCATTCAGTTTCAAGATTGCAGTACCTCTTGGATAGCTCTGAAGTCATTGTTGGCTACTTTTGCTGGTTAGATCAGATGACTGAAAGTCAGTGAGTTCAGCCATTATCTTCTTGCGACACACAAAAATCAGCTCAGAGACGTATGTAGTATTTATTTTCATAAAGATAATTTACATGCTGCACTGCTTTCTCAAAATACTTGGTTGGATGGCAATTGTGTGTGACCTTAAACACACGTATACACCCATTTACTTACATTTCAGAACAAAACATCAGACACTAACCCTGTGAAACATCAAAGTAATATTTAGGGTTGGGCTTCCAGGGATGGTCAGGTTCAGGGTCAGAAGCAAAGAAATGGATTTACAATAACATTTTGAGTACTGTTTAGTTCTTACAAGAACTACAAGAAGTAATACAAGTGTATGTCTGATGTACAAAGATACTGTGTACATTTGCCTTGCATATAGAGACACAGCATAAAAATTTGTAGTATTTTATTCAGGGGAAATCTAGCTGTTGAAGCCAGCATGTATGTGGTAGATAAGGGCATTTAAATCTCCACACTTGCAGGATTACACTGTGTTCTACTAGAAAAGCTAAGGTGTAAATGCTAGGTGTCACTAATATAGGCTGGCTCCATGATGACAGGACATTTGTCTTGCACTGTGTTCTTGTGATGCATGAAGAATTTGACACGACATTCGTTTTTTTTGCAGTCATCTACAGCATACAGAGGTAGAGGTAGTTTGTCTGAACTCACTTGGCAGAACCCGATCCAGTGGTCTCCTCAGCCCAACCTCCCTGTCGGCGAGGTGGCTTTGGTGGGGGTCCCTAACACAAGAGAAGCAGTTATTGAGGCCCTGTTCAATTCACTCTATACTAGTACACTATTTCTACCTGAAATTGTCGCATAAAACTGATATTGAAAGTGGCACTTTTTTAACAATATAACAATTACCTGCATGATATTCAATTTCCATGCCAGATTCAATGTAGTTCTATGCCGTTTCATGTTTAAAAATGAATTAGCATTAATTCACCCAGATCAGAGCTGCTGAATCCTGATCCCGGAGATCTATGATGAGCCAAGTTTAGTTGCATCAGTAATCTAAGACAGATGTGGACCTACATTAGCTGCATAATGCGTTCTAGATAACAACTGCAGCTACTGTGTATGTGGCAACATATAACCAGTAGAGGGCACTGCCCTACGATTCCCTTTTAAAGTTCTCTAAAGCCCCACAGTAAATGTACAGCAACCAGACTAGGGCTTCTGCTTTGTTCACTGATTGCAACTTTCAGACCAGCAGCTGCAGACCAGTCAATAACTATTAATTATTAAAAATAAATTATTTCTACAATGATCAACATCAAATAACCAAAAGAAACAATAAATCAATTATGTTATATACATTTACAATGCTCTCTGTTATTATAGCATGTTCAGAAACAGTTCTGGGTATCCATGATACTGCTTTGACCATTCCTGATTCAATGTAATTACATGTTTTTAAATCATGTGGTTAAATCATGCAGGTTGGCGCATTCAGTCTGCAAATGTTGTTTATAACACAAGCTAAACTTTGTTGTTTGACAGTTCCACATCATTTAGATAAAACCTTTTGAAAGCCAATTTAAAGAGCATGAAATGAGTTCCAGAGACACATAATAATGACTGAGTCTAAAGGAAAGGTTCATCCCCCTCCAGAATTTCTTACCTGCAGCATATACAACTGACATGGACCAAGTCCTTCGCTGCTGCAAGTCTGAACATGCTGACTGTTTTGTGTTAAAGGAGTGATATAGATCTACAATGAAAACTCTGAGCTATATAGAAATAGATTAAAAACAGATGTAGATCAAATATATACAAATAGATCAGAACAAAATGTAGCCTGTTTTTCTTCATTACTAATAGGGGAATTACACCATTAAAAAACTGCATAATTAAATCATTAATCATCAAGATGCATACAAAGTTATTCATAGTGGCTTCATGTGAAATGCACTATTCTACACACTACACTCAAATGTTCTTTAGTAAAGCCAGTGGTTCTATTTGAAACCATGAGTTCCATATAAAACCGTTTCATGCTTAAATGATTCTTTGTATGGTGAAATGGCTCTTCAGATTGATGGAGAATGTGTTGTGCATGGTTGTATATAGAACCTTTTTGAAAATGGTTCTATATAGCACCAAAAGGGTTCTTCTATTGTTACAAGCTTGACATTTTCCAAAAGGTTCTATATAGAACTATAAACTACACATTCTCCATCAAGAACCTGAAGAACAATTTCACCATGCAAAGAACCATTTAAGCATGTAATGGTTCTAAATGGAACTATTTCCTTTACTAAAGAACCCTTAAAGAACCATCTTTTTTAAGTGTGTAGAGAAACGTACCGTGTCTGAATTGTTCACAGTGGTGATGATGGGAACCAGAGGTCTGACTCTGAAAGCTTCCTCACAGAAAACTATTCCATAAAATGGTAAATATGTTGCCTGATGCCTGAGACATTGTTTTACGATAGTTCTGTAATAAGATTTTGGCCTAAAACATATATATTTTGAATCCATTTGTGGTGGAGAGGCACATGCAAACCATTCTAAGGCAAAATAGTACCCAAAATAAACTTTTTTTCAGATTTAACACTATTTTACCATCATCAACTTTACATATAAAAACTCCAAAAACACATGTATGTTCACTGGTGGTGTTGGATAGCAAATTAAATGTTCCTATCACCACCGTCAGTAAGTTTCTCTACATCGAACCATTTCACATCAAACCACTCTGAATGACTGTTTACATCTCAACCCTTGTATTATGTACACATGTTGAAATCAGAGGAATTTCCCAATATATCTACATTATACAACATTGAGGACACTGGGAAAACCAGTAATATTTCTTATGATTCTACATTTAGAAAAATTTGCAATGCTCCTCTTTGGTCCTTGGAACTGAGTTACTGAAAACTGTAAGATTTCACATTCACTGCAGAAATTTCAAAAATGTACTCCTTATCAGCTATGCAGATGTTTTTGTCAAAACAAAATATATTTCAGTATTATTTCAGTTTCAGCATGTTAAAGATAATGAACCGCGCGCTCTGTGGAATGACCATATATGGCACGATTCTGATGTAAGCTCCCATTCATCATACGCATTACAGCATGGTGAGAACCACAGTTTGCACCATAAAAGTCACCTCTGCTAATTTTCTCACCACTTGCTAATTTTCTGAAATACGGAAAAAGATCAAGGCTATAGTAAAAAAGTGATTTATCAAACAAGACATTATAAAATTCATATTACATCAACACAATTTTGATGAAATATGACTCTGACTAAGGTGTTTCACTATAAAGATGTCTTCCGTACGACACCCTCAACCAGGCAGGAGCACACTACACACCAGTAAAAATAACTGTATTTCATCAGTGTAAGTACAATTAAATCAATGAGCTCATCAGCTTAACATAGTTCAAGCAAGTACCTGATCTATAAAATGATAAGGTGCTTTAAAAATGTTTACTTTACACTTTTACTCATTGTATACAGAAAACTTTAAAAAACCTAACCACACAAAGTGGTTTGACTGAAGTTTATTGCTTAATTTCTGCTATTGTTTTGCCTTTAAACATAGCCACAGACCTAAAAGAGCCATATAATTAGGTTACCTAAACACACTTAATTAGCATAGGGTTGCATGACTCACACTCCCTGACATAATTAGCAACTATTCACATACGTCTGATGGGTTTCAGTGGCAGTGGACCTGCTGCTGTCTGAGAGTTTGGAGGGTGCTGGAGCATGAGCAGCATAAAGAACAGCAGAGTGTGGGAACTGCACAGAGGCCTAGAGGGCTGCCCAGGCATGACCCAAAATAGCTCCAGGAAAAAAAATAGCCTTTTACTCTCTCATTCTCATTCTTAGATTCTGAAAATAGCCAAGAAAATAGTCAATTGGGCTAAGATTAAGTACGTCAAACAGAAAAAAAATAGAGGACCAACTTCTGAATGATGGAACAGTCCATAGTGAGAGGGAGGGCTGGCGGACAACCAATTGGTTTGAAAAATGCACAGCATTTCTCATTACCAAATTGGGGCTGCAAATGACACTGAACCCTCAAGGAATTTCTTTACTGTTTAGGTTTAAGAGTTCTTACATTAACTGTTGCAATATTTAGCAAAAAGTTACTTCAGGCACTCTAATGTGGAGCTACTGTTTCTATTGCTTCTTAGTGTAGCATGTCGCTATTGCTATGATCAATTATTAGACGTATTCTAATTACCACTATCTATTAATTAAGCATGAAAAAGGCAAACCAGTGTTCCAGTTAAATTTAGTTACACTTTCCAATAAGACACATGTAAGTCGCCTAAAACACCTGAAATAAAACATGCCAAAGGAAAACATCATTATTTATACTCCCATTAAAACTGCACTTAAATGCAAAGCTGTTTTACAATGTGGGTGGTATTCTTAGATGTGAACACAGCCCTACCATTGTCTGTCCCACCAAATCAAGCCATTCTTGGCTTCACTGAATGTCAAAAATGTGACCTATTTAATACAGAATGTATTTTTAGAACTGAGCACAATTTAAAACTGACTATCTATAAACTGGTCCAGTCATATGACACTTCAAAAAATGTATTTCATGTAGCTGGGAGGTTGCAGAGGGCGCGAGAATCCTGTTTTTTCATCAGGAAAGTTAGGCTAATTTAAGAAGTTTACTGGGAAAAAAAAAGAAAAATAACATTGCTAGAATTCCTAGTGGTGAAGTTTTGACCCGTGTACAGCTCTCACCAGTCATGGGGACAAACCAAGACCTCCATACTGCAGATGCCAATGTGCTGGTGTAAGACTGCTGTAAAACCTGAACTACGAAGAACTTAATGCTACTTGACGCACTTATGAGTAGCAATGGCCTGTGTAGGCTAGCTGACAGCAGGCCTACACTGAGTGCTGCAGCATCCTTATTTTTGACATAAATGCTAATAACTGTAGCAATGCTACAATTTAATAATTCTGCTAATTATGTTTGCATTTGCAAATTCAGCTCTTTATTCATCATAAAGTAAACTTTGACCTAAAAAAATGTGTAGGCACACTACAAAAAAAAAGTTATGTAGCCCAAAGCACAAAGTAACTTTATACCAAGTGATTTTTAGAGCCATTGTTTTTGCATCATTAAGGTTTACATTTGATTGAGCTTTTTTTCTTATTATCTAATTAACTGATAACACAAGGTATAAAATTACAGAGCAATATTCACAACAAAGCACTCCAAACAAAGCCATGCGTTTACTACTGTACCGTATCGTCCTCCTCCTTTGGTTCATGCACAGGAATTCAGTAAGATGCAAACACACCAGCATGATTAGGCTTTTCAATGACCATTGTCATGAATGAAGATGAATTTGAAATGGAAGATCTAATATGGTAAATTCAGGACTGAGGTTACCTCTCCAGTCGTGGAGGTCCCGGAGGAGGAAGCTTTGCGCCCGGGCCGCGACTCTTCTGTGCCCATCATGTCGGCTGCCTGGCGAGCTCTTCTGCCAGATTTAACAACCTGGTGATAAAGATATCCAGACTTTTGAATAAAATTAATCCATTAATGTCCACATCTAAATATTCATATAATTTCATGTGTTCTCTGAGCTTGCCTGAGTACAAATCTGAAGAACATTTTCAAAATTTCAAAAGTCTGGGGAAAACTTATGTCTAAAATACTTTTATTACTTAATGTATTATGTTAAATCCAGTCTTTCGGTCACTTTTTGGGACTACTGATACTGAAACAATACAAAATCCAAATCCAAATTTGATTGTGAATAAAAGTATGAAAATTAAGTGCAACAAAAAAGTCTAACTGGTACTGTTAGATGTTCATCCATGGTATAACTACACAAAATTTCATCACTGCAGACTAGAGGTGCACAGTCCTGACCTTCTGGGGCATCTGAGTATTAATTAGAGACAGATGTGCTGGACCTGAACACTCCAGGGCGGTAGATGTCCAGGACCAGGACTGGGTATCCTTGCTTTAGACTAATCAGAACAACTTCTGTGGTATTTTCCTTATCATAATTAATGTTATTAAAACAAGCATGGGTTAAACAAGCATTCTACTCGGTAAAAAAGAAAGAAAACGATAAATAGCTAAGTGTTGAGAATCATTTTCAGTACCGCTTTCTTTTGGTGACAGTTTACTGTCGCTAGGACAACCGTTTGCTGTTGTTAGGGCAACTGACGCTTCCGTTCTAAACGGGCGATGGCAAACAATAAAGAGCTAGCTAACGTTAGTTGCATAGGCTTGCGGGCTGCAGTCGAAATTCAGCAAAAGCAAGCAAGCTCATCTTTCACATTTAGCTAGCTAGCTTAGCTAACCTAGCTATTGTCACAATTTTGAGCTGGATAGCCTAGCTAGCAGAGATGAAGTCAGTGGGCTAATTATTAACGGCACTTTTCTATATTTTCAGGTAACTTAACATTATACATCATACTGTACAACGAAGCTAAAGTTGGCTTCCTGTTCGACAGCTTCTTGTTCGAATTTTCCCGTTCCACCCTAAATGGTGCAGCAGTTATATTCTGGCGCCTCAGAAAGAAACTGACTTCAGCTTCGTCTGAACAGTAATAGTAAGAGGTTTAGCCGCCCGTGAATCTGAACGAAAAGAGTGTAATTTCCTCCTCAGTTTTGGGCTGAAGTCGCTGAGTGTTGTGTTTCACAGAGAAATATCCACAGTGAAAGGAGCCGCTACAGAAGCGGTGTGCTAACAATAGCAGCCTGTGGTATGAAAACACGAAAATAAAGTCATTAAACGTTCCCTTTGCGTGCATACAGTCACTCTGTGTCGTTTAAGGTGACTATAACCTACATTTTTCGGGAATCCGTTGTCTCCCAGCTGCAGCGACTCGTCCATGCCTACTTGTTTGTTTGTAAGAAACTGCGAGTCCAGCGCAGCTTCCCGTTATTCCGCACTCTTTACTTCCTGGAGACGAGAAAGCGTCACGCAGCAATCGTCGCCATGGTGATGACAATGGCGCACTAAATTGGATTGAGATTGCAGTGGATACATATGGATATATCCAATGAATATATACAGTACTGTGCAAAATTTGTTGTATAGTGTCTCTGAAAAGTGTGAAAAACAAGAAAGCCCAAATACTGTTAACTTTAGTTGACCAAATTTTGTTGATTGATGAAGACAATCATTAAGCTGCCTTTTACTTACTTACTTACTAACTTACTTATTTATTTCCCTCTTAACTGTTGTTTTACTGATCTTTCAGTGTTCTGTTGTTTGCAATGTATGCTTTGTTGTGGCAGCCCAGTATTACTTGTACTTACCATCGTTCTAACCATAGTTATCTTTTCTGAATGTTCAGCCTGTATGTAAGCTCACTGTCTTTTTGTTTGCATGTGTGTTTTTAGGCTATTATATGCATCACATGCATATTTTCCTCTGCTTTAATGACACTGTTTGATTCCCGTGCTTGTCATGAATCGTAAAAGAAATTCAAGCAACTGCATAGTTATTATCGTTAATAATAGGGCTTAGAAATGATAAATTATGAACAGATCATTGCTTTCAAAGGAAAATATTATGAGCAATGATGTGACGTTAGCCATGAAAAATCTATCCAGAAAAGTGCGCTACACATCCACCGCACATGTAAAGGCATTTCATGCCCCTGGGGTCCATGTCCTTGTGGTAAAACTATTCAATGAGAACTAATTTAGGTTCATGGCATCCGATGGAAGTACAGAGTTTATTTTTGTTAGTCAATGGATAGTTGGTTGAGTGCCAGCAATCTGGGGTCTTTTATTGTTTACTAGAATATTGCCAGTGGATGTTGATTTAAGGGACTTGGTCTTCACCATATATAGAAATGTTGATTTGCAGCCTCCTACACCAGTTACTTCATGCCAGATAGAGCATGTAATGACCTATGCATGAAAATGCTGTTATTATTATCACAGCTGACTGCTGTACAGGTATTGGGGGAGAAGGACAGTATGAAAGATCTAAATCTCAGCTTTGTCATTGTCAGTCATGAATCAATCAAATGAGTGAACAAGTGGTGGACAGACATCATGTGTAGTCCCACATTCATGTGACTGCAATAATCTCCATGTGTTAAAAAAATCTATGATTTTATAATTATGACTTAGCATCTCATAATTATGACTTAGCATCTTTTAATGAGATTTAATCTCATAATAATCACTATGTCATAATTATGACTTGGTATCTAATAATTATGGCTTAGTATCTCATGATGAGATTCAGTCTCATAAGTATGACCTGATATCTCATAATTACGACTTAATATCTCATAATAATGACTTACTATGTCATGATAATGACTTACAATTTCAAAATTACGACCTACTCTCTCATAATTATTTGTTAGCATATCATTATTGTGACTTTTTCATAATTATGACTTGTTATCTCATAATTATGACTTAGTATCTCATAATTATGACTTACCTTCTCATAATTATGACTAACCTTCTTATAATTATGACTTTCTCATGAGAAAATTTTCTCATTATAATGAAATAGTAAATAATTATTATGAGATTTTAAGTCATAATTTTGAGAAAATTTCTGAAAAAAAATTGAATAAAACACTAATAACTTTCTCAGGTTGCTATTATGAGTCATAATAAATAACATGAGATAGAATCTCTTTATTATGAGATAGCAAGTCATAATTATAAGATGCTATGTCATAATTACGGAAAACTTTCTCAGTATGATGACTTACTAAATGGCTATATATTTTCTCCGTTGGCAGAAAGGGGCTTCCACACGGCTCTGTATGTTAGAGGTGGAGAATACATTTTGTTTGCATGTTCGTCTAAAGATCCACTAGGGGGCGCGCATGCATGTAAAAAGGTGGTGGCGTGCGTGCATGTATTTGTGTGTGCGTGAGAGAGAGAAAAGGAGAGAGAGAGAGAGAGAGAGAGAGAGAGAGAGAGAGAGAGAGAAAGAGAGAATTGAGATTTCTTCTGTATGCGTGGCGTGGACAGTTCTTTTAACCCATTTCTAGTCACCACTTTTTTGTTCTTGACTGAACCGCTAAAATAATAAGAGTTTTGCTGCCCTTTATCCAGGCTGTGGCTAAGAAGCTGCTCTTCTTTTGCCCCTCCTCCGTCCCGGGACGTCACGGGCCCCTTCCCTATAAAGAGCCGCGAGAGCCCCAAAGCTCATCTGCAGCGAGAAGAGGCGCGAGGGGACGAGGGTACAGAGTCCGTAACAGCAGCTGCTTTAAGGGAATATGCTGGTGGGACAGGAAGGCTTTGAAAAAATAAACTCTTTAGCGTAGCAGACACCCATGCATTAGCCATGTTATGGAATTCTCCAGGGATGCATTTTTGGAGTGCAGTGCATGGCTGCTGAGCTTAAGTTTACAGGATGGAGAAAACTCCCTCACGACTTGAACTCCAACCGACTGAGAGGATAATCTGGAATTTACTTTCATAGTTTTTTTTTTTCTTATTATTTTAAAATATTTTTGTCTAGATTTATTTAGAAGTATTTAATTTTTTTCATCAACTACAGCTCACCTTAAGTGAACTGGAACTCTCGTTGGTATTTGGACAAGTGAGGACACACGCACATACACACACGCACACGCACTCACACCCACACTCATACACACACACACACACACCACCATGCATCTAGGCAGAGCACTTTTGTTTTTCCTCCTCCTCCTAAACAGCGTGACCATGATTTTCTCGCTGTCTACTTGCACCACTGTGGACATTGACCACATCAAGAGGAAGCGAGTGGAGGCCATCCGGGGACAGATCCTGAGCAAACTGCGACTGACAAGTCCACCGCAAGCTCTAGGTCCCAATCAGGTCCCGTACCAGGTGTTGGCACTCTATAACAGCACTAAAGAGCTGATAGAGGAGCTGGGCAGGGACCGGCAGCAAAGCTGTGGCCAGGATAACACAGAGACTGAGTACTACGCTAAAGAGATACACAAATTCAACATGATCCAAGGACCACCTGAAAACAGTGAGTAACCATAAACAGCTGTTTGTTTTACTGGTTCAAGAGATTTTACTACCCTGTTTGATTTAAAGTCTTCCAGTGTGGGACAGTGACAGCCTATGATCTTACTAGGAATAACATAAGGCATATTGTTTTAGGCAACAGCTCTGGTTGATTTCTGTCATTAGATCACCACAGCTGGAAACACACCACACAGAGTAATAATGTCATTTAAACTGTGGTACTTTGTGATGGAAACTGATGTGTATGTATGAGAATGACCTTCAAATAACATTTTATTCTGGCATCACACAACTGAAGAGCACAATTGGAAAAATAAAACGGAGCACATTCAATAAGGGAGGTTATGTGTTTGTAGCCTACCTTCCCACTTTAAAGAGTTTAGGATGTTCTTTTGGCTATTAACTGCAGGCCAATGAAAGTTCAAGAGGGAGCTAAAATGGTAAACAGAGGACATGCCTTTATCAGATCGTTTATTACTCTCCATTTTAGCACGTTCACCTGAAGCTCAGTGGAAAATACCTCAGTGGATTTTTCCATGAGTCCACAGCAGGCCAGGCCTTGTGGTCCCATCCAAGTTCACACAGGCCCCAGATTTCAGGGGTCAGCTCTTGAAACTGCTGTGAAATAGAGGGGAAATAGTGATATGTCGGGCTAACGGCAGGACTTTCTCCACCATTTCACCCCCTCTTTAGAGGAATATTAGCACATGCACTGTCCTCAGCCGTGACTGGAGCGGTGTGGGAGCTCGCCAGTCCTTTCCTACTGAGCTAACGACCAGACTGTCTCAGGCAGCCTTTCCACTGGAACCATTTTAACGAGCCTTGCTTATACTGTCCACGGAACAAGTCGTCAGTGTTTTTCCCCCCTTGTCAGACGCCATAACCGCAGTTTATGTACATAATTGTCCTTTTACTCTTTGTCTGGAACCATGTGTTAATATCACGAATGCTTTATAGCAGCCTTTGTAAGTTTTGCACAGGCCTGTAAAGTGATGCTTTTGAGAGCCCATGCGTTCTCTTGTCATCTAGAGCCTCTCTTGATTAATAATGTACGTTTAACGTCAACCAGCTATCCCATCTATGGCTTAACTCTGCATTCTCCATTGCAGTGAAGTCTCAAGAGAACACAAGCTTTTTGGAAAGTGAAAGAATTGGACTTGGGCCTGTGCAGTGATGGAAGCAGGTCATTGCATCATGTAACTGTTTTTTCAAATCAACAGGTGTTTTATGCTAGAGAGACACTGAACAGACCGTCCTCTGGCTTCCAAACAAGCCACTGCGCCAAATGTGGATTTCAGGTCAACTAGAGTGCTTCTGACACTCAAAATATACACTCCCTCAGCTACTTTAGCTGCCATACTAAATATATGGCTTATGGTTGCCTCGTCATTTCAAAAAAGCAACTGGCCTGGGTGATCTTTTGGTTATCAAGCAAGCACCCTTTCAGCTTTCATTCCCAGCATATGCAGATATCAACACAAGAGGAAAGGATTTGCTCCCTCATCGGTAATGGTTTCCAGAGTCAAATAATTATGTTTATTTCTAATTTCCATTGTGTAATTTGACCATTAAGGGGGCCTGTTTTGCTAGAATGTGGTTGATGTCAGCATGGAGAAACCATGGAATGTATATTCACAGTCCACTCACACCAACTAAACTACTGACTTACGCATGAATTGCATTTCAGCTGTGTGTGGAATGTGCATGGAATCATTAGTTTTTCTCTTTTTTTAAACATTTTGTCCAAGCATTTATCCTTTTAGAGACTTTAGAGACCTCAACAGATCACGCTTCTAGTGATTTCTCCTCCTTTGTTTGTCTCCAAAAATAGCCAACCAGAGTAATATCACTTGAAAGCATTTTTGAAATACCAAGTTTGTTTGCCCATTGAGCAGGCCTGAATTTGGTGGGAAAAATGGACCGTTAGAACGTTCTCAGTCTCACACCTGCATTCCATAGCCTGTGCCGTGCTAGCTTTGCTTTGGTAAGCTGACTTTTGACCTCTGTGGCACATATCCCAAGAGATAGCAACCCAAGATCTGAACCCAAGAAAAGAAGCACAATCTAACTTCTGTTTTACCAACAGAAGTCAAGACGTTCTTCCACATAGATTTTGCAAGGGCCACATTAATTAACGTTAATTGAGATAGTTAGACGAATATGACCTGATCATGAGGATGGTTAATAGTATGTGGCATTAGGTAATCAGTGATTGAGCAGGCAGGGAGGGGAGGATGTGGACTCGAGCTGCAGACAGCACTGCTTCTGATATATGGAATAGTAAGAAGGTGATGTAATTTCCAAGCAAAACAGAGACCAAATTTTCTGGCCAATACTGGAGGGCCAGAGTCCTCCCCCTAACTCCACACACACACATGCACACACACACAGAGGAGATTTTTTCCTCCTCTTCATCCCTGATCAAGTGGAAAAAAGTCTTACTTCTGCAGCAAGCCTTAGCGCATTATCTCATCTAAGCGTAGTCAGCCTACAAGACTGTGTGAGTGTATGTGTGTGTCATGATTTATTCAAGAGCCGCCTCATTCAGAGTGCAGAGACACACAAGAGCTCTGTGTTGTAGTGGTGCTGCTTACTCTAAGACTTTAAATAGCCCAAAGAGTCATTCAGTCAAATGGTCACTTAACATAGGTCAACAACAAAGAGAATGTAAAAGAAATGCCTTTGAAATATCTACTGGGTGACCCAATTTCAAAGAAAGTGGAATCATTTGTAAGTAGATAATAATATTAAGTCATTTATGGCCCAAAATGAAGAAAATATAATAATTTATACAGCTAACAATACTGTGCAAAAGTCAGAGACCATCCTTCATTTATTTCATTTCCAGTTAAAATGGCCATTGAGTCCCAGTTATTCATTTTTCAGGGAGTATTTCTGATAAGATCAGGTATATGACAATTATACGCGTAAAGAAGAAAAAAAGAAAAAAAGACAAATGGAGTAAAGACAAGTGGAGTAAAATGTATTAAAAGATATTCTAACCTGGTAGGCCACTGACAGATAAACAGTTCTTTCATCTTTGAGAGAGAGGAGAAAATCAAGCCATGTTTGTTTCTGATCTGAAAAAAGTCCACAGGTGTTTCTGTCCATCCTTCTACTTTGAGAAGACAAAACAACAGTTAAGAGACCATTACTGGAAAAATGAAACAAAAAATAAGATAATTTCCTAATCAAACAGAGAAGCTTTTGGTGTTCTCAGAACAATGGACTGACCACTCCAGAGTCCAGACCTCAACATCATTAAATGCATTTGGGATTATTTGGATTGTGAGAAGCAGAAAATGCAACTAACTTCTAAGACTGAACTTTGGAGGTGTGGAAAAATATCCCTGCAGATTTCTTTGAAAAACTGAAAGCAATTGTCCTGAAAAGAATGGAAGCTGTAATAAAGGCAAATTGTGGACACATTAAATACTGCAAAAGGGATATTTTATTTAGTTGTTGAGGCTTCTGTGTTATTTGCTGTTAAATATATGTTTGCACTTTTTCTGACAATGAAAAATGAATAACTTGTACTTAATGGCAGTTTTGATTGAAAAATAAATGAGTGAAGGGTGGTCTCTGATCTTCGCACAGTTTGAACAAGAATTTCAATTCTTTGAATTTATTTCTTCCCATAGGAGAGGGACTAGAACATGAACCAGTGTTTTCTTAGGGCAGACTGATTGATAAAGAACTCTCTTTTGTACTTTTATAGTCTGAGAGTTGAAACCCTTTTTTAATCAAATTAAAGCTGATAAGAAATGAAATCAGAGGGGAAAAAAACACAGGTCTACATTGACTCACTCTGAACGTTGTTTCTTGTTAAACGCGGTCCAAATTCTTCCTCAGCAGCTGGCCGGCACGTGACCCTCTTTGCTCCTCTGTTCCATTTCCTGTGTTTACCTCCACTCTCTGACATCTCCAGCAGCCCTCTGGGCGCTGTGGCTGTCCTGACTGCAGAGATTACTTTTTCAGAAGTCTCTGTGTGATGTCACCTGTCGGAGGATGGAGGTACATCCCAGACACAGGAAGAGAGAATGGGGGTGCTGGGCCAGCAGTGTCTGGGACACAGCCTTTATAGGATGCTTAGGGAATGATGGAGGACTGTAGTTGCTGCTGTCCTTTCTCTGGAATTGTACGTTTTTTGAAGATGATCTCACCGATTACCTCAGAAGTTAGATATTATACTCACATACACCGTGTAAGAAACTGAAGTATTTTATTTGCCTAATTGAAAATGATATATTAGATACAAAGCAATGATATAAAATAATGTTTCTAAGAACAAACAAACTTTATAACACAAATTAAATATACTCTATATGTCTTCTATGATAATTAGGGTATAACCGATAATAGACCAACCAATATTTCTAATATGGAACTAGATTTTATGTTTTTTACCTGGATATTTTCATTCATGCTGACAAATGTTGAGGTCAGTCTCCTGCTGATGTAAGCATCTTGGTGCTGGCCTTCAACTCAGATGTGATAAAGGGGGTTGTAAATTATAATTTTGTATTTTACCCAATTATGCCAACAATCCCCCACACTCACAGTCATGGAACAAATGACCTACAGACTAATGCCTTGGCAAAATTAGGCCATAATGCGAAATCCACCTTAAACCATTGCAATGGGAAAAATGAGGTCATCCAAAAGGAAACCAAAGACTTGATTAGAATTTCAAATCTCCTCTCAAAGAGGGGCTTTCCACCTTCAGCAGGAGGACCACAGCACTGAAAGAGAACGATAGACAGTGCAGAGCAAGACTTTTGTAGATTCTCAGGCCTTGTGGAAAGTTACTGCGATATTTGACTGAACTTTGAAAAGGTTGTTTGGAAAAGGGACATGGAAAACACAGTTATTAGTCTAAGTGCCAGATCTGTAAACAGGTATTAAAGATCAGAAGCTTTATGAAGAATAGCATTCCAGGCCATCATGTTGTCATACAATTCTTTCTGTGTCCCTGTTAACTGCATCTAAATAGCTGATGACTTGGCTGTAAATCTGTGTTTCCATGTGGCTTATAAAATAGTAGCCATGTGCTTGTTTTGTTCGGCACTGCATGCACCCAGGCTATAAAAATAATAAGTGAATTGAGTTGCATTAGCGTCCAGAAAAAAGAAACGAATGCCTATCTGGAGTGCTTAAGAAACAGGTATACACAGGAATCTGTCCAGAACTGCACTGCACAGCAGTCCATTTGGCATAATCTGTTTATTACATAAATATAGCCTACCACATTTCTCATGCCATCCAACCAGCTAGGGATTTCATGGATTGCTAATGGACTGTGGTCTGTCATCAGCTTGCTCAGCTCTTAGAACTCATTTAAAGTAGTTTTACATGAAACAGTGGAACGATCTGATTATCTGAGAGGACACTGAATGCTGTTTGTATCGCTGTTCAAAGGCATGATTGCATATGTGGGCAGGTCTGGCATTAGAGCAAGCACAAATCACAGTTTTGCTAATCAGCTGACAGACATTCCTCCTAAAACACTCAAGCTTTGGGAGTTTACGGCTCAGAGGCACCTGTTCTGTAGTAGAGTGAGTGGGAGGAACCGCATTGGTATCCCAGGCCCTTTCAGCCTAGTTCACCAACCTTGCTTGGGACATTTGGTTTTCATTTTATGACTTCAACTTGTTGCTAACTTTTCCTCCGTAAAGCACAAACAGATGGGACGTGGCTTTGCCTGCACACTCTCCTCAAGCGAGTAATCACTTTCATTCACATCAGAGGGAGATTGCGATCTGAGAATCAAAATTGAATTTAGGCAGTGATGCTCCATAAAAATGGACTGGGAGAGACCTTTGCCCTCTTGCCTTGCAGATGACCTGCCCTACTGTCCCAAAGGAATAACATCCAAAGTGTTTCGCTTTAATGTTTCATCCATGGAGAAGAATTCCACCAACCTGTTCCGAGCAGAATTCCGCGCTCTGCGGGTGCCCAACTCCAGCGCCAAGAGGAACGAGCAGCGCATTGAGCTCTATCAGGTAGGCATGTTACTCTTTTGTGTAAGTGGTTTTTCATGACAAATACAGGACTTGGCTGAGTCACTAATGGATTTTAAGAGCTACTCTACAGTAAGTCTCAGGTTGTAACTACTGATGAGAAATACTGTAAAAGCAGTAATAGAGTTCACACTAAAGAAAAGACCCTAAAGTGGCAGAAGCAGATGCTAAAATACATTTAACCCCTTAAATTCAGGGTTAATTATTAATACACTTAATACACATTATCCAGTAGCTACTACACTACAACTAATGTGTAAGTTACATAGTTATATGAATGAGGAAAAGTAGATCCACATGCCTTAGTGTATAAGGCTAATAATACGGCTCCCAACAAGAGCAGCTTTTCAGGAATGATTTCTCAGAATCCTAGTATTTCTATAACTCACTTTCACATTATTCCTTAACCTCTTAAATTCCTAGGCTTATTACATACAAAGATTTATTTTTCAGGAGCTATCAGAATTTCAATGCAAACTAATGGAGCTGTTCTTAGGTCATAGAGGTGTGTTGGGCCTGCCGGTGGGCCCGTGGCTTGTTAAGGGGTTAAACATTTCAAATTCCCAGACTTACTATATTCTAATGCTTGTTATTCAGCTTTTACATTGAAAACAATGCACAGTGACAGAGAGTTAGCAGTGAGAAATTGAGTCCTGGACCCATCTGACTGAAGGTGTTAAATCAGAACTATGGGGAGAACCAGTGACCTAGAAGAATGCTACAGTTTTTGGCTTGAGCATTGAGCTAACAGACATTTCAAAGATGAATACAAAAGTTCTTTGTACCAACAGAACATTAATAAAGTTGGTTGGCCTGTACATCTTAAAAATATTTTGGCAAAAAATATGCCTCTCACAAGCTGCTTGCAATCACATGTCTTAATATTACAATTACAAAGCATAGTCTCATTTGAAGGAGGTCTCTCTGACCCCCTGGCCCACAATAAAAAATGCAATTGTTGAAGAGGAAGAAACGCCTTTTCTAACTACTGCAGTGCCATGACCTGAAACTTGAGGCGAAGAAAAGCAAACTGTCGCTGTCGGAACAAACCTTTCTTCGCATCTCCGTTTTCTTTGTTTTTACACTTTTTTTCCCATAATTTGAAAATGCCAGCTGTCCTTTATGTTGTGTTGATATTTCATGTTGAACAGACCGTTAGAAATGGTTTAAAATTACTTAAATTAAAATCTTGTAACATTAACTTACATTGAATGTTAAGAGTGTTTTTTTTCTGACAGTGACAGTTTGTCTTAATCCCTTAGATCCTAGACTTATTATTTAGCTATTAATCTTATTATTCAACAAGTTCTATGAATAATTCAGTAACTATGGAACTAATATTTGGTAGTTATGTAGTTATGAATGAAGACTTGACATGTGGGTCCACTGTCAGCCTTTAGGGTGTAAGGGGTTAAAGGAATCTTTTTTCTTTTTTTTTAATTCGCACAGTTAACTCCCAGGCCAGCAGTTTCTTAACACCAGACGCTATTATATATCATCATGGATCTGATCGTGGGACCAAAAAAGGACACTGAATACTGAATTTATATCAAGTCCCCTAACTCTTGCTTCTCCACTTTTTCAAGGCACTGATCTTTATTCCAGGCGCCGGTGAATGGATTATACAGAAGTGCATTTGCACAATTTAGCTGAACAAAGGAAGTATTCTGAGAAAGCCTGAGTAAAGCTTGCTTTTCTGCCTCTGTCATAGCCAGAGTGTGGTAACATAATACGCTGAGTGAAGGTGAGAGTTGTAGGAGATATATTGTGCTTAGAGGCATATTATAAATACACATATAGTCTGTGTATGTACATATATACTTAGAGTGTGTGTATGAGGTGAGGGGGGATTTTGGGTCGGTTTCCTCATTAATCTCCCAGGAGAGGCTGGGAGCCCTGATCAAGTTCCAGCGTTTCCTGCCAGAGAGACGTGCGTCTCCGGCCCTGCATACCACTTCTCCTCTCCGCCAGGCGCTGGCCACGGCGCAGGCCCGGCCTGACAGGACCACAGATGGTTTCCAGGAGCCCTGCAGGAGATAGAGGCCGGGTCAGCCACTGGAAGGAGGAGGCAGAGGGGAAAGGGAGGGGAAACGGGGGTGCAAAGCGAGACCCTCGCCCCCACACATTTGCCTGAAGCTGATTGGCAGGAGTTCTAGAGGCTCAAGCTTTAGTGTGGGCTGCCTGAGTGGTCTCACAGGACCCCCATCCTTAGCTTGAGTCTCACAGGAAGTAAGATTAGGTCCTGACGCTGCTCAAAACCTACTTATTCCAGCCTCCTTATAGTGAGTCAGATAGTTTTGGAAACTTCTAATGCACTATGGGGGAGTATAGTGATTTTATCAAGTGAAATGAAACATTAGATGTAATAGTATTGAATGTGGTTTTCAGCTACTTCAAGGCCTTCTGAGTAGAACGATCTGGTAATTTTTTTTTTTTTTTAGCTTAGAACAACATTCAGAACTATGCTTTATTACCTTATTTTCCCAAATAAGTTCAAGTGTAAACCAGTGTGGTGTAAATCTTGGAGGGCGTTGGAGAAGCAGTTTATTCTGAACCGGTAAAAGGGGCTACATGCAGGCATTAACATGCAATATGGGGATATCTCACACACCGGGAGTCACATTTTCCATGAGGGAGAGAGGAGAATGCTTTGGCCTCGGGCATCCTTGAGTGTCTGGCTCAGACAGCGCTGGCCAGGCCAATGTCTGGAGCTTGTGTGTGTATGTGTGTGTAAGTGTATGTTACCATATGACACAACCGCTCATACTAGCAATCAAAATTTTATTTTGCTGTAAAAAAAATAGCAAAAACTACATCTAGAATAGCTTGGAGTTGAAGTTAGGACTGAACTGAGTGTCAGTGTGCTAATGACGCTGCTATCTGCTGTTTGATTGTCAGATACTCCGACCCGATGAGCACATTGCGAAGCAGAGGTACATTGGGGGCAAGAATGTTCTGACCAAGGGAACGCCAGAGTGGGTCTCCTTTGATGTCACAGAGACAGTGAGGGAGTGGCTCATGTACAGAGGTGAGTTAAAACTAACATTACACTGATACTGATACTGTAACAGATCTGATACTGGCACTGGCAATACAGGACAGGTATGAACAATAGATAATACTGATACCATGAAGCAATTGCTGACTGAGTGATGCTTTCATGCACACCAGTAGATGGAGTTTAACTGAAGCAAGCAACATGTAATTTAATTTACTGTATATTGCAATTCAGGAAAGTTTTTCCAAAGCAGCAGTGTTACTATCTGTGCAGGACTGGAACCCCAGTCACCAGTGTGTAATCCCCACATATAAATCCCTGTTTTTTTTTTACCATAATAAAAACGTGGTGCAGCAAGTTAATAACACCCCTTACTGCCAACATCATCTTTGGTTATTGTAATAAGCACATTATGGAATGTGGCGTTTTCTTAAAGAGATTATCTGTATTTTATTGGTGGGATTTCTAGCGGTCAGTACTGCACCAGAGGGGGCACCCAAGAGTGATGATGCTTGTAGAACCCAAGCTGACCCACGAGCTCTATTCCCGGGCCATCTCTGAGCTGAGCCTCACTGAATCAGATTTTGAAGAACACACTTCCAAGAGGGAACTTGTACAGTCTGAGGGCAAAGGGCTGGGGGCTCAAGTGCCCCTGGGGTCTATCTGTGCACGTGGCTGAGCACGATCAGCAAAGATTTCAGTACATCAAATTTAATGAAGCACTGAAAGTTCAAAAAGTTATCCAACCACTAAAAATGCCATTCAAGCACAGTATGTTTTATTTGTGACACCTAACACTGTCTTTAGCAAAATATTTACACAGTGAAATGGTATAAATATCAGAATTTATAAGCACCTGCTGAGTAGTATTGATATCAGTACTCAGTATAAGCAAATATAAGGATCAGCGTCAGCATGGCTTATAAAGTGGTTTAAGGTATTCATAGCCAATAAGGCTATCTGATAGGAATATCTAAAAGCAATTGGAAATTAGTTTCAAATACTGGTATTAGATGCACATTTAGATTTGGGACAGTAAGATTTCTCTTGGACGTCTGCACTGCAATAGTATTCTGGACTGGAGATACCAACAGAAAAATAACCTTAGCAGAGGGTTATTTTAACCTTTTTTGCCAAGTCTCTTATTTCGCTGCCTAAGGAGTCCATATGATTCATATGTAAGCTATAATTAGCACTTTGGAGTTTCTGAAGTGTCTTACCAAGGTAAATAGCTTGAAAATAGATATTAAGAACCACCCTAGTTGAGTTTGCATTTTTCAGTAGGGAAAAAAAAAAATCTGGAAACTTATTCTAAAGAGAACAGTTTCGAAAACAAATGTGTTTGACAGTAAATTGTGTTTGTCCCAGCCTTAGTTGGAGTGGAACAGTTGGAACTTAATGAACTGCAAAATGAAAATGTTTAAATCATGGTTTCAGGAAGTAACAAATAACAATCTGTATTAATACAAAAACAGTTTTGACAAGGCACAGGATTTAGACCGTTTGGTCAGCTTCTAGCATGCCTTGCATGCAGTGTTCTCTTATATTTCTGTGATTTAGCACTGTTTGACTATAGTCATAAGGTCAGAATGTCTGAATGATAAATCACAAGGAGCAGAACTACAACACAGCTCTTTCACTGAACTGCCTATTCTCTTTAAATGCTGTGCAGAGACTAACCTTGGCCTGGAGATCAGCGTGCACTGTCCCTGTCACACCTTCAACCCAAATGGTGACATCATTGAAAACGTCAATGAGGTGCTGGAAGTCAAATTCAAAGGTGAGATGCACCGGAGCCAGGAAAAGCACATAGGCTTCCATCTTTTTCCTCAGTTTGATTGCGGTGTGGGTGGAACGATGTAACCTATATGCATCAGTGAATTAATTCAGAAGGCAACTCTGCTGTTTTACAAAAATCGTTTTGGATTGAATTGAGCAGGCAATTACAAGCCAAAGTTTTACTCACTTAAATAAATGAAATTCATTGATTTTAGTGGTACTAAATTGTACAGCTTGATTAAATACATTCTGACTTTTTTGGCACGGATAATCGTGAGTCTTGGTTTAAAAGCTTAGTCAGCAGGTCTATAAAGTATTGTAACATATTTGGGAAATTGCCATGTTGCATCATTACTTTGTGAATCAATGCTAAATACTACAGAGAAAAGTTTGGACCACTACTTGGAAATTGTGCTTGGGTGATGTAGTTTTCGGGGAAAAACCATTTCACTATTTTTGTTGTTTTTCATTTATTTTACCAAAGGTGAAAATGCCAGCTGCCCTTTTTATTCATGATTAATGAACAATAGAAATGTTCTAAAATTACTTAAAAAAAAAAATTGGTTCCACTATCTTCCATTCAAAGTTAAGAAAGTTTTTTCCTTCACTGTAAAGTTAACATTGTGGAGATGAGAGGTTTTGCCCTGACAACTCATCTCTGCTTTCCTCTACCATTTCTACCCGGGATAACATAAATGCCTTCTGAAGTTCTATCCAACACATGTGGGTCTAAGTCGTAGAAGAAGATAATGCTGAGAGAGAAGGACAGAGATTGTGAGCTTGATCATGGGAACACACTTGAGTGTGGAATCTCACTTAGTGCTGGGGGGCCTCGGGGTCTGGGGGTTTTGGGAATTCTCCCTACTCCATCAACGGGCTTCAGTGCGAGGAATGCGCTGCTGCCACGGGCGCTCAGACTCTTGGCCCTGAATTAAAGAGGGGCGTCCGTATCCACTGGCGACGCTTCTCCTGGGACCTGAGCTGCTTTTTCTATCAGGGACAGATTGGATGAGCAGACGGGTGAAGGGGGAGAATGGAGGGGCCTGTTCTGATGGGATAAGTTGCAGAACAATGACCAATGGTGGGCTGAAATACCAGAGATTGGAGAAACAAAGCAGTGGCGTGGCTTTCATTTGTCCTTTAGCACCCACTGAGCTGTGTGGTTGTTGTGTAGGTATGGATCAGGAGTACGATGAGAACCGCTGGGACCTGAGCCGACTGAAGAAGCAAAAGGAGCAGCTTCTACCCCACCTCATCCTGATGATGCTGCCGCCCCATCGCCTGGACGTCCCACCAACATCCAGACGACGCAAAAGGGCACTGGACACCAACTACTGCTTCTCGTGAGGAGTTTTTCTAAATAGTTTAATAAATAGTGTTTCTTTAATATAAAACAAGCTTGACAGCAGATAAGTTCATAAAATGAGTCTGTTAGTTCCTCACTGAATTAGCAGGAAGCTGTAGGCAAAATTTTAGACATTTCTAGTGTGTCCACAATGATGAACGTAGCTGTAGATGATTCTAAAATGACCAAGAAAGCTAAATAGCTCCAAGAATGGAGTTATAATAAATTGAATATTCAGAATGCCTTGTGGTGGTGAAATCTGGAGGCAGATAACTTGACAAAAATTGACTGTAAATAGATAATTATAATATATTGTTTGTCCAAAAATAGTATCATATAATAAAACACTTAAAAATACATCTTGATGTCTAGTTTATAACATGCAGATCTGCACTGTATATTATTGTAGATAACAACATAAAATTAACATGACAAGTGATTCCAAACTTTTGAACAGTTTTATATGTCAATAGAAGTATTTATTGAAATAAAAATCATGAACAAGAACAGATTCTGTCTTTCTCTTGGCTCACCAAGGAATCTGGCTCACAGAACCACAACATACTGCCACAATGGAAAATAATAAAAACAAAAATCAACAACAAAACATTTATATTTCATCACTGAAGTGAGTTTGCCAGTCCTCTCTAGTCTGCATTCCAATTACTATTAGCACACCACAGTTCCCTTAAGAGACCATATGACTAAACCTCTAATTGGCATCTGACAGCTTTAAGCATGGAAGAAGAATCAGCAAGTTGAGATCTGTCCCTGTATTCAAATCAGAGTGGGCTCGTCTGTAGTACGCTCCTCACAGCGAGGATCCCTGACTTTACCTCACCGACAGCATTAGACGCCTGGGCCCAGTCCAGGAGGGAAAAAAATGACACACCTCGCAGTGGAATTTCTGAGCCTCCAAAGACACAGCCTGAGCTGTTTATAAGGCAATACAGAATGAAAATAGAAGGCTTAAAACGTCAAGTAAGAATTAGCTGTATTACTTCATTGAGGCTATGGAAATGTCTTCAAATGAATGCATTGAGTGTGCCAAGAAAGTAGAGTACCGGAATAAAGAGGTATATGGTGTGCTTGGAAATGAATAGAGAGGCAGTGGAGCAATTGATCAGTCACTGTCTGTTTTATTCTCTCTCTCTCTCTCTCTCTCTCTGCTGCAGTAATTATGAGGAGAACTGCTGTGTTCGCCGGCTCTACATTGATTTCCGTCAGGATTTGGGCTGGAGATGGATTCATGAGCCTAAAGGATACCACGCTAACTTCTGCTCAGGGCCATGCCCATACCTGCGCAGTGCTGACACCACTCACAGCACGGTGAGCGAGGGACACGAGTGGGACATGATCCTGTTTATTTGTTTACTTATTGCGACTTTTACAGGGAGGGCCTTTTACAGCAACAAGAGCAACCATATAAAATAAATAAATGTCTCCTTGCAAGTGCACCTTAATAGTATGCACTGAGCTGCCACTTTGTGGGTATATAAATACTGTAGTCCATTTGCTTTGATGCAGTTTGTCAGCCTCCCTCTACTCCATCCATCAATGGGACAGGACAATCAATAGCCCCACTGCTTTTATTACTTGGGTCATTCTTAACACTGCATTTAAGGAACCTATATGGCAGTGGCACAAGTGTATCAGGCACAGCAGTGTTGCTGGGTTTTTAAACACCTCGTTGTCACTGCTGGGTTGAGTGTACACCACCAACCAAAAATGTCCACCCAGCAGCCTCCTGTGGTCAGGAACGAACCACTGATGAGAGGTTAGAGGATGCCTCTACACAAACTGTGTAAGGATGACAGTGAGCCACAGTCTGTAACTACCCTTATAAAGTGTACCAACAAGACAGGAGTTTCTAAAAAAAGTGTGCAGTAAGTGTTTAAAATCCCAGACACAGCTGTGCCTGATACATTGGTATCACACAACATCATGCTACTACCATGCCAGTGTCACAGATGCGTAATGAATCCAAATAATATCAGCTCAGCTGTGGTCTTGTAGTGGTCCCTTTACAATGATGGATGTGGTAGATGGGGCTGATCAATTGTGCAGCAACAGATGGGCCACAGTGATTATTTATCTAGAAAGTGCACCTACGTGGTAGGTGTACCTGACAAAATGGCCAATAAGTGTAGCTACAAGGCAGGTGCACCTAATAAACTGGCAACTCAGTGTAGCTTATTTAAAGGACCCATATCATGGAAAACTGAATTTTCTTCACATTCAGTGTATTAAATGTTTTAACCCTTGTGTGGTGTTCGGGTCTGTGGGACCATTTTCAATGTTTACCAAAAGAAAAAAAATTATGCAATTTATTATTTCAAGCCCAGATTCCTTGGCCTTTGCTGGTTTTCGGTGAAGAACATATAAAATAAAATTTTTAATGACTTCACACTGTTCACCCCTACACAGTTATATTACACATGTGGTGTTGGGGGGAATAAAAGTGTGGAGGTGCTGTGTTCTCCTCCTATATGGCCTGCTGTTAGTGTTAGTGTGGGTGTGTGAGGATGGACAACATGGACAGGCTGCTGACTGGCTACAGCTGCTAAAGGAGAACCCTACGCTGACCACTTGTGATATTTTAAACATCTGGTACTTTAACTTAAATTATTATGGCTGTATTGATTTAAAAAAAACAATAATGCAGCGGGTTCACCAGACCACTGAGTAACAAACACATGAATACCACACAAGGGTTAAAGTGGCATGTACACACTGTTAAAGTTTTAAAACATATCATTCATTCCCCAGTGCTTATAGTACATACACGGATGTTAAGCTGCAAAATCAACCTGTTTTGAATTAATTGATTTAGCAACGTCACAAAAACGAACACATTTACAGTTTTATGCAAAAGTTTGGGCACCCCTGGCCAAATGACATATTTTGTTGATTTGTTTTAAGGAAAAAGAAGTAACATCTTTTGCAGCAAACAATATTTGCAAATGTTAATGCACAGTTAATTTATATTTGATTAACTTAGTAAAAAGTAATTGTGCCATGTGTAAAAGTCTTAGAAGTTAACTTGTTAGGCCCCAGTTGATTCCTCAGAACTAGTTAGGCAAGTCAAGAATTTTCAATTCCAGAGTGTAATAAATTCTCTGACACCTCTAACCTTGTGCGAATACTCATCAACCACAGACTTCTGTCACAGCATGACAGGATCTGAAAACGAAGCTAAAAAGATATTAAAGCGCTTCCAGCTCACAATTTCCACTCACTGTCTGAAATGTCTTTAAGACGTCAAGGCAAGATCTGGAAGACTAAGAAAGCTGTCAGACAGAATTGCTCACGTTGATCAGTGAAGCAAATCAGAACCAGCTAGCAGCTTTTTTAACCCTGCCCCTTCAGGAGTGTTTCAGCCCGGAATGCTTTTTGAATACAAGGCAGCCAATCAGAACAGAGATAATTTACATATATCAGTCTTAAAGGAACAGCAAGAAAACTTGCTGTTTTTTTTATTTTAAGGGATTGGAAATTGGTCATGTAAAAATTAATTGTGACAGTTTTTGGTACATAAAACCACATAAATGTCATAAATGAAGAATGTAGGGGATGGGCTCTTTAAAATTCACACAAAAGGTGTGATGAGGAGCAGACAAGCTGTTCAGTAGGGGTGCGGGAAAAAATCGATTCTTAGATGCATCGCGATGCGGACGTGAACGATTCTGAATCGATTGACAAATGTCAAAAATCGACTTTCTAAATATTTAATTTATAACGTAATGTTGACGGAACGCAAAAGGCGGAACTTGGAAGTGCGGAAGTGCAGCGCCCGGACAGTCTGTGGCGGCACCTAACAAAAACACAGCTGGATGAGCGAGAAATCCGACCGGCTCCCTCTGCAATTAAGCCAGGTTAGATCAGGAGTCGCAACACAAATGATAACATATTGTCCTTTCAACAAAAATCAAACCACCTTAGGAGCCGCAACATTTAATGTCCAGTATGTCTCAGTATGTGATAATGTCCTGGTATAGGCTAAACAATATAAACGAAAACACAGATTTACTCTGCTCTGCTTTAAGCTTTAACTATAGCCGCTTTCCTCCCATCTCGGCCAGAAAACGTTTCCTCAGAGGTTGATCAGTTAAATGTCTCTCAACGTTCGACTGTTTTCCGAGGCTGAAGTCGCTTCTTGTTCGAATTTACCCGTTCCACCTTAAATTCTAACTGAGGCGCCGAATGTAAATGCGGCACCATTTAAGGTGGAACGGGAGAATTCAAAAGAGAAGCTGACTTCAGCTTCGCCACTTTTGTAGTGTGTGACAGTCTCTCGTTGCAGATTTACGTACCAGGAAATCAACTGCGGTGTTTATAAATGCGAATAACGCATCGTTGCTAGGTGACCTGCAGTCTGCGCGGCAGTTCTCAGACATTGCGAAACAGGGCTTTCGCGCTATGTTGCACACGTCCCGTCTCAAAGATACTTTACTGACACAGCGAGCGACCCCCCCCCAGTCTCTACAACGAGACCAAAACCGAAGTTACAAACAAGAGCACCGAATGAGAGTCTTCTAGTTCACTTGCCACATCACTTCCATTTGTTTTATTAAAAAAAGATATTGGAAGTAAATTCATTATGGATCATTACAAATACTTTGCTTTAAAAGTACCAAGTCACTTTAAATAACAATAACACCGAGTCACTTTAAAATGTATATTGTCTCTACATTCTGTGTATATTTTGTGCATATTTAATATATTTAAGTTGGTTTTTCTTGTATTTTTATTTTTACTTATTTACTTTCTGTAGAGTGATTAGCTGAGCCTCACCACAAGCATTTCAATGCATAAATGTCCTGACATGTTGTGCAAATGACAAATAAACTTGAAATTCGTTTGAAACTCGTTTTATAATCGCATCGCAAACCTCTGAATCGTAATCGAATCGTGAGGTGCCTAGAGATTCCCACCCCTACTGTTCAGTGTGCAATTTAACTCCACAATAATAATACTACATTCTTACCTTCTTCCACAGTTGCTGAGCCTGTACAACACTCTGAACCCAGAGGCGTCAGCCTCACCCTGCTGCGTGCCACAGGATCTAGAGCCTCTAACTATCCTCTACTATGTGGGACGAACACCCAAAGTCGAGCAACTTTCCAACATGATTGTCAAATCTTGCAAGTGCAGCTGAGGGTTTCGGTATGAGGGCAGCCCCACAGAGGTCCTAACACTTTGGTAAGAAGAGGGGGGGAGTGAGAGGGGCGAGAACTGGACTTAAAAATACCTCTATGTATCCTTCTCACCCACTTTGAGGCCCTGGAGCATGATGCATCAAAGCACTACATCACCTATGAGTTTTGTTTCAAGGTGGATTTGCCACCAAATGCTACTATACCAACCCTCGGACCTCCACATAGACCATCTGAACTGGTTTTCCCCTGCATTTTTTCTCTTTTTTTCTCTCCTTTCCTTGTTGCTTTTTTAGAATTTTGAACTGTCTGTGCCTCCATGCAACTTGTCTTGGGCATTTCTGAACCAGTCGAATCACTTAAAACGACAGTGCTTACTTAGTGACACATGCAGAAGCTGCTTTATCCAGGATGACTCAGCAGCTGTGGTCAGGACACCAAGGACGACTGATAATGCCTACTGGATATATTAAAAACAGACTTAAGAGTTCATGAGCATCGCCTGGCTGTTGCTAAGGTGATCGGCAGGTTTTTCTTTTTCGTTTAAATTGTAAAGCCTTGACGCACAGGATTCATCTATGCTGAAAGTTGCGCTGTGGTCTTCACAGTTCCCTACTGTTCGTCTACAAGACAGGCTAACAGATGCCAATAATCTTACAAATAATGTTAATAACGATACAGATATGCTGGAAAGAAACATTTCTGAAAAATGTTTTTTGTTTTGGTTGTTTACCTCCGTTACACATTGGAATCTTTTAGGGACATGAAGCAGACAATACAATGTAAAATGATGTATGACACTACATGAAATTTAAACTAGATCACAAACTGTACATGTTTTTTTTTTAACTGCTATTACTCTTGAGAACACCTTTTTTTATTAAAAATAGTCTTGGACAAATAAGACTGAATTTGGAGATTTTCTGTAACAGTAATGCAAGACAAAGCATGTAAGGTTCTCTCATGCAGTTGTTGTATAATGGTGTATTGAAAACATACTGTATTTATTTCTGGAATATTTGGAAAACTGGATCTGATACAAGGTCATGAATGCATTGAGTACTGTAAGGGTAGATATAGTGACTGTGGTTTTTCTTTGTAAGATTCTGCGCATTACTATTTATTTGAGCTCCATACAGCCCTTTCAAAATATAGATACCTGGATCCTTTACTGTAATTTGTGTCTATGCAAGCCCTTACAATGGTTTTAAAGAGGACCTGGCTACACTTCTGTTGAGGTTCTTGCTCAAATGTTTGGAACTAACATGCATCAAGCCACTAAAGCCAATGGTCATACACCATCAGTTTCTGTCCACGCTTTAGTACATGATTTGACATATTTGGAATGAGCCCTGGGAACTGAAAAGTGCCTTGTGTTCAACTTCATAGTTTAATGTATGACAGCTACAAGTCTAGGAAGATGTGAACCTTGCTCCAAAGCATATGAAGCCTTCATCTTTTCAAACTGCAACACTGTAGAGTAACTCAGTATGTTATAATGAGAGCGTCAATTGCTCAGATATCTAAGCTGCCTACCAAACACTCTCAGTAGACTCTTTTAAGTCTCCTGTGGTCTTAACAATTAAATCTCTGCAGAAAGCTGACCAGAATATGCTACAGCCATTCACTGCTGAGAGTCAAACTAGCCAAGTGCTGACTTGAGAACTGTGGCTTAGTTCATTAGCAGAGTAATGCCATGCAAAAACAAGTAGCTCATACAGATGCAGCGATCAGACACATGTATTGCAGAGGAAGCTTGTGCTAGCTGTCACTTTCTCATGCTCGTCACGTTACAGAAGGCAGCTAGATATCAGGTGGGATCTCACAAATACTACAGAAATTAAAATTAAAAACGTAAAGTGCCCATGCCTGGGAAAACCATTTTCTGTACATAAAAGAACCTGTTGTTGCTGAAGTCTCAAAATTTCATTCCGTTCAGTCCCCAGTCCAGACAGTCCATATTTTAAAACTAATCATTTTGAAGACAGTTTTTGTGATTTAACATATACCTTCTTATTTAACCAACAGCAGTTAACTCTGCACATTCACGCTAAAGTTATGAGAGGTGTTTCATCCCAAACAGCTTTTTAAAAGAGGCACAATACAGGACAACCTATCACAGTTTTAAAAGCGTGGCAACAGCCTGTTCAATTCTAAGGGATAAATGGTCAAAAAAAAATAATTATGACAGTTTTTGGTACTTAATCACATACAGTATAATACATTTTAAGCAGACCTCAAGGAAAAAGATCAAATACAAGAAAAACATGGGCCCTTTAAACGGTTTAAGATATGTTGCAAAAATTCAAGCATTTAGGATTAAATCAGATTTTTTTTTAACCAAAAATCATGTACAATGACAAAAGTTACCGGCACAATCTTGGTGCATTTACTAATAAAGAAGGAGACAACATTTTCATTAAACAATTCAAGTATACATGTAACATTCTTCTAGTCATGTCACAGACAACTGTAAATTTTGTCTTCGATTAAAACTATAATTATGTATCCAGAAGAATTTCACAATGTGCACTATAACCACAACCACTTAAACTGCGTTCGACATGGAATAGAGATTTCTACCATCTCTTTACTAGCACATCTCAGTGGATTGTGAGTTAATCAAATATTAATAACTTGTTAGGCTTATATTCATACACATTTCTGTCACAGACTCCAAACATTCAGTTCCACACTGTAATAATCAATAACACAAAGTTATTTTGATTTATGTTGAGAGTTGTCAAGTACACACAGGACAAGTACAAAATAATAAAACACTATAAAAACTAAACTAAAGATTTCCCAAAAAGAAAAAAATAAATAAAGCCAAACCCTGAGAAAATAAATGTTACAGTATAATATCCTTGATTTAGGACATTAGGTTTTGTTTTGCATACATCAGAATTATGCCTTGATGGCCACACATTATGACAAAGAAAAACTTACAGTCTACAAAAATGGAAACAGCATTTGATCTAATCAGTAAATGTTTATGAAACAAAAAATATTAACAGGTTCCAACAATGTACCATGCCAACTGCCAAGCCTAATATAACACTTTATTAATAATTAGCATACCAGGAGAGGTGTGAATATGTCTGTCAAACAAATCAACATAACTACCAATTCTCCCTGAGACAGGATTTATCTAACTGCTGTACTATTAGGGCACACTGTGGAAGTGTCAACTGCTTTCAAATAGAAAGACATAATTAGGTTTCCCTCAAATCATTATCCAGAAATGTAAACTTGAGATTTATTTTAGGGGCCGTTAATGAATTACACAGATCCAGTTATGCTACGGAGCCACCTATTTCTATGACTCCGACTGTTAAGGGTGCCATGAAAGAAGTACTTTCAGAACACATCATAAAAACATGACACAATGTACTCAAAGATGCCAATATACAAGCATTATGTGGCACCTGAATGAGGCACTTTTACACAGAGCATTAACGGTCTGGACTGACACAGTGTGACACAGTTCTATGATGCATGCTTAGAAAGTCTTTTACTATCTTAGTGTCCTTTGGGGATATTTAAAGCTACACTTTGTTTACAACAATTTAGCAGTATATAAAAACATTTATCCTTCTTCAATAGACTCCTGTCAGATGTCTTGAAAGGTCAAATAATCATTCAGACATTACACATTCGCTGTAATGCTTTTGATTCCATTAGTTTCAAACAAGAAAAGAAACACAGTTTTAAATGCATGGGCGTTCTCTCTTAAAAGTGGTTTATGTAATGTAACTGCAACCCAAACTGTGTCACATATTCAAAATTAAAACTGCTTGTAATGAAGAGCCTGCACTTATTTTGCCAGGCCTGTTATAGTGTGCAGGCGCAGTACAGTAGAGGCAGCAGCTGTTGTTGCCTGTCTATTCACACAGTCTTTCCATGGCAGCAGTTGCATGTGAGAATGGGGCTGGACAACTGCAGTGGTGGGATGGGGAGGAACTGAAGGCCACCGGAAAGTCTTGGGCCATGGAACAGATCCTCGTTCGCGTCAAAGCCAGGGATTTCTTACACTGCAGGCTATCCTGTTGCACACCCACATGCTCTCCAAGAAAATAAATAAGGCTGGTTTGATGTCAGCCACTGTCTCAGGGGTAGCAGCATTTGTCAGCTGTTCCCAGACTGAAAATACTATAAGGGAAGATATGATTCTTGTCTAGCATGAGGGACAGCACATGGAGGAAGATAACAAGGTTAGGAAGCACAAAAAATACATTTTTGGTACATTAACTGCACAGCTGACCTTTTTTGGGGGGTAGAGGCAATTGCATCAGGTGAAACCTAGGGTTCATTTTTATATTAGAAACATCTGTACCAGTGAGTGGATCCTACACCTGCAGGTGGTTACTGGACCAGCCCTCGCTCAGTCATCTGTGATTGGACCCATGAGTCTGGAATAGTTTGCTATAAACAGAGAGACCTAGAATAAGACAAGAATAGATGACAGTGTAAAAGGACTTGTAGGGGAAAAAGACCATCATCATCTTTCACTTTCTCACACATACACAATACATATTAAGGGTGTAACTATTTCAATATGTATTGAAAAATCTAATTTGAAACAGTGTATCGAAATGTAAAGCTGTATGGCCCACAACATCTCTGGCTCTCTTCTGAGGGTCTCTCATTTATCATCTTTTATGATAGCTTGTCAATCAAAGCTGGGCATCTGGGTGCATCCTATCAGAGTAAAGTGAGTGGGGAGGGGGAGGGGCATATATGCACCAAAGCGCAAATGACTGGGCTTTTTATAAATCAATTATAAATTTGTGATTAGGCACTGAAAAAGTTCAATTTGGGAAAGTTCAAACAGATGTATGTAGTATATAAATAGAGCTAAGTATAATAACTTTTAACATTTCACAATACAAAATATTAAAAATCAAACTGAACCTTGACCTCTCAACTGAAAATTGTACCGAACCTCAAATTATGCGCATTGTTACGCCCCTAGTGTGCATGCATGTGAGCTGTATGATGGTGTAAACATTAACATATTAACATTAAACAGTGAACATAAGGTGAATATTCAGGCACTCCTTATTTCAGCTGTATCAAAATGTATCATGCTGAGACACTGAATCAGAAAAAAATGTTTATCGTTACACCAACAATACATATACACTTTTTGACATATCTTCTGGTGTAAATACTTCATAAGCAATAGCTATAATTAGTAATGTAGTAATGTATCTTGTATATCTTTCCCTTAAAGGACAGAAAAGAAACTGGATACCAGCTCGTCAATGTAAAGTAACTATGCAAATAACCAACAAATGCTTATATTTGAAGTGCTACAGATAGTACATATAGACAATACTGAATGACAAAAAAATCTGCAAAACACAGATTCTCCATGGTATAATTTACAGTATCTAGTCATTACCATAGTCAAAGAACTATTAATAACAGTTTTATAAAAACAACAGCACAGACATGATTGCAGATGTCATTCCCCTCAGTTAAATTAACTGGTGCACATGTCACACTAGGAGAGGTTCTGGTGAATTTCATGTGTTATCCAATAAATGGGGTTATGTCAGATAAGAGCAGCAGCAGAAGCTGCAGCTGTCCTGCCCCTGTCCTCCTTTCTCCGTGGTCTATCGCCTGGCCCCGAGCCAGTCTTACAGGAGAAAAGAAATTCCAAGTGCAGTCAGAGCTGCTGTGTTTGTGCTCCCAAACAGTATTCTCTTTCATTCCCTCTCCACAGACTCTGTTTATTTTGGTGCTCTTTTACACCGTGAGGCCTTACGGCGCAGGAGAACGAAAACATCAAGCCCTACTTCCAATCCAGTGACATGACTGCTGGAAGCAGCTTTTCCAAGCTCAGCAAGAAGAGTGGTGGAAAAAAAAAGAGAATGGGGAAAATATTTCCCCATTTTCATCATATATTTCTCCTCAACATATCCCTCGCAAAATGATTTATATTCATAGTAAATTCAGTGATTAAACAGACAATAGCAAACAAAAAGAAGCCAACACCAAAAGAACAGGAGGAGATCAAATACCAAAGCGCAGTGAAAAATGAGGCTCGGTGTGGTTTCTGGTTTGGAACTGTACTGTACGCCATTGCCAAAACCGAGCAAAAGGTTGAAAGGGAAGTCTAATTGGTCGACTCTTTGTTTGATTTAGAATTTTCAGGGGGGTACAGGGTGAAAGCTCTCATTGGATTCAGGGCGTATGTTACAGGTCTGGGCACACCATGTCCTCTTTGTCTCATGGCAGGGTCTATAATCTTTCTGGTAAACGTAGGTGTAGCCCTGTTAAAATTTCACACACCACAGTCAGCTCTACCAAGGCCAAAACAACCCCGTTCACTGACACAATTGTGTTTTCTGGTTTATGCCCATTACACCAGTAGCAAACAGTTAAATAAAACTAAACAAAGTCATGACAAACTAAAACATTCTCTAAGAAAACTTGAGCCACTTCAAACTTTGTTTCCATAATAATCCTATTTCCAGCCAGATTAGATTTGTTTGTGGCACATTTGTTTTGAGGAGAGCAAGAGTGTTACCTATCACTGTCACGGCTCTTATAAATTGCCAAAATATTTCAGAGCGAGTGCTTCAGCGGAGCAGTGAGTACTCTGGGCATTCGTTTTATCAGCCCACAGCAATAAAATCAGAATGTGTCTGAATGAGAGCAAAAGAATAAAGAATGGTGAGTGGCTGCTAATGGCAGGCCTAATGAGAAGAGAGTGCAGAAGAGAAATAAACAAGAGGAGGTGGGAATGGGGAAGAGGTAAAGAGAAGGAGGGTCATGGCAATAGAGAGAGGCTGACGGATGCACACTGACGGCTGATCACAAAGAATGCTGCCTGTATAGATCAGCTCTAACTCCCTGTCACACTCAATCAGGACACCCCACTTATCTCAGCACAAAGCACAAAGACACAGAGGGCCCTTCTCACTCTCAAAACAACACAGCAACACAACGCATGGCTGCGCTCGACTTTCAGCTGTTCCCTCTACACTTTTATCGTCTCTCTGTCTCTCCCTCTCTCTTGCTCTGTCTTCAAATTACCTCCTTTTTTCTCTCTGCTCCCGTTATTATTCAGGTGCCAAGCACCTCCCAAACCTCTTTCCCCATACAATGGAAAAATGCATTCATGAAATTCAGAAGCAGCTCCCTGCAGATCAAGTTGCAGTTATTGATGAGTTTATAAGACGTCTGTTGAACCGCGCCAAAGTACATACCTTGAAAAAGGGGGAAAAAAATGTAACGAAAGAAAGAAGTGACTGCACACTGCATATTTTTTGGTCTGTGCAAAACGATTGTCATTTTCTGCTAGTTTTTCCAGATTTGAAGAAACTGAGTGTGTGTTCCATGATAAATTGTGGGATACATGTAGACACATAGTATAGAAGACGTTTGGGGAAAGTCCTGATCAGACAAACAGATGTGCAGCAGCTTAAACTGCTTAATATCACTGTTACTGCAATAAAATCAACAGTTCTTCCAGACCCACATTCAGGCTCCAAGGTGGAAAGTGTTGTGCAACCCTAGGAAGAGGGGCGTGAGCATGCGCGACTGTGTGTGCTCACACCCACACTCTCACACGGTACAGGAGAAGGCAGAAAACATTGGCTTCAAACAGACAGACTGAAAAAAAATCACTAGAAGTTACTAGCAAACTTCTTTTTATTATTAACTTTATATTTATATATTTATATTGCTACCAACTTATGAAAACTCATCACTAACACATCTTGCATCACCCCTTAAGTTACAGCTTTCAAGGTAAGGTTTAAAAAGTATATAACAAATATGGCCCTGTTCACAGTAGGTATTAACATCTGTCTCTATCAAAAGTGGACAGCAAGAGGCACTGCCATTTACATCTGGGATTTCCATCCATCTTAAACACGTGACAAGATTTAGTGACCATGTACATTCACCACATCAGTTCTCTCTGTTTGTTGTCAGACAGAAATACACCAAAAGTCTGTGACAAACTAGAACACAACTTGTAAACAAATAGGAGAGGAGATGAAAAAAGATGACGCAGCTGATTAAGGCAATCCTTCAAGGCTGTCAAGGACATACTGAGACATTTTAGCATTCACACTACAATTGTTATGTGATTGTATGCATCCCTGACAAAACTCAAAGGAGTAATCAAATCGCACTGCGTGTCTGAGACGCACTGTACCTCATTTACACCTGTACTTAGCACCGTCCACTTATGATCAGATCACCAAGAATGCATGTTAATGTCGGGTGTAAACATGACCTAAGAGACAAAGACAAAATGTTGTATTCTGATCAAATTCCTAATTTACTGTCACTGTATTTGTCCAACAGCATTTACTTAGCAAATCTTAATATGCCCAGGATGTGTAATTGCCTGTTACATCTGCAATAGAGTAAGCAAGATACAACAAGCAGTGTTGAGCTTGATAATTGATTTGTGATGGGAGAATGTAGTTACAAATATGGAAGCTTGGCTCCATTAGGCCATAGTTTTTTAAAAGCTAGAAAGTGTCACCTTGCATTCACAGTGATTCACACGACTCATTATACCTAGTCATGTTTTGGCATCACAGGATTATGGTTTATCAGTAAACAAGCTCAACACAGACAACAAAAGAAATATTAGGAACATGTCTGACAGTGAAATAAGAGATGCAACATTGGTTTCTGGTGAAATTTCTTGTCTTGCTGTGAAAGCTGAAGGACAACTGGTACTGTGCTGCCATTGCTATGAAAAGCTCAACATCCAACAGCTGAGAATGGCTAAAATGTGTCACATTCACTTAGGGGTATGTTGGAAGGACAGTATGTTATATAAAAGTGATATATACGTCCAACAGATATCTTTTTGAGCAGTCATTTGACCTCTTGATAAACACTAAAATGTAACCTCAATGCTCAGCTCATTTCAGCTTACAGTCTGCTTGCCAGTTTACATTTTAGCCACACGGTTAATACAGAAATGTATAATGAAGTATGTTTTATAGCATAGTGGCTACCAATCATAGACCTGGGAATCCAATGTTAGCCTAACCTCCTGAGCGGCATGATAATTAACCAGGTGTATTAAATGAAAATGAGAAGAAAAAAAAAGTGTGAAGCAGTCTGGGTACCATTGCTGTACCATGTGCAGCTCACGAAGCAATTACTACAAATAGCATCAGTGCTATTCTCATTACTGTTGACGTATACTCCAAGTGGAGATGGGCCATGAAATCTAATGATGTCTTGTTGCCACAGTATGAGATAAAAATAAAAGGCTATGCTGACCAGTGTTCATCAAAGGTGGTATGGTCACTATGCCCAGCTGCCTGCCTTTGATGCTGGCGGAGTAACTCACCTGTTTGGCCACAGAGATCTCTCTGTCAAGGATGGCCATTAAAATAGCATAGGCCTGTGCTCCTACTAAATGCTCAATTAATTAACCTACATAAGCTTTGTAAGTGGACTTCAAAATCAATGCAGTTCTAAATGAGCTGGCATTGAAAAGAGACCCATCATAGCTATAGAAGGCATAGATCCAATACCAGGTATACATATCAGGCCAATATCAGCAGAAAATTATGGATGAGATATTTGGAAGGAGAAAAAAAATACATTTGTTCTAATCCTGTAACAAACCTGGCCTGAAATAGTAAACATTCACATTGTATCATGTCATTTTGTTGTATTTGCTATGCCACCAAATTTTTCTGTGAGATAGCAGTGTTTGAGAAGTTAGAGCATGATCAGTATTGGTATCTGCCAGTTTCAATATTGGTATCGCAAAACAAAAAGTGGCATTATGACATCTCTAATCATAACTCAGCAAAAATCAATATTTAGATCTTTAAATATAGATGGTGGGTGTATTCACCTGTCTTTCCACACATGGTGTCATAGACAACATGTTGTCGATTGGATATGCCGTTACTGGACGGAGCATCAGGTGGTGCTTGCCTGTTGACAGAGAGATTAAAAAAGAATTAGATGAACCTCACATATTTCTAATATGACAGACATATGATACATAAGACGCATACCTACAAACTTGGTAGCCCAACCTCATCTATGGGGGAAAACATATTGGTAACACTTCACTGAAGGGCAGCATTCATAAGGCCACATTACTTCTACATAATCCTTTCATGACAACTGATGTAAACCTACATAAACATCTAGAAAGGCTTATTACAACATCAGTTGTCATAAAAGCTGCTTTTGTCAATTTCAGTGTCACTCTGTAAGAGTTAGGACAACTGACATTTGTTGGCTTAAGCTTTCATAATTTTCTAAATAAGTTTATGTCAGGTGTTATGAAGGGCTTAATTAGGAGTCATGTAGCCACATGAACACTGCCCTTAGGTAAAGTGTTCCTAACATACATTGTGTATCACTGGGGTATAAATATGAGGTGACACACAGGCCAAATTTCCTTAGTCATCCATCACCATAAGAAAGACAGAGAATACAACAATGATGTGTGACAAAAGATTGTTGAGATGCATAAATCAGTAAACGGCCACGATAATGACAGTTGAAAATACCCATTTCCACTATCAGGGCAATAATTAAATTCAAAGCATCTGGAGATGCTAAGAATCTGCTGGGAAGAGAACATATGTTTATATTGACTCCACGCACAGTGAGGAGAATGGTTGAAGTGGCCAGAGAATCTCCAGGGACCACAGCTGGGGAACCACAGACATTAGTTAGGTCTTGAGGTCAGAACAAATCCCAAACTACAATCGGATGCCACTTACATAGCCACAAGTTTTTTGGGAGCGTTGCCAGAAAAAAAGCATCTGCTGTCAAGGACCAAGTGCCTACACTGAGTCTCCCTACCACATTCTATGGTCAAATGAGACCAAAATAGAGCTTTTGTGGCAGCAAACCCCAGAGGTGTTAGCATACACACAGAGACAGCCAGGCAGAAAAGTACCTCATCTCCACTGTGAAGTATGGTGGGGCTGTTTTTCCTCCAAAGGCCCTGGACAATTTATTCAGATACATGGTATCACTGACTCAATCAGGTACCAGCATATATTAAATCAAAACCTGACTGACTCAGCCATGGAAGCTTAAACTGGGCCAGGGTTGGATTTTCCAGCAGGACACTGATCCAAAGCACACCTCAAAATCAACAAAAAAATGGTTCACTGACCACAGAATCAAGGTTTTGCCATGGCCATCCCAGTCCCCTGATCTAAACCCCACAGAAAACATGTGGGGTGAGCTGAAGAGGACAGTCCACAAGTGTGGACCTTGGAATCTGAAGGATCTGAAGAGATTCTGTATGGAGGAATGGTCTCAGATCCCTTGCCATGTGTTCTCCGGTCTCATTAAGCATTGTAGAAGAACACTCAGTGCTGTTATTATTTATGAATGAGTGCTAACAATTATGGCACATACAGATTTGGAAAAATATTTATTTCATGACAGGAGTTAGTTTTTATTTCAATCATTGTACTTCAAATAAAGATTAGATTGTTAATATTTTGAATGACAGATCAAAAGGATAAGTTATAAAGAATGTTTTAAAGATGTTTTGCCAACATTAGTGGAGGGCACTGTATCTGCCATTTTATTTTTGCAAACAACTATAAACAAATACACCATTACAACTTACAGCAATACATGCCAAAAAAACAGAATGTGATAAAGTATAATCAAAACTGTTACTGTCTAGAGCAGAGGTTTTTAACCTAGGACTCACAATGTGGTCCAAGTAAGATCATGAGAGTGGTACTTCAAAACATACATCTTATCAAACAGAGAGAAAATCATTTTGAAAAAATGTGTGCAACTGCTGCTGAAAGGGTTCACCAACAGGTCACAGAGGACAGGCTAATGTTGATTATGAATTCCTATTGATTGAGCTCATTACTGAGGGAGGAGCTTTAATGATCGCTAACCCTGAAGCACTTTCTTAGCGCCAGGCTAATAATTTTTGGTTTACAGATCCAGTAATTGAGTAGACTTAGTAATTGATTGCTGTTCTATAATCTTCTGTAATATCTGTAACGTGTACACTTGTGTGTGTAGGGCGTCCCAGAGGGGTAGGAAGAGGGGCTCATGAAATATTTTTAATTCCAAAAAAGGATCAGACTGTGAAAAAGGTTAAAAATCTCTGGTCCAGAGCTAGAGAACGAACAATTACCTAAACTATGCAAAGGATGAGTACATCCTTATAATGGCAATATAGTTTCTTTCTCCAAGCAGTCACGAAATGTCCAAGTGGACAAAATTCATTTGTGTTTACCAAATGTTTACCAAGTGTTTATCACATGCTCTTCATGAGCTACTGATATAAGGTAGCCAGGTATTCTGATGCCAAGTCTAATGCTTTGAATCATTTTGTAGTGTACAGATCTTGAGATGTAAAAACATTGTTTTAGGCAATTATCTGCACATTGTCAAACAGTTTCTCAATTGATGAAATGTATTATAAGCTGAAGGCAAAAAGGTTTGTTTTATGCAATACAACACAATCGATAAGCAAAATTACTCCACTGACAAATACAAAAAATACACAATTTTAATTACTACTTTTCAAGGGACTGGGTTGTGCTTACTGGAAAGCTGATATCAAAGTATTTCTTTGTGCTTTTTATTTGATGATGTTGACTAATTACATGTTCCTAATGGCAGGCATCATGGAACTTGTGACAAACGTCCCTCTTTGGCAGTGAATGGCTCAAATAATTATGCCTCTCTCGAAGAACATCTGGCTGTGGCAAACACGTTAAATCATCAGTTCTGTCTAAGAGGGTAGAAAAACAGGGGCCAACATGCCCGTAACTCTATACATTAAATCCGCTAAGCATTTTTGGGAACAATAAATAAAGCTTAGCTGGTATTAACCTCCAGAAACAGAACAGTGGCTTGCCAGAGGAGTATTAACACGGTAATGAGGGTGCACAGTGCTGCCTTTTAGGGTCCACACAGTTGGTCTTTCATATGGTTACACAACCCCAGGGCACTGCTGCAGATAGAAATGCTCCAATTAAAAACCCAGCTTGACCATGCAGGAAGCAACACTTTAGTACTTTATTGGCAATAAGAGTTCAAGGTTCTTTGCACCAGTTACTCAGCATTTAGCACGCTGGGTAGAATGTGACTTTGCACCACTTGTTGCCCAATTTATATGCCTCAATGGCATGTGTTTAAAATCCTGAATCTGTTCAGCTTTATGTTATGAGGGACAACCAAAGCAAGACAAAAGAATTAACAACAAATAAAATGCGGTACTATCAAGTTAGCACTTTTTGAAAATCCCTTTTCAGGATTCTATTTTAGGTAAAAGACTAAATAAAAGGTAGAACACTTCACAAACATAAAACATAAAATAAATCAAATGCCTCTACTGCAGTCACTATCTATAAGACAATTAAATGTGAGATCGGATCTCTGACCAGCAGCTTCAAAACTACAAAAACATGTTTGAGGCTTCATTTAAATGGATCCTCCAAAACAAAACTTACAGCTATGCAAACTAAGATTTCTCTGCCCATATTCCTCCTCTGCTCCTCTTATTTCTCATCCATCTGTTGCTATAAGGCTTAGTTCAAACAATGTTTTATCAAGTTATCAATACCAAATCAGAAAGCAAAATGTTAAGCATTTTAATAATCTGACAAGCAAAAATTAACTTGCATTTCAAAGTTTCCTTTCTAATTCAAGAAACATGTAAACAGAAATTACGTTTTTTATTTTTTTTTCCCTTCGTTTTGTGACTGGGCCAAAAAGTAAAAATGACTTTTTTGTTCATTGGCACAAATGGAGGTGACGACACACCAGACAGTAACAGTGCTGTTGTAATTGTCACCCTATTAGTAATGCCCCTCTGCAGCCTGTTTCCTTGACTACAGCTCCAAAACTCAGCATGCCCTGCAAACAAAACATACACACACACATTCACAGAATTTATTCTACAAATGACTTTCAAATCTCTTCAGCTTACATACAGCAAAGCTGCGATAAGCATCTATGAGACACACACGATTAATAGACAAATAAAAAATTGCACTGGCCACAAAGCCAATAAATATCGCACAGGCCACAAAGCCAATACATTTTGTGAACAAAATTAAGAATTTATGTAACACCAGCTTATTTATCACTTTATTGTATCTAAGACCTCATTTCACAGAGTGATTTTAGCAAATTTCAACGAATGGAACAGCACCTAATAGGTTTAATAAAAAGGATGCAAAAAAATCTCCAAGGCAAGCAGCCCTTTAGGCTACAGGCTCTGCATCAAATGTAGCCAGGTCCACCGGGCACTAGGCCTGCACAAACACACACACACACACACACACACACACACACACACACATTCACATACTCCATCTATGATGATGCTTAGCGTGCATTTCATCCTGCGATGCATTTTTGATTACTCTAAATAATTCTCTAAATAATATTTAAGACTTAGTGATTGATGTTTCATTTATAATGTCTAGCGCAGTAAATGGTCTAACTGGCTGGAAGCCAGGCGTTTCTCTAAAGAGAGCATGACTCAGCTTCTATATAATCTCTGACAATTTCAGACAAAGGCGGTGACTTCACTTTTATTTTATTACAATTCATAGAAGCACAGAAACACTCGAGCAGTGTGTCTTCACAAAGGAGCAAAAATGAAAGGAAACTGCTTAATTCTCATTTTCTGCTTCCAATCATCTTTTCCTGTCTGCCTTCTCCTTCACTTTGGTCTTTTTCTTTCATCCTTCCAAACAACTTCCTTCTTTTACTCTCCCTTCACCTGTGCCTTTCACTCTCAGCTCTCTCACTTTTCATATGTCTTTCTCTCACTGGTTCAGTGTTTCCATTTGAGCATTTTTGGTCTTCAGGCTTCCGTTTTTCCCACACTCTCCCATGTCACACAGGCCGACCACAAAAATGCACGACTGTGGAGAGTGTGAGGGGCTCTGGAATTCCACATGCCGAGGGTAAACACAGTGCAGGCCAGGAAGGCACACAGAGGAGCAAACACTGCACCTACCCTTCTCCAGCACTATCATACCCCTCTCTCAACTATCATCTCTCTCTAACCCTCCCAGCTCAGGAGCTGTCCAACTTTCTTTAACTTTTTCTTTAGGTTTTACCTGCCATCACTCTTCTCTTTACTCTTCCACTTCTCTTTTAACCCTGTCACATTTCACATCAACAGCAGAAAATATCTAATAATCTTTATTTAACCAAACAACATTCACATACCGCACGCCACTCAGTACCAGCTGTCTTTAATGGCCCAATCCCACAACATTCGCATCTTAGTCCAGCAACCCAAATCTAATTTCACCCCCACTTTCCAGCTCTCTCTGGCCAGAGAACTGTCTCTTGCAGGACAGTGCACGCAGGTCGAGGCATCTCAGCTAAATACACACAGCCAACATTAAAACTACCTTCTTTCCACAAACTGGAGCAGACAAATGATAACATCAAAACCCATTATGGTACACCTTAACTGTATTCTTTCAGAAACAGATACATGTTATCTGGTCCGATTTCTCTAGCTAGGGAACATAAGGCAATGCAGAGCACTTACCGGCATTTGACCATTTTTTAGTAGAGATGTCCAGCTTGTCCCACAGATGCTTCGGCTATATTTGCTCCTTCCATCTATATTTGATCACAGACTCACTCAAATTTCTTTCTAGATGCTTATCTAATCTTCTACAAAAGCATGTCTAATTGTTTTAAATGTAAAACAATTAACATCCCTGATACGCATAAATGTAAAAATGGGACTACTCCCCTCAAATGGTCCCATGACCCCTAATTTTAAACGTTTGTGCTGGTGTATGTGTAGCGTGAGCTTGTGTGGGAGTTGGGGGTAGGGATCCTGGCTTGAGTAGGCGCGAAGGGAGCTGGCTGTCTGACTGCAAGTAGCCCACCATGGTGGCCCATGTGCTTCCAGCAAACAGGCCGCTGCTACCACAGAAGTTTGCCATTGTTGTGTAGTTTGGCCAGATGTGCAGTAATAAAGTCAGGCTGCAGCGTGGGAAACAGTTGACAGTTTGGGCTTTCTCTGGTCCTGCTCCCTAACCCCCACCTCCCACCTTTTTGTCTGCAAATCTCCAAACAAAATAAGGTTTCCAAAGCACTTATAAACACGGCCTGATAGTTGAACTACTCTGTTTACTAAGGTGGCAGAGGTCTATCGTGTGACTGTGTGTGAGTGTGTGTGTGTGTGTGTGTGTGTGTGTTTATGCTGACAGAAGATGAAAACTGATGGTAGCAGAACTGTAACTTCGTACAACACCTACCTGCATATTTTTTAAACTTCTTAAACAGGGTTTTTTTTGTCAATATATTCCTGTTAAGCTCCAGTGTGAATGTACTATTGACTTTCAAATAAAGAACAATACCTGTCATTTCAATAAGGGATGGGCATTTCAGTTCAATTTTATATTAAATTTGCATATAATCTTGAGTCAGGCGGGACTCCGTAGGAAGATGCTGATGTCAAGTGATTGCTCAAACTAAATCAGAATTAGCCATCAGTGGCTTCTTATCACAGGCCCGCCCCACTCAAACTTAAACATCTTCAGCAGTGCTTGACTGAGTATCAGTGAGGGAGCGAGCTAGCTAGCATTTTAAAAACACAGCTTAATTGTGATTAAATTAAAGTAATGCACAGCTTTAATATAAAAATGTGTCTGTAGCACCTCCATTACATAAGATCAGTTCCTCAATTTAACACAGATGAAACTGGGCTTTGGAGAGCACCTCTCTCTCTTCCTCTACTGCAACTGGATGTCTGTATAGTTTGTTGAGTAGTTACTTAGTGCTAACACTATTTATATCTATAACACTATTTGATCTGTCATCTATTTTCTACCCACAGCGCCATCTACTCACAGTGGCCAAATTTATTTTAGCATTCGCCACTAATACTAACATAGTCTCTCCCAGTTTAACGTAACTTTATCTCATGCAAGTACAAAGTCTGACTTCTACCAGAAAACAAAAGCTTAAAAAAAAAGTGTTTGTTTATGTTGCCATGGCTATACCACTATCAATCACCATACGGTCTGAAATGCCTACACAGTCCAGATCAGACAGAGATACTGAGCTTTTCTAGCTTTTCCCTCCATTTGAATTACAGTTTAATCCACAGTAATTTAAATTATTATAATTATTTTTCATCATCAGTAAAAGCAGTGATTACATATATAAAACGTATTGTAAAGTGGAAGAAAAAAAAACATTTTCTGAATTCTTCAGCCTACAAAAAGAGCACGTGTCAGCAATTTTATAAATGTCTTACAGCATTATGAATGGAATGTGACACATTGCAAATAGTAATAAGCAGTTAGTGACACTTGGCACTTTAAACAGCAGATAGCACTATATTACCATTTGTAAGTACGAGCTGTAGTGTGAAATATCCTGTCAATTGTCAACAAAGCATAAGGACTGGTGCATTATGAACTGAACAATGCTGCATATGTCTTAATTCCAAAACATATAACATAATAACATTAACAAACTAAATTTTAGAATGCATTGTGCTCTTATATTGAGGCCTTACTTGGTGATGCGTTGGGTGGCAGCTTTGCGTGAGGGTCCATCTTTTGGTATGGTGCTGGGAGGTTTGGGGGTAAGAACGGTGACCCCACGACTGAGGATCTGGGCTTTGGAATGGCTCTGGGCACTCAGTGCTTGGTTCATGGTGTACCGGGACTGCTGGCTGATTTGAACACAGGATGAGCTGGAGGGAACATGGTTTTGGGGCACAGCACCAGGCACAAGTGTGTGTCCAGCCAGCATGGCCTGGAGACAAACAGACACAGACACAAACATACATTAGAAAATAATGAGTGGTGAAGACAGAACAGGAGAAAGGCATTAAAAATGAAGATATTCACTCTGACACTGACTCTAACCATCTGAAATTGAAACGGTCCGAGCTTTAGTTCCAGTACATCTGTACAATCTTTTCGTAGGAGAACATTAATTAATGTTTCAGTACATTTTCTGCATCTCTGCAAAATAATGACCATATCTTTATGCCTTTATTAGAAACAGCATTTTTCCTGCAAGTCATATGAGGTCAAACAGTAACAGACTCCAAAAGTCAGTGCGTTCATTTACATGGAAGAAAGAAATGTCATGGCTTATCATAACAGCCACTAAATACTTTATAATCGGACATACCACAACACAAAAATTCTTCACATTTCATGCTTGTTTAGACAAGATTTCACTTGAATGAGTAGCTGGACTTGGTAAACATATTCCATCCTGAAAAGAAATTTAATGGCTACTGTTCATTGATTTGAATTGGTTGGGAATGCTGCACATTCCTTCCATCTAGTACAATTTTATACTTTACGTGATTGGAGCACTTCAGAGTTTTTCAGGGCTCTTTAAGCAAAGTGAGAGCACTTCTCTGTGCAAGTTTATTTTCTGTATGCGTGGGGTTTTGTGCTTCTGCAAAAGGATGTATACTCATATATGTTTATGCTTGCTGTGTGTGTTTATCTTCAAAGCATCCAGTAGTGTGACAGTGAGTGTGTTCCGAGGCTGCTAGGTTTTGATGAATGAGAGGGCTGAACTTGCAGGTTGGAGGGTCTGGGTATATGCTTCTGTTGAGCAAGGCCAGGAAAGGGCACCTTTCTAATGTTGCCAAATGGCTGTTGGCCAAGCCAGCCAAGGAGCCGTGCAGTCTGCACCCAGTGACTGGAATATGGAGCAGAGCAGCCCAATAACACACTTCTGATTACTTTATTTCAGTCCACAATGAAATGTGTTTAAACTGGAGATAATCACAGTAGCCGTCATGCCCCTGTAACAACTGTTTTTAACAGCAAAGAACGAAATTTAAATGAGCAGAGAAAAGAACACTAACTACAAACAACATTTTTCTAAGGCACATTATTGGGCATGGCTCAGTTCCTCTAACAGATTCATACAAGAAATGCACAAAAGAGAGTAACAAGCATTTGCACAGATGTGCTAAAATACACCTACAAACTCTCTGGGTCAGAAAGAAATAGAAAGAAATGCAAAAAAATGCGCGTGTCCTCCGAAACAAAGCTTGCCATTTTCTAGGACCAGACTAAGTTGTCGCGTAGGGCTATGTTTTAAGAAATTGTTTTATAAAAGCTTTTTTACCTAATTTTATTTTTCAGATCTCAATGTTCTAAAGATTTCAGGAGGATGTTCAGTGGCATATAATAAGGAAGGGGCACAGCACATTTGAGAGAACAGATGTCGTTCTATAATACTGTGAAAGATGTTGCAGATATCTGTAAGCTTATGTGAGAAGACATACAGTAGAAAAGTAAATGTCTGAAAAGCTCTGAAAAAGTGCTATGAAGAGTGAACCGTCATTCAAATTGTTAAAGTTTAAACGAATCAAAACCACCTGCAAGACACAATCTGGAGGTCAGTGAATGTTCTGTGCCAGGCAGATGGACAGAACAGTATTATTCTTTTCTGAAGGCATTTCTGTGGTTTCATGAATAAGCATCTGGTCAAACAAGAGAAAGAGATCCAATAGGAGGAGCAGAATTAAACTGGTAGAGTTTAGGGAATATCCAGTGATACTGCTCTGACTCATCAAGGCCAAGTTCACCCACTAAGCATACATACATAAAAATACACACACACTCACACACAAATAGATGACCACACACAAACTAAGCGCCACTTGTCTGCTGACCTGTAGTTTGGCTCATTCAGTTCATTGAGGCTTTATTATTGCACAGCACGGAGAATGGATACTGAGCCCACTAAACTGTTTATACCTGCACATATTGTATTTAACCCCTCTTCAACCTTCCGTCTCAATTCAACGAACAGGAACTACATCCTGACTTCGTTTGTACTCTCTAGTTGGGTGTTTGCAGAAATCATTACACAATCACACCAAAATTAAGCCAAGAAAAACAAAAGCACTAATTCTGAAGTTGATCCCAAGCAATGACACATTATTAAAGTATTATACATGAATGACAAAATGACCATATAAATGAACAATGCAGGGTCAATACCAAAGGCTGGGGGAAAGATACAGCATGGAAACAAACACAGACATTTAGACTAAATTTCACAGGAAAAATTAAGATCATAATGCTGAACAGAGTGGAATGTCAAAATACTAAAAATAAAATAAAAGGCAGCAAAAAATGTCAGTCAATTTAAACCTCACAAACAACCCCTTACACTAGAATTGTCAAAAAGAAATTAAATGTTTGTGATGTGTTTTGAGTATCATATCGTTTCAGCATCATTTTGTGGGTTGTTCTTTTTTTGTGTGCTATATAATCAAATCATATTTCACCACTGACCTGATGACGTGTCCGGCTCTGGTCCAGCAGTTGCCTGGACTGCACTTTTTGCTGCTGGAGTTGCTGAATGGCAAATTGGAGCTGATAGCTACCAGAGGTAGGCTGACAACTTTGTTGTGGAGTGGCTCTTATAATGTGGTTATGCTCTCCATCACCCATAGCTTCACACCTGTGACTGCAGAGGAAAAAGAAGAGAACTCTGAATGCACAAAGGTTGGATCATTATGTTTTATCACTCATGTCAGTAGGTGGCAGAGGCAGGCTTTTAACCATGGAAGAAACCCTGAAACAGTTTGTATTCCATTTCGAATGCAGGAAGAACTGAATGACTGGTTTTCAAAGGAACATCATAAAACATAAGCACACTGCATGTTACTGGAAGTGACATGTAACGCAGCTTATGCTGATATCACTATGCTAATGTACTAGAAAAACTACAGTAATGGAAATGAAAACATATGAATTCATTGCGCCAGTTCTTTTTATTATTTACTTGTACAGTTGTACAAATTGTACAGTTTAAACTGTATCACACAAAATGACATAGACTACTATGTCCAGGTACATCCCAGGGACATCCCCAGCATTTAATGACAAAATTTTAAACTTCTAAAAGCTTGACCATGAAGTGCATCTAGAGGATACATTCTTCTGGAAACTAAAGTTAAAATTCAATTAATACCTTTCACTACTTCTAATTTTAAGACAATTAAAGTGAATATCCAGCAATCAAGATTTAAAGGTGCATTTGAGCAAGAATTATAACTTATCATGGTGTGCTGAATTCCTACTGAGATGTGTCTAGGCTAAATGATAACACTAACAATTCTAAGTTATGTTTCACAAATGACCCCATTAAATCAGAATGTTTAAAACATGGGGCACCTGTACCTGTGCAGTTTGTAAAATAAATCATAAAATACTGCATCTTCCTCCTTAATTCTGACAGTAAAGAACCAGATTTTCTGCCCCCACCACCTGCAGCCACCCAGTGGTTAAGGCCAAGTAAGAGTGTGGATTGTGGCAAACATCAGCCTTATAGAACACATAACCTCTCAGTGCCCTGTGTTTGACATGTCACGTTCCATCACCATCACCAGCTGAGTGCCCAGAAAAGCAAACTTTTGAATGATTCCATGCGTTTGTAACCCGATTAGCCCTCACTTGAGCTCAGCTTATGAGAGCCCTTTGCCTTTTTGTTCATCTCTACAACTGCAAGGCATCAGAGAGGGCACCTCAGATCAAGTTCAATACAGCAGCAGTGGAAAAATGCAGAGAGAATGTCTTTAAGTCTTTGTTTAAAGAGAAGCTTAAGCACAGAGAACAGAGAAAACAGGATAAAAGAATTAAGGTCCATGTGTTCCATCCAAACAATAAACTATAAAAAAAAAATGGTCAGAAATTCCTCACATAATGTGTCACACTTCTGTGCAGTGCAAGTTAAGGAAAATATTGTCATGCTCATTGTACTACAAGTGGTATCCTTGTAGCAGGCTACATGTGAAAAGACCATTATGTAGAGTCAAAAATGCACAGAATCAGAAAACTTTCAGCACACTTCTGACATGATTTTCTACAATAAGTGATAAAGCAATTCTGAACTTCAAACCAGTTCTAGCAGTTTTAATGCCCCTCTTCTTAATTATGCTTCAGTCAAAAAAACAACTATTTTTGCAAATCTAAATGCAATAAACCACAAACAGATTGCAAGAGAATGGAACAATAGCAACACTGTTGTAGGAGAGGGATGCACTCTCTGTTAGAGCTAGAGTTCACCCCTGACAGTGATGGTGGGTGTCAGTCAGAAATTACGTATTGTACCCAAAAGTTGATGTGAACAAAAACTACAATGCCAGTCATGCACATGTTAAGTATTATTCTCATGCACAGCTAAATGTGGGAAAAAGGCCTGCTCAGGGAAATGACATCATTCAGCATCATTCCACAGCCCTGGAGTAATACCTCAAAGCACCAAGCTGGTCAATGTGGCTAACATCAGGACACTGAGGATCAGGGTATTTCCATCACCTATTTATTTTCTTTCTCTTTCTCTTTCTTTCTCTCTCTCTGCTCAGCTTAGGAAAACATGGCCAACGCAGGGTCATGCAACATTGAATGTATTGTTAATAAGTGGCTAGCCAAAAGAGACTGAAGGAATTCTGGGAGGTCAAAAGGTCAGAGTTAAGATCAACATAGCCAACATACAATAAGCATCAGTTTCCAGTAACTAAAGACTGCACATTATTATACAGCATGGTAAACCAAGTGCATGTCTGAATGTGTAGCTACAGAAAAGTAGCTTGAGTTTGGTGAAGTGGGGCACAGCTCCCACTGAGCTGTCTCTTGGGTGTCTATGTCGACTTATTAACACAAAACTGTTATCCTAGGGTGGAATTTCTCACTACACTACCTCAGGGGAGAACCCAGCACACAACTCTCCATCTGGATCAAATTAAGATAAATAAAAACCCGTTCATTCAATGGTATACATCAAACTATGGTGTACATCTGACTTTTTTAGAATCTATTTCAGAAGCTCTGACAGATGATTCTACAGGTTTTAGGAAGTACTAAATTAAGTTTAAGAACAAATCTAGCCAAAACATAAAGTACTGTGCAAAGGTCAGAGACCATCCTTTATTTATTTAATCTCCAGATAAATAGCTATTAGGTACAACTTATTTAAATTTTCAGTATTTATTTTTAGTGTTTTCACCCTTTGTCTTTATTACAGCTTCAATTCTTTTTGGGAGGCTGGCTTTAAATTTTTAAATGAAATCTACAAGGAGACTTTTCCGCACCACCAAAGATTCGTCTTAGACAATGGATGCATTTTCTGCTTTTCACAGTCCAAGTAATCGCAAAAATTCAGTGATGTTCATTGTTGACCCTAAATCTAGGGGTTTGGGGGGTCATAAACATGAAGCAGGTGTGGAAGATGCTGTGCAAGGAGAGAGCGATTAAAACTACAAGAAACTTTATGCTGAAAAAAACATCATGTATATTATACAAGATTATACAACACAGACAGTCCAACAGTAACAAACATACCAAATTCCAGTTTTAACTGTTACAGAACCAAGTTGGTGCTTCTCTTGGGAAAACGGCCATGGACAGCACCAATGAAAAAATATAAACAAAACCTATTTCACCTAAACCTAAACTAATAAAATAAGCAGTCTAACTGAAAACAAAACACACATATATATATGTGTAAAACACACATATATACGCCTGTTCTCTTACCTAGTGTGTTTAACAAAGGGCTTCCTACATGTTGTTCATGTACAGGTGCACCCAAACTAGCCCAAACGTTTCCCTAGATTTTAAAAGCAACCAACTGGACTGGACTGTCAACTGGACTTCACAAGATTACCAACAAGGCTAACAAGGATTTTGGATTTTAAGCTAAGCTCTTAGTTATGTAAAATACTTAAAGCGATTTTTCTACCGCATCTCTTCTACAAAAAAATCACCAAGTATTTTACATAACTAAGAGCTTTGTTATGTAAAATACTTGAAGCGATTTTTCTACCGCTCTATTACAAAAAAGACAGAAGCTAGCATGAACACTAAAACATTTGCCTGAGAGCTTCTTAAAGGTAAGTGACAGCCCTTCTGCTATCTTGTCTCTGCATGGTCCTAAGACTGAAGCTCCTCCCGTTCCACTGACATTGTCCCTTCTGATTGGTCAACTGAGTAGAACTGCATCCACCAATGGGAAGGAAGCTGTGACAGAATGCATTGTACAAAAATAAAAAACAGCCACTTCCTTTTTTAATCACTGAATAGTTTAACTGATGTTTGTTAAACTTGGGCAAATAATAACAAATAGGATGATCAATACCATTGTCATCCTCCTGCAACAGGACTGCACCAGCTCCCACTGCACTAGCATTCATTTCCATCTTCAACAGTTTGGAGAGGTCAGGAACAGTAAGTACTAGAGAAGTACATAGTAAAGCCTTAATGTGCTCAAATGCATGCTGGCACTCCAGGGACCATATAAACTTTCTACTGGGACTTCCTACTTCCTACAGCGTCATAGAGAAGCTACCATAGAGAAATTTTCAGAACCTGTGATAGTATCTTATCATGTGGCTTCTTGACAGCTACATGTCCTTTCAGGCCCATAGCAACAATCTGTTTTCTCACAGAGGCTAAACAGGAACAATTGTGGATTTTTTTCCATATCTGAAGCAAAAGTGGAGCTTATTTTTCTCTGGTTAAACATCTGAAGCATGGTCTCTGACGTTTGTACAGTACTATACTTCAGTACCTACAATTCAAACTCAGCTACAGGTTCCTGTTACGAGTTTAGTTTTTCAGTTTAGTTACTCCTATACATCAGTTCCTTAAACAAAAACATCTCACAAAGTACCACAAAGTGAGTTCCACTTTAGGGGGATGCTAAAGCTTTCAAGCAATTGTGTCAAAAGCTATTAATGTAGAGCATTCCATACTTATTAGACTGAGTCAAAGTTTCCTGAAGGTAAGATCTTAACAACCTAACATCATTCACCCATACCAAAAGATGGGTAAACACTTAGTCATGTTGTGTCAACTGTTCATTATTACAACAACCAAAAAGTAATAAAACGCATGCAGTAAATCACCTTTTTTTTTATTTATGTCAGATAAAAGCTTCAGCATAATAACAGAGATAACTAACAGACTACACTGCTCATGTGAGCAGAAAACCACAGAAATAAAAGGTCTGTTTTTTTTTGCTGATCTTGAAGAAGGAAACAGACAGAGTACTACAGCTGGTATAAGGAGCCAAGGTAAAGGAGAAAGTCAAATCAGCATTATCCTCTCTGCTGGGCTCCTCATTCCTTCAGCTGTACTCCAAAACCTAAATATTCAATAATTATGACATTCCATTACAATCCTTAACCCCGTCTATTATTACTGTTTGCAAGCGGTACCCAATAACTTACTGGAAATGAATCTCTACCTAAGCCAAGAGCAGAGGCAGTTCGAGCACCCATCCAAGAGCAGCTAAAATTACCAAAATATTTCACAGACTTATGACAACACTGTCATTTACAATGTTTGCCACACACTTGCTGTTAAAATCTAATAATACAATGCTCAGCCACAGGTCATATATTCTGTTGTTAGATTACTTTAAAAAGGTCAGTGTCAGGACTATCAGCATTCAACAGAAAGTGGATGAATCATTAAATCAAACCAAATGGCAGCACTGTTTTTTTATCAGATTCAATAAGATGCAATTTCAGTTCCAACTCTGGGTTTAGGGGTTAACAGGTACAAATGAAGGGTACATTCGTGGCAGTACAATAGGTGAAAAAAAAAAATAGGAGTGGGAATATGGTTTGGAAGTGCTGATACAGCATACCTGGCAGCTCCTGGCGAGAGCAACTTCAAAGGCCCCTACTCTTTGAAAGGCATCACGCCTCACCCCCTTGGCTTCTTAAAGAGCCAGTATGCTTAACGGCTTCAGCATGTTTGGCACAGACCACTGGTCTCAAAATGCTGGATTTGGAGAGTTGAGGGAGGGCTCAGGAAATCAAACAGTAAAAGACAGCATAGTGGTCGCAACAATCAGGTAGACATATCCCATTAACTTGTTAAAATAATGACACTTTAGACATTTTCAGTATTAGTAGACCGTATTCAAGGTGTAGAGGGATAACAACAGGCTGGTTTGCTTTAATTTAGTTTGGTTTGGGGCAAAGCAGACAGCAGCCAGTGGAAAGTTCCAGGCAGATGCTACACAAAAGGGATGCCACGTTTTGACCAGAAACAAACCTTCAACTACAAACACAGACCTACTGCCAAAACAAAAAAGGGAATAGTTCAGGGCAAAGACTACATTCTCTTAGGTATTATCACCAGTAATATTAATCACGACCGTGGCCAGGATTCAAAAAGGAGGGATGATTTCATATAAGCTAGCATGGTGGCAATTGCTACATACTGTGTGAGTGGAGTGAAAGGTGCTCTGTAAAGAAGTGTAACCAGATAATAAGAAAGAGAACAAGCCAACAAGGCATTTAGGTTATTAGAAGTGAAAGTCTGTTTTGGATATCTAAGCAAGCAACCTTTGAGAAGAATATAAATTGTAAAAAGTCTTTCATTCTTTTGTGGAAATAAAAACATTTTAAAAAGGAAAAAAGCCAGACATTTCAGGAATTCCTTGATAGTTCCATACATAAAGAAGGGTTGGACTAGAAAAACAGAAAAGGAGAGATGAGGGCCAAAGTGTCTGAGACATTGTCACTCACGTATCACTGTAAAAATACAGAAGAAACCACATATACTTAACCCTTCCTGTGCTTGTATGGCTCTCTGAAGCACTGCATAAAAAGTTCCATGCAAGGATTGCTGAAACAGCAGTATAACCACCCCCTCCCACTAGGTTAGCCCTCTAACATGGGCTTAAAAAAAAATCAGACACGTAATGTTATTTGAAACTATAGATGAAGTACAAAAATATCTTTTATTACTGCAATTATCTTCCTCTTTCACTCATTCTCTCCCCCACAGAGATGACATAAGTCAGAATAACAAATTGAATGTAGGAGCCGTTTCTGATAGAATGCATGTGGGAGAGAAAATGTTTTATTCTACCTCTTGCCCTGATCCACCACAAAGATTTCTGCTATAGCCAACTTTATACACACACACACACACACACACACACACGCACACACACACACAAACACGAAGACAAAGACAGACAGATGGGGTAAGAGGTGTGCTTCTTATTTCAAAGTTCCATAAACACTCAACTAAAAAGTGCAAGCTTTCTTTGACAGATAGAAGATTCTTAAATTTCAAAGGGGTGGTAATGAATTTTGCTCAGAAGTCCCACAGCTTAAACGACTTCTTTTCCACCAAAATGTAGACTCCCAGCTCTCTTTAAAGATTCTTCAGAGACCATTAAACTGGCCTTTAAGTTTTATTGCCTGTGACCGATTTGGCCAACACAAACTAAGCACCTATAAAATTGTCCAGAGATGATTACACTGAGAAAGGCTACAGAATACTAATTTGCCCCATTCAGTGAGAAACATTCAGTTAGTCTCTCTGTAACACGCACAGGATTTGAACCCTACAATCTTGTATAACTCTTAAAACACACTGCCTTTGACTGAAGGGAGAACTGATTGGTAAGGAGAAAAGTGAAAAAACAGAGGTAGAGAGGGAAGAACTAGTGTTGCATCAATATTGATTCTGTATTGGTACCGGCCCCGTTATGGGCACTTAAATAAAGTATTAGTATTGGCAATAGAGAATACTGATACCATGAAGCAATTTCTGATGTGCATCTGTACTACTGAATGATGCTAGCATGCGCATCAGTGGATGGAGATAAACTGAAGCAAACAACACTATTTCACACTTGAGACAAGCAGTTGTAAAAACGCTCAATGCAAAATCTGTAACGGCAGTATGTCAAGGGGTAGCACGGTCAGCAAGGATTTCAGTTCAAATCAGCCAATCAACCAAAAAACATCCTTTTATGCCAATCCCCAGGAAAAGTAGTGATCTGATTTAGAAAGTATGTAGAGGAAGCAAGTGTAATATTTTCTCACTGCACAGTGACAGGACCACAAATGGTAAGAGGCATTTGTGGAATTCTAAAGGTTGTATTATTAAAAGAAGAATGAACGCATAATGCAACCACAAAATCCTTTCACTCCAATTCCAACATTTACCATGGCACATGCAGACCTATTAGTCCAAAAATGACCGGATTTCTCATAGTCACAACACAGAAATGAACTACAATAGCACCAAAAACAACAGTGGTGTAATGTTTCATTACTGTGCCGTGCTGCATGATGGTGTACGCTTGTTATCACAAATGCATAAGAGACTGCTTGTGAAACAACTTGTAAACTTAATATACTGTGATGTCAGCCTTACAACAAGTGTTCAAATAGTGCTCCTTGTTAGTCCAAGCAGACCGGCATGTGCATGTGTATGTGTGTGCGTGTGTACATGCATGCATGTGCACTTACCTGCCAGCTCCAGAGAGGCTAGCGTCTGAGTGTAGGGCTCTCACTGTTGCAGGCTGCACCCCTGGGGACAGGCTGAGTCCTCCTCTGCTGAACACTCCATTGGCCAGGTTCAGATTGGTCAACTATGGGAAGGAAAAAACATTTTTTGTCTAATTACACAGTAACAATCAAAATAAACATGATCTCATACTTAAAGCTCTCTCTGCTCAAGTTATGTACTGAAAAACATTGCAAAAACAGAGTTAAGGACACACGCATAGAAGCCCATTGCAGCACTGTGTATTCTGATGTAACCCTGATGCTGTGCGCAACTTTAGGCCACATGGCTATTTGGTGGTGGCTTTGCATATGTTCCAGCGGTCTTCCCCTAATCCTCAATAGGAGTGTTTCAGTTTACACTTGACTGACCATGACACAGTACCCTGTGGTGACTGAGGAGAAGCAACAGTGACAAGTAATCCAACAGCCAACCCCAGGTCAACAGGTTTAACTTAAAAAAAAAGTTTTCTGTTCTCTCTAATTTTTTATGTTTTTTTTCAAGATAAAGTGACTTCAGAATAAAAGACTTTCTATGCAACTTGCAAGCAAGTAGTTTGTTTTCATCACTCCTACAATTCACTTCTAGCAATAAAAATGCCTTACATAATGATGTCATTTCCTGTATAAAAAAGTTTTGGTTTATCAACAAAAAAGTTTTTACCTTTTTATTGTATATTTGTTTGTTTTGAGTTTTATGTCTATCTCTAAGTGCTGAAACACAGCAGCATTTCTTTTAAAAACTCTCATCTTCTGCTCAGTCTAACTACATCTCTCTGCCATGCGTGTGTTGGTTTTGTTTCTTGTGACAGGCACATCAGGAAAATCTGGCACAGCGCTAAATTTATACGGAATTGCACGAATTTCATATAAAGAAATAAATAATTATATAAAATAACATTTTCAGCGTAGGTTTCAGGTATCGACAAATTTTCCACTTAAGTTGAACGGAAAAAAGCTTTGTCGACATTCCTAAATTATAACAGATAACTTCTCTTTCTATAGCCTACAATGTCAAACTTCTCAAGCATTAAAACATTTTTTGTAAAAATCCTTTGTAGCTACTGACAGCACTTTTGTTGGTCTATTTGACTCAGCATAAAACATAACAAAATATAACACTACAAAACCTAAAACAGTATGTGCCATAACATTTAACATTTTTGTGATTTGCAAACAACTTGGAATGAATAAAATGCACCAGCAAGACTTTGAGTACACTGAGTTACTACACATTGGTAGTTGTTTACAGGCTCTCTATAATTGGTCTAACTCTTTATTTTTTTATGAAACATTGTTGTTCTGTACTCTAGACCATAGATTGACCATACCTTGAATATAGGGGTGCAACGAATATTCAATGTAGTCGACTAAAAAGGATGACCAATTTAGTTGGCAGCAAATGTAGTTGTCGATTAGTTGGTGACGTCATCGCGTATGTTTTTTGTGCTGAATGCTTGGACATGTAGGCTTTACCGCTTACTGGAGTGAAGCGAAAAGTAGCGCATAGGCAACACCTTCACGACCAAAAGACTTCTCAGCAACATATGCAAAACTGACTCTACTTGGCATGGGACCACATCAGTTATGCTAAAGCATCTAAAGAGGAAGCGCGTTGGCTCTCTGAATGATGAAGACTTGTCTTGGTAAACTAGCTAGCTAGTTAATGTTCCTGAAAACCAGTCATGTTACTTCACTTTATGAGCTACAGCTGAAGTTTTCTATTTTGGAATACATTTTCTCTCAATCAATGGATTGTTAATGGCGTTGAACATACTAGAAAGCTGCACGGGAATGGAAATAGCGGTAACACTGCGGATTTCCACAGTAATCCACAGTTATGGAGACGAAATATTCTGTGAATGTTGTTAAACTTTACAATATTCCTGAAAAAATTAGTATGAGTGCCGTCTTCCACACAGTTTAATCCAAAACATTCTCAGCTTCTGTACTGAGATAATTTTTTCTCTGCTTGAAGGATACAGTCTTAAACATTGCGTTGACGTCATGGTAATGTTTACAGCTAGAGAACGTGTTGCTGCAGAGCACCAAAATTTTGTGAACACTGGAAAATTTGTTACTTTCTAAATCTACAACTCCTGTCTATGCGTGCGTGCCCAATGTGGATTACATTCGAATTCATTTGTGATTCATTGTTTTATTATGTTCAAACTTGAAAAAAGGAAAAAAGTGACACATTTATCGTGAAACTACACATATAGAGGGGCAATAAATATAGGACGTATGGGGGGAAATACATCTTTATTGTCTTTATTGTTAGACAGCACATGCCAAAAACAACCTCAAGCTATATGTAAACGCTGATAGCTAAATAAGATCCACTGAGTAACTGTACGATTCCTAATAGTCGATTATTCGTTTCAATAATCAAGATTATTTGACTATCAAAATAGTTGTTAGTCACATTAATATACATAACGTTAACATATCATATTGCTATCCGTAGTATGACCCTAGGAGAGACCTCTGCCATGGTATATGGTTAGAAAGCTAGAGAAGTATAAGCAGACCAATAATCAAGGACCTGGTCAATTCACAAAACAACATGTATGTGCAAAATATGTATACAGAGAGACAGAAAGCTGACTTTCGCTCTATGTATTTTTTAACATTTTCTAATTCTGAAACATGAAGTAGAGGTTATCTAGAAGCCATTACCATTCACCCAAAGGAAATGCAATTATAGCTAACACAGAGCCCAGAAAGGAGGAAGTGATTATATTCTCTACATATCTCTCCCACTCTAATCAGTAACACATAGGCTATAAACAAAGCCTACACTCATGAAAAGCACTGGACCAAGAGACTGATGTAACATCTGCAGGAATGATTAGATGAGCAGTGATTAAACATCAAGTCCACAACATAGATTTGCTTTTCTGAATGTACTGTCTTTATAAGACCAGAACTGCAGCACTGTACTCTTCCTGCCTTTTTAGAGCTGACAGAACTGTTTATTTTCCCAGAGTTTTAGGCTGGGTTTCTAGGCAGGTGGACAGCTTGTTTGTCTGGTTGTCATGCCAGAGAAGAGGAAATGTCAAACATTCCTCAGCGACAGGTGTTTAAATTAATGCAAGATCTGACAGAGCACAGCCAGGCTTTTGGAGCTTCCTTGGTTTTCTTAAAGGAGTGTATTTTCTGAATACATATTTGCTTGAGATCCACCATCCCTTGTCAAAAGATATCAAAGAACGTTGCTCTTAAACAGAAATAGCATGGCCAACACTAAAAACAGCACTTCATTACAGTGCTGTGCTGCATAGCTGGTCATTTTGCCTGTTAAAAAGAAAAAAGCCAGAGGTGCTTTTGTCCATTTAGATAAAAGGTAACACTGTGCTGTATACTTTCATTTTTCTCTGCAATGAAAGGCTTGATTTATTTCCCATTCCAGACTACTTGTTAAAAATTCATCAGTGCATTATACAATGTTGAAAAATTAATGCTTTTCTAATTGCAAATAGTTTGGACCATCTTAAAATATACTAATATTATACAATAAAGTACCACATAGCTTTAAAGACTAATGTGTTCCTTTTGCTTGCAATTTTGCACAAGGCCATTAAAACTTTGCTGAATCGTATCATATCTGTGCCCAGTTTCACAGTATCTTATGCCTGTACTACAAAATCCCAGCATTTGAATTTAGCCTGTCTGTGGGTCAAATGCCACTAAGAAGTGCCACGTCTCCAGTGCGAGTTAAGAGGAAATTGCAGTCATATCTCAGCCACATTACAAACACTGAATGCCTCAGAAGATGACCAACCTAGAGCAATGATTTAATTGAAAAGCTAAATATATGTTGCTAGACTTAAGTCAGATATGCAAAGTATGTCCCTTTTCGGGACCCTAAATGTTCATTTTATTTGTCTCTTGCTCTCATGACCGCAGATCTAAAAATACAGGAAAATCGTCAGCAAATTATCCATTTAGTGCAGGAACAGACACATTTAAAACATCTGTCAGTGAAACTATGATGTTATTCCAGCCAAAAGACTTGATGGTGGATGAATGAAATATCTTACTGCCTCAATTCTCCTGGGTAGAAAGAATACCAGCCAAGATGGCAGTAAGCTTTTCTAATGTGAATATCTTTGCATGGTGCAGCTTCTATATTTGGGGCTAAATGAGCCGAGGTGAAACAGAAATGTTATTATGCTAGGCTGTACTGAGTGTGCGTGTGCTAATGATGCATGTTAAAGCTGAAAGGTTACTTCATGATGGCTATCATGTTGCACTTGCATTTCTGGCCAAGGTCACAAGAGGCACTTAAAAAAAAATATTGTTTTGATTTTTGAAAGTGCCATTTACACAATCACAGAGCCTTTTTCGAGTAACCATGTTATCCATTATCTGACATAATGCACCACATATCATCTAAAATGCATTTCTATCACAGTTATATGCTCTTTCGTGTTATGGTACTGTAAATGAAGTCAGTCAGTATGTATAGGCTTATGCCAAGAGAACACTGCATGTACACTTGTTAGGACAGCCAGCTATAATATTTGGTCACTAAAATAACTTGTTAGCAAATGGGGTCATTGCATAACAATGATTTATCTTAATGATTTACTTTTAAAGTTTCAAAGAGTATATAAGCAGGGTCGCACTCAGGTCTCATAGTGTGACAACTAAATGATAAAATGAGGAAAAATAAAAAGAGTCATCTGAAAAAACAACATAAATTAACATTACAAGAAAATATTTCTATATACCCATGCAAGAAAAAGAAAGAAAGAAAATATAAAGAAAGCGAATGCCACAACAGGCCACTTTCAGGACACAATAATTTAAAAATGCATTTTTAAAGTTTGTACAAAAGAAACAAGCTCTTAGAGCACCTAAATTCTCATAAAATTTAGCAGACTCATTTCGAATGCTTATTTTACCAGATATAAAGTATTTCACAGCACTGATAGCAAAGCTGCCTCCAAAAGTGTAACTGGGGACAAAGTCTTGCAAATTAATAGAACTTTACAACATACAACTATTTGATTTAATTCCAGTGCAAAAGAAAGCAAAGAACAGATTTGTTCATGTGTTTGTAACTCATAAAACTGTATCCTGGAAAGTAAGTCTCCACCATGACCCAAATGAACTTTCCATGGTAAACAAAGCAAACACCTTCTAATGTAACAGTATACATTAGAGCGGAGAACTGGGGAGACATAAAATGTGCAATCTGTGTGGTCTAGTGACATCGCAAAGAGGAGAAAGGAAGGGAAGGAATTAAAAGGAGCTCAGCCAGTGGGCTTCCCAGTGAAAACCTTCAGGGCAGAAATGATATACAGAAAAAAAAACAAGAGGTAGCACACATACAGTTCTTACACTGCCACTTGGTGCCAATTTGCCTCATTCTTTTATTTATAAGCATCAATTACTCAGAAAAAAAATCCGCCTGCCTGCTAAATATCAACAAAAAGTACCTCCCCTGTGGAGCATCTGATAATGAGACCTCACACAGAACTGCTGCAGACATGTATCATCCACTGACTCTACCAAGCACCATGCTACAGGACCCTTCAAGACTCTCTTATCTTTGACACTGCTTAAGCACTAAAAAAAAGGCTATGTTATCATTACTATTCACACCAAATGCTAACAACTGAAAGTAATGGTAATCAGCAGTACCATGTACTTTATGTGCTGTACATATAGCCAAGAAAAAAAAGCTTTCTGATAGTAATTTTTATGAAAATCTGCTTTCCCTACATTCCATAGTAAATTTCTGATATCAGAAATAATAGTCACGTATCCCGTAATGGCATTATATGAGCTCCCTAAAATCCAAAAGATTATAGGCTTGACATGAAAGTATTAGAGCACTACATTTCTGGAGGGCAAAAGGCTTTGCCACCCTGTAATGCCTTGCTGAGGAATTTCCAGAAAGAAACTTAATGTAAACAATGTGAAGATTTAGTACTGTGCCAAAGTCAGAGCCACCCTTTTTCAGAGACCCATTTAATTTTCAGTTAAATACTATTTAAAAAAAAAAAAACATCATATAGTGACTGGGCACTCACATGTTGTGTAAGCAGGCTAATGTGGCTGGAGGTGCTGTACTGGCGAGCTGCTTGTTTCTCCACTAGTTTCTTCAGGGCAGAGACAATAGCCTGCTGGTTAGACTGGGCCTGGGCTGACAGCGAATCTGGCTCCTTAAACACTCCTGCAGAACCAGGTCGGGGTTTACTAGCCTTATGAATCACTGAAGGACAAACAAAAGCATATAGCACATCACAGAGCTGAAGAATTCCTGAACTGATAAATGCACAGTATACGAGATCCATACCATGTGTTATTGACAGAAGATAACAACAGTTTACCCTGCCCTGCAGAGGAAGGGCGTGAGAGTTTCTGATTGTAGAAGTTCACAGCGTTGGGATTGGACGTTCCAGTGGAGATGCCATTAGTAGAAGGCTGTTCCAAACGAGAAAACCGGAGTCGCTGCAGTACATCAGTAGTAGCCACTGATCCAGCTGAACTAGAAACTGATGAAGCCCACATGACACGTGTAGGCTGGAGGGTGTTGGATGAAGAAGGTAGAGCAGCCTGTGGTTTGTTTTGAGGTTCAGCATGTGGGTGTGGTGGAGGCTGAATGTATGGTGGGGGTTGGGGTTCAGAAACAGGTGGTGGGAAACAGTGCTGCAGGTGGATGTGCTCACAGTCTAAGGCTGCAGGATAAGACGAAGTGTGCTGGGAAGCCAGAACCCTGGCTTGGGCTTTACAACTTTTTACAATTTCAGGCTGCACCTCGTTGACTTTGACTATTTTTGATAGGGCTGTGGGGTGGGATTTGTCACTGCCAAGGTCTCCATCTGGTGTACTTCTCATTTTGATTTCATTACTTTCAGTCTCAAATGCAGCTAAGACTTCAGACTGAACTTCAGTCACTGTATCTCCAATCTGGGTTTTGTTGCTTCTGTTTTCACTGTTATTTAATGTACTGCATTTGCTATCTCTATTTTGGACAGTGTTACGGTGCTTGGCCGTATTAAGAGTTATAGCGATTTTGTTCTCTCTGGGTTGGGTTGCACTCTCTTGAATTTCTTCTTCTTTTTTTGCTTGGCTGGCCTTGACAACAGTCACAGAGGACTCTGATTTGGCATTCATCAAAGCTAGTTAGAGAAAAAAAAATGTAAAAGATAATTAACATAGATCAAACACAACTGTTTCAGGCCACCGTTACGTCTGACCTTAAACACAATATCTTCATAAAACCACACTTCATGCCGAAGATGAACCACATGACAAGTGTTTTTTAAAGGTATGCCTAGATCATCAGGTAATATTGTTTGAGGAGAACTTGACTCATAGTATTGGCAAACACTAGCTCACACATTTGTGTGATGTTTAAAAGGCAAATTGCATCACTGTGTTATGGTTTAGATCAATTATGCCCAACAACAAAAACTATTTTAAATGTGTTTGTTAATAGTTAAATGTGTCTGTTATTAGTTATGCCTAATAACAAGCAAATATTTTAATTGTGCAACATTAAGAAGAAAAAAACAACAGTAATAGACTGTTTTACAAGTTATGTATAACCTGAACCGACTTGTGTATGTATACTACATGCTGTGTTGCAACAAACTATTCATGTATAAATACATATTAAACAACAAAATCAACTACTCACTTTTCCTGGTGTGATATTTTGCTGGTTCTCCTGAGCCCTTCCGGCATTCTTTGTTACTGTCTGTCTCAGAACTCTGAGATTTGGTCCCCAAAAACACGCTGGCAGATTGGTTCTTGTGTGTGTAGAAAGTGAGGACTTCTTCTAGATCACTTTCACTTTGAAGACGTGAGAATAAAAATGGACAACACAAATTGATACTATCATTATTCACACTAACATTAAGTGATGCTTGCATAAAAGAAATAAGTATGTCAGCCTGAAAGAGTGATAATTAGTACACCAACCTTGCTTCCAGAATAAACTCCTGAAATACATTTGGATTGATACAATGATCTTCATCTTTAATCTTCTCCAAACTTTTGACCATTTGCTCAGTCTCCTAGGTATGTTACATTTGAACCAATAAGTTACTCCATTTATATTTTTTCTCCTTTTTATTTAGGTAGGAATATGCATAAATTAAGACTAATCATCATTTTATATGTAAATTATGTTAAAAATAAACCTTGTTATAGAAGTGGATGAATTCCCCCAGTTGATGGGACAATATGCGTTGACGGTCAGGCAGGGAAAGCTGGCGGCTGGGCAACACCACACGCATGTCCTGCTGCAGGTTACTGGCAGCTCTCTTTAGGAAGCGCATTACCAACTCCTGCAGAATGACAGAGAGAGTGGAGTCAGGCATGGAAAAATTAAACTCCTGACCAATGGCTATGCAAACAGCTTCAAGTTTCTCTTTTCCTCTGAAGCTGAAGCAGAAGAAACTTCTGTGGAAGCCATTTTTGGTGGGGTGTTTTCAGTATTTCATAATCCAGTTGCTGCAAATCAGCATTTTTCTGCAGTACAATCATGGACCTCATGGAAGAACATGCATAATCAGCAGAGAGATTTGAACAGTAGAGCTCCCATTTTCTGGTTTAATCCTCCACAAACCATCTCAATTTAAACACACCTGTTATTGAATAAGATTTATTTAGACATAGTGGGTGAATGTAAACATTAACTTTACTAATTTTTAAGCATATGGGCACTTCAGGCTGACAATCTCAAACTAAAGCTCAAGAAAAAAAAATATATAGTTAATAGAAGATATAAGTGACAGATTAATCACAGTCACAAAAGTAACTGCTGGCTGCAGCTTAAAAAGTGCAACTTCATTAACAAATGACTTCAATCCATATATTATATAATCCAATAAACTCTAAAGTCATTTACCATTTGGTCATTGTCCCTCTCTGATGAGGCAGAGCTACGGTTTGCTCTGCTCTCTGTAAGCAGCCTCATCTGGACTCGGTGAAGGTAGGAAGAGAAGGCCATCCGGGCCTGCACCTTACTGCAGAGGAAAGAGGCAGGGTGATGAGGTCACAGGGGGAGCAGAGGGGTGGAGGGAGAAAAGGTTAAACATTTCTTCAAAAACCGGCATGGAGAGGAGAAGAAAACATGGGACAGTACAAAATGAGGAAAGCAACATGCAAGAAGAAAGCATGGTGAAAGAAATACAAAATCAGATAGAGGGAATGAAAAAGAGACAAATGAAGACTGTATAAACCCTGTCAGCTAGACTGGCTGGCAAGAACATCATGACGAGGAAAAAAAAAAAATACACTTTGAAGACTGAAAAAGGTCGAGAAATGAACAGTTTCACACAGTACACAGAGTACATGTTTGCCATCAGGAATCTTAAGTACACCACGACTGATGCACATCTCATTTGTTTTTACAGGTTGGGCATGACAGATGTAACAAACAGTGGTATGTGTCAGTGCAACGAAAGTATTTGTTGATGTCTTTCTTCAGGAAAAGAAGGACTTGAATTCAGTCAGAAGACTGGTGAACTGTTTAGATGTCCAAGCAGAACCTGGGATGGGCAGTGGGACTACAATGCAACAGAAAAATGTTTTGAAAAAAGCTGTCAAACACAAACAATGATATACTGTACTCTAATTGCCCAGGTCCCTTTTCAGTCTTGGCAAGCACAGAGGAATTTCTACAAACTCAGACTTGTCATTATAATTCCCTGCTCAAATTACAATTTCTGACGCGCTTTATAAGTCAAGGGGAGACTGGTGTCTTTGTTACACTTTCGACAGGAGTATGTAATATTCATTAATGTCACAGTATAAAAAGAACAGGTCTAAATATTTTTGTAGGGCTATTGCATAACATGAGGGGGGAGTGAATGTGTTTCAAGTCCTTCCAGGATCCTGCAAAATGTTAAACAAAGGAAAGACAGTCTGACTCCAGCAATTAGGCAGCCAATCTGAGCCAGACTCTCTACATGGAGGTCAGGGTTGACCTGCAGGATTGGTTGGCTGGAGAAGGATCCACTTCCTGTGTGAATGAGGTAGACACTGAGGAGTCGTGCAAAAGGAGTGAAAACATGCTGCGGCAGTGGATGAAAAGGACAGTACAGCGCTGCCAGAGTTTTGTCCTGAGCTTTCCTTGCCTCTCTGCTGAGAGTTTCCTTACAGTAACTCAAGTTCTCAAAAAGTTTATACTGACTCAAGTGAGTGTGTGCATGTGTGTGTGTACTCTGTATGTGTTTGTGTGTATTTTAGAAGTCTGGCGTCTTTATCAGCAGTTTAGTAAAGTTGTCTATTTTTTCATGTGTTTTGTCCTACACCACTTCCCAGAGTAGGAACACAGACAAATAGTCAATAAAAAGAAAACAAAGAAGCTAACAACAGAATCGACTCAAGCAATGCAGTCATAAAAAGCATCTCAGAATAAGATGTATATATACAGTGCTGTGAGAAAGTATTTGCCCCTTCCCAATTTCTTCTATTTCTGCATATTTGCCACACTTGAATGCTTTCATCAAGCTACTTTTAATATTAGACAAAGCTAACCCCAGTAAACATAAAATGCTGTTTTTAAATGATGATTTCATCTATTGAAAGAAACATGCTGTTCAGCCCCACATGGCCCTGTGTGAAAAAGAAATTGCTACTAAAACAACCAGTTAACCAAATTCAACTGACTAACGGGTTCAATTTCACCAGCCACACCAGGCATTACTGCCAGACCTGTTTAATCTAAACATCACTTAAATAGAACATGTCTGGCAATGTGAAGCAGGCTAGATGGGCTCAAAAAGCAGCACATGATGCCACATTCTAAAGAGTTTAAAATACAGATGCGTCATTGAAACCTACCAGTCTGGAAAGGGTTACAAAGCCATTGCCAAGGGTCTAGGACTTGCGAACCACAGTGAGAACCATTATTCACAAAAGGAAAAAAAGTGGGAACAGTGGTAAACTTTCCCAGGAGTGGCCAGCCTCCCAAAATTTTTGAGCCCAAGAGTGCATCGACGACTCATTCAGGAGGTCACAAAAGAACCCACATGAACATCTATAGAATCGCTGGCCTAACTTGCTACAGTTAATGTTAATGTACATGATTCCACAATAAGAAAGACACTGGGCAAAAATGCCATCCATGGGAAAGCTGCAAGACACAAACCACTGCTGACCAAAAAGAACACAAAGGCTCATCTTGCTTTTACCAAAAAACACCTTTTTGGAAGACACGAGTCCCATTACATCTGGTGTAAAGCTAACATCGCGCTGTCCCTAAGAACATCATACCAACAGTCAAACATGGTGGTGGTAGTGTGATGTTCTGGAGCTGCTTTGCTTCTGCAGATGTGGACAACCCGTCGTAATTGATGGAGCCATGAATTCTGCTTCCTATCACAAAATCCTGATGGAGAATGTCTGCCCATCAGTTCGTGACCTAAAGCTCAAGTGCAGTTGGATTATGCAGCAGGACAATGATCCGAAGCACACAAGCAAATCCACCTCTGAATGACTCCAAAGCAAACAAAATTAAGGTTTTGGAGTGGCCGAGTGGCCAAGTCCTGACCTGAATCCCATTAAGATGCTGGGGCGAAACCTTAAACGGGCAGTTCATGCTTGAAAACCCTTCAATGAAGCCAAATTAAAACAATTCTGCAAAGAAGAGTGAGCCAAAATTCCCCCACAGCGATGCAAAAGACCAATCGCAAGTTATCACAAACTTTTGATTGCAGTTGCTTCTGCCAAGAATGGCACAGTTATCAGATTTAGGGGCAGATTTATTACTTTTTCACAAGGGGTAATATAGGTTTTGAATGAATCTTTATCCTCAATAAATGGAATGATACTTTTAAAGCTGTGTTAACTCTTGCTGTCTTTATCATATAATAAAATTATTTGGATGATCTGAAACATTTAAATGTGACAAAGCAAAAACACTTTTTCACAGCACTGTACTATAATATCAGAAAACAAAAAGCAGTGCATTCCACAAACATTTGAAATAGTCAGCCAAGAGGAAATAGAATCCATCCAAAAATAGTCTGACCTCTACAGCTACCATGGTTTAAGATAACTGATATATTATTAGGTCAGCGCTCCCCAAACTGGATTTCAGGATGGCAACATTGTTTATTCTAGGAAAAAAAATTTAACACAACAATAACTCTGAGACACTAAGGCACTAAACTTAAGTATAATACATATTTTTTAAAGGTTTGCTATTTCATTAAATAATCACCTAGTTTATCATGCGAATATAAATACTATATTTTCAAAATCTGACTTTCAATCACCACTTTCAAAATGCAAGGACAACAGTAAGACACTTCATAACATATATGAATATGCATTATGCATATATCAGCCACTTAATTAAGGACACCTACCTTGTATCTACCCTATTTGTCATTTTTATCAGGTTCACTTGCCATATAGGTGAATTCAGTTCTATAATTATAGAATGCAGTCCATCTGTTTCTCTGCATAATTTGTTAGCCCCCTTTTTTACCCTGTACTTCAATGGTCAGGACCCTCTCAGGGCCACCACAGCGCAGGTATTATTTGGGTGGGGGACCACTCTTAGCACTGCAGTGATGCTGAAGTGGTGGTGGTATGTTAGTGTGTGCTGTGCTAGTATGAGTGGAACCAAATAAAGCAGCGTTGCTGGAGTGCTGAGAATGATCCACTGCCCAAATAATACCTGCTCTGTCGTGGTCCTGTAGGCGTCCTGACCACTGAAGAACAGAGTAAAAGGGTGCTAACAAAGAGAAACAGATGGACTACAGTCTGTAACCGTAGATCTACAAAGTGGACCTACATGGTAAGCGGACCTGAAAAAAATGGAGAATAAGATACAAATTAGGTGTACTTAATAAACTGGCCAGTTGGTGTACATTATATTTAAATACTTACAAAGAAATTTTTTTTTGCTCTGTACAAAACGTTTACCAGATTGGCTTCACTCTCAATGTGAAGCAACAACTATAGGATGTAGTCATTCTATATATGTTTGAGTTATATAAGGAAAGAGTCATAGCAGAACCTCAGCAAGCAAACAAACATTTAATGACATTTCTAAGCAAAGGTCCCCAGCAAAACCTGAAAGGTGAAGAAGCTGTTAGAAATTCTGTATTAGGTAACTATAAAGTACACAATGCAGGCTTCATCATAAACAATAGCTGTGAAAGAGAATGATCTATTCATTCTAAATAGATCATGTTACTTTTAATCGGTTCACTCCAACAAACATTTTGTCTTGCAGATCATGAATAACAGAGACAGCCTTTGCATATTCTGAACAAATTTGTCTGTTTAATTTAGGGCTGATCTCTGAAAGTAGGAGTATTAAATAATTCAGAACAAACTACAATCCATGCCAAGTATAGAATGTAAAGCCAATGTTAATAGCTATTTGCTCCAATGTACACTTCTATTTTTCTAAAGATAATCAAATATTAACACTTGAAAGTACACTTATATTGTCCACACTGACCTGAGATCCCATCCCTGCTGGAGAATGTGCAATAGATCCACTTTAGGTTTGCTGACCCTAACTAGAAAGTGTTTTTCAGTTTGGACATTCTCTGTTGGGGTGGGCTGAGAGTCTGTGTGCGAAGTTGTGTGTTCTTGGTTTTCCTGTGGCCTTTGCTCCTCTCCCTCATCTCCTTCTTCATTCTCACTGCTGTGAGGAGAAGACGGTGAGAGTTGTCGACCTGAAGACAGAGGTGTGTCTGAGTTAGTAGAACAATGCTGTTTCCATTTCTTTGATTGCTGGTTCAATGTTTTATGCAAAAAAGCAGAAATTTTTACCTGCTTTCTTCCTTCTAGTAGTGGTAGAGCCAGCTATATGCTTTTGTCTACGTCTTCGGGCCTCCAGAGAAAGCAATTTCCTCTCATACTGGACTTCGTGACAGGTTTTAAGTGACTCAACCTCCAAAAGCATATTACCTTTCAACTTATTCCTAAGGAATAAACAGATATACCAAGTGTAAATACTGCACATTCTGTACCAATAAACAGGTCCTTTCTACATAGGAACAAAATAATAGGTTCCACTATGTCAAATAACTCAAAACATACGTCTTAAACACAATGTCAATGAGCCATACCTTCTCCTCCAATGAGTAGAACAGAGTAAATCTAGACAACTCTCGCATAACATGACTAATTTGATGCTTAGGGCATCACAAGATAAATAGTGATTAAAACTAGCCAGAACCTCCTTTTAGAAATAACATTTTAGATGTGCAGTTTAGTGTGCCAACCTTGCTTGTGAGGTCACAGATGTTTTTCCTGACCTGAGGAACAAAGAGCAGTTTAAACATTTTAGGGAAAAAAACATGCAGTTCTGGATAAACTACTCTAAAAAACAGGTGTAGATAAGACACATAATGTCCACACATTCTTAAAAGCATTGGATGATCCAGTAGCTATGATTCACTGCTGTACGTTTTCTGGGAAACATTTTTATCAACCATTTTTAGTATCACATAGCTTTTTTATTAAATATTCTCAACTCTTCCAACATCTTTTTTTCCTATTTTGACACAAGACAACCCAAGCCACACTGCCACATAGACAGTCTGTTCATTCTGGAAAAGCTAACACTCTACTAGTAGTGTACATATATTGTTACCCCCACCTATCAATCTCTAGACAAAATATCAACTAAAAACCTAAAATACAGACCACGTTTCCCTCAAAAACATTCCCAACCGCAGTGGAAAAGCTCACCTTCCATGGAAAAGTTTATTAGCCAACATGGAGTTCATAGATGTCTTGTATTCCAGATAACCACTGAGACAGGGACAAATGCAGAGAGAAAGAACATTATTACATAACCAATTTCACCCAAAATCTCCTAGCAGCTGCTTAGTACTGAGTGTGTTATAAATGACAAAATAGCAAACAAAATAAGAAAATAAAATCTTTACTCTTAACAAGCGGTGTAAAAAAGGTAAAGTGGAAAAAAATGACGAGATCTAAAAAGTATTTTATTCATGTTTATAAAGCAAGTTTCTTGTCAGTGTTTTTTTCCTCTGGCTTCCTCTAACCTGTAAAGTTCCCAAGTTTGTGGTGTGGGGAAAATGCGGATGAATCCACCTCTTCTCTCATGCTCCTCCTGTGTTCTCCTCAAAACTTTCAACTGGCCAAGAAAGGAGAAACATGACATTCAAGATCAAACTCAAAGTTAACAAAACACAAACACCTGGGACCATCTCTGTGGGTGCACAAAGATTCTTAAATGTAGCGTTACACATTAATATTGGTAGTCTTCATAACCTTAGAATGTACATTTTATTGATTCTGTAATTGTGCAAGGCCAGGAAAGTTGGCACAACAAAATCAGAGTTATCCGTAACTGAAGTAGCACAAGGAAAGTGCAATTATTCAATCATTTTACTGGACAGTACAAACAAAAAGCATGTTGTAAATGCACAGCTCTTGGTTGGATAAAATCAACGAACAGCTTTGCATTAATTGTAATGCTGTGTTCATGCATATTTGAATTCTCACAGTTATATGATTTACTATATTTCAAAAAGTTTATATATTTATCAGGGATTTAACAATCATGTTGCATTACTGTATTGTGACTAACACATTAGCTTGCGGCTAACATGTTAACATACTAGCTTGTGGCTAAAGTATTAAATTGGTACACTATAAAGCACAGCTTTTGCCTAAATATTGAACTTTTCTGCACACTGCTAAATGCTCTAATAAACTGAAAAGATGCTCTAATAAACTGCTCTAATAAACTGAAAAGACACATTTTTAGCCTCTTTTTATTTATTTATATGTATATATATATATATATATATATATGTATAAATTAAAATTTACATTCAAGACATTCTATTTTAGGAATGCTAATAATCAGAGATTTACCAATAACTGTATTTACTGTTTTATATATAATAATATGATAATAATATGGCAAATAAAAAATGATGGTTAAGAAGACACTAATTAATCAATTAATTAATTAATCTTACTAAAGGATGTGTCTATGCTTATATGAAGAAAAAGCGCAAGTGCCCTTTGTCCTTGTGACATTCAGAAGCAATAGTGTGGGCCATTGCAACTGCCTGACAAAGGTTCATACTTAGTGAAACTGCCTACAACAGTGAAACTGTTTTACTGGCTAATGAAATCAATAGGTTTGTCTGTTTATTTGTACTTTTTTATTTAGTTTATACCTCCTCTGCTGTCAAGCCCAGTGTGTCCACCTGCTTGACCTCCTGTTTCTCTTTCTGCTCTTCAGCATCAGTGTTGGTAGCAGACTGAGGTCTCTGACACTGGAAAAGAAAAAGAGAGCAGTACATTCACTTACTCTGTTTGCACAACACTACCTCAACTTAACTCAAACATTTTTATTAGACTGTACTCTAAGAAGCCAGTATGTTTCACCACTATTACAGTGTCTGTATTATTGGTTTGTCACAAAACACTTTGCTATACTTCATGATATACTGCATGAAAGTGCATAATAATGTTTAGCCATTGTTTAATATTTGCTAATTATTTTAGAATTCTTAAATGCAACACAGTGTCCAAAAAACCATCTAACATGAGACCATATGGATTGGATTAACAGTGAGCTCATGATCAAATGTCTTTTTTATTTTTTTAGAAATATATACTCAATAAATTCCATACAGACTCAGGGTCCTGGACAAATGATCCATAAATGGCTGTATGGAGGCTTGGAATAAGATTTTCCTACCAGGATAGATTTAACAAATTGACAGATGGAGGAATTGTAACTTTTTAAAATATTGATTATGATTTAAAGTTTACATTTACAAAACTGCTGCTGCATAAATGTCATAACCACAAACATACTATTTCAGGAAAGCTAAGTAAAGGTTTATATACACAGACAAAAGTAAACAAGAAAGGAATCCTCACTGCAATCCCCTTCTTGGTTGCTTAAATAAATGTCACGTTCCATCTCCTTTGGCATTCTTGCCTGGCATTTTTCCCTGCCCTCCCCTGCTAATGGCAAGTGTTGCCACAGGAGATTGACAGTTTTGACTAGACTTTTGACTGTGTGCCAGGAACCATCATCTGACCCCCGAGGATCATTGGCTGCATTTGTCATCTTAAATAACATGGGGATTACATTTAATTTGTCTGACTGGTGCCGGGCTATCATAGCAGCCAAAGACTGAGTTGTAATCCCCTGAAATAATCTTGCACAGGGCCTCTAATCAAAGAATCAGCAGGCAAAGGCAAGTTAAAAACAGATCCAGAGACTACAGTGTCTTTTTTAATTCAAAATCTACACCAAGATAAAGGTAGTTTCCACCATACCCTCTAAACATGCATGAGAGCATGAAAAGAGTAACATCTACAGCTCACTCTAAGTGACATATTTAATGGTCAAGGATTACAAGTGCTTTGATTTGTATTTAGAAGCTCTACATAGAAAAAGACACAATGATACTGTTACTTCATACAGACATTTGTTCAGAATCAGGTTTCAATTCTGTGAAATATACAGCCACTGAGTGAAGGAAATATACTTCATTAGTTCTCAGACTGCAAGAGAAACAACATCTAAAGTTACTAACTTACTGGACAGATTATAATTGTAGATACTATGCAAAGCATTGATTTTAGAAACAGGTAGATACAGGTAGCTTTTCACAAAGTTAATTATTTCTCTAAGCAGTGCAACTTGGGTGCCATGCTTTCCCAGTAGTGCTGAGATTCCAGACACAACTTAATTAAATATGGAATATGGAATGATGGGCCCAGTCCCAGTTGGAGGGTCCCTATTTCATGTCTACAATAAAGAGTAGGGTTGCTAATCGACTTGTCATGGGAAAAAAAAGTCAACTTGTATGAGGAACACTAAGAAGATTGCGGGTCCTTATGCATGACTGCGTGACATGAAGTACTTTAATGGGAAAATTCAGACAATCAAATCTTACAGTAATTCAGTCTTGTAAAAAATTCCATTACATTAACCATGACTAGTCATGCAGCGTCAGCTAGCGGAACATTAACTAGTGTTATATGACTAGATTAGTTGGTGCACTGTAGACATGCCACTGACACAATGCAGATAGAATCATGTTTTTTAATGTTTTTTTTATGTTTTGTTTTTGTCTTTTTTTTCCTCGATTGGGAGCTACCATCAAAAGCTTTTTGAAGACACTTCAATCTTCTTTCTTAAAAAAAAACTTAGATGTGCAACTCAAGTCTTCAAAATACTTCTTTAGTCTGGGTTGCGCGGTCATCTAGTCTAGCTTTAATTTGGATTTGCCCGGTCTCTTTCAGTGTTTTCCAGTGTTTTTACACAATCAGGGCAAATATACTTATTATCAATATAAGGCCAGAATGTTTATATTGCTACATCCCTCCACTTTGTATTTAGTAGGAGAACGGCATCAATAAAATGCCTAAATATAATTAGAACTGGAATTAGCGCCTATGTGTTTGTCAAGTTTTCTGATCATACATAATGCTTCATGCAACCATGGTTTACACAAAAATCACTACAGGACTTTTCATGGTAGTAAGGCTATTACTACATTTTAGCCTCACCACAACTGAGCTCCACAATATACAAAGATAATTTTCTTTTATGCTACTTCAATCATTGACCACCAAAACAAGATTAAATATCAAAGCAAATTTATTTCCGCTAATAAAATATAAATTGCAGCTGATAAACGCCACTTTTAGCACTCTCTTACCAATGGTAGGCCATGATGAGGAAGCACAGAGGAGAGAGAAAAGAGAATGACATTCCATTAGTCTATTATTTTTATGTTAAAAGGAGGCAAACTTACCATTTTGGATTTGGCAGACTGCACAGAGGAAGGCCGCTGAGACAGCAAGCAATGAGACAAACATTATCATAGCAAGGATGAAAACTGCACTAAAATGTCAGCTATTACTCTCATTTGCCTACCACAGTAGTTATAGGCTAGACATTCCAAGATATGAACAAGAAGCACAAATGAAAAATTATACAGCATTATCAATGACGCAATGCTGACCTACAGTGGTCTCCACAACAAACACACACAGACATCTACAAACATTACTCCTGCCAGCTCTGTAACAGTAACCCTATCTGGGCTGCTTCCTTGGATCTGAGGTGAAGTAGAAAAATGTCTGATCTAAAATTGAGTTAGTTGTACACTTCTGTTTGTGTGACAGGAGAATATGAACTGCATGAACCACAGCAACATAATGCAGCAAAAAACAAGCTACTCACTCACAAGATTAAATTATTTTATAACACTAGGGCGGTTAAAGTTAACACGTTAACACAATAAATGATTAATAGTATTTTTGTTTTTAAACTCCATTAACATTACATTTTCCTAGTTTGACCCTTTGAACCATCTTCAGTTGCGTAGCTGCTTACAGTATGTTGCTTTGCTTCAATCATCTATTGTAGGCCTCTCATTCAAATACAGCATTTAAATGGCTCTTAAAGCAACACTTTCAGCACCTTTGGTAGATTGGAAGATGTGGAAGAAACCACAAGCTGTTTGAACGAGAACAGGCCCACAATTGCTGACAAATCGAAGTCATTGACTGATACGACATAGGGTAATTTGGTGGAGGAAGCCACTCCTTTTTTTCTTTCCTGGTGAAATGATGGGGCCAAATCTAATCGTGATACACTTACTAAATGGCTATGGCCTAACTAATTAAGCAATTACATCTGGTTCAGTGCATTCCTGGGATTTATCACCTTGAACATTTTGGGCTCATTTGAATTGGATTATAGTGATCTGTGTATTTAATACACAATTCTGTCGTGGTTAATTTGAGATTATTTTTGTCTACTCGTTTAGCTATAACAATTTATGCTGCTTTTAGAGTAAAATAGTGAAAAGGCAAACACTATCATACAAATCATAAGAAAAATCTTTATTAATTATTTTAATCATTTGACAGCCCCATATAATACATATATTACTGTCCATTAACCTTAGAACCCTATGGAAAAATTCTAAAAGTAAAAGCAAGCTGGAGCATGCAAGAATGACAGTTTGATAAATATAAAATGCTATTTGGCATGACGCTAATGTGAAAAAAGCTTCATTTCGTACAGATTAAACTACATTTTTCCATATTTAATAACCAAGCAATGCTTCACAAAGTTCTTGACAGCAATCACTGCAAGCCATCAGCACTGTGAATTTGTAAGTGAGGTAGAGTGCTGGAAAAGGCTTTGACTAGGAAAACTAGAAAGTTTAGCTATCAATCACAGCACATACCTGAGTTTTTTGGGTCTGGTTCTTCACACTGGGGTCAAGCCCAGCTTTATCTGACCGCATCTGTTTCAGTCCTGGGTCTTGACATACGAACCCTGGAGGCAGAAAACATTTAATGTTTATTAAATGCATGGTTTAAGAAAAACAACATATTTAATCCTGTCATAGCTTTGACAAAATATTATTCTATAAGACATCATAAATAAATAAGGTGCTAAGAGTGTTAAATACAATCTCTAAAGTAATCCCTAAATCCATCCAAAACTATGACACAAAGCATAATCATTCTACTCAGCTGACATGTAATCCCCTGGAGATTTCTGCACTCCTGAATCCAAGCTGTCAGTCTGTGATGCATACATGTCTACATGCAGCAATTATTCAAAACATAGCAGGCTAACCCAAACCTGACAGTCCTACAAGAAAAATGCAAGCACTGATGCTATTGGCCATACTGTCGCTATTTACAAGACTGGGTCACAGCCCAGCACTATCAGGGTTTGTTTGGAGAAAAATGGATGGGGTATGTTTAACAAACGTACACCCACTCCCTCCATCATCCCACCCCCTGGCGCCACTAATGCATCCATCCAACAAAAACTAGCAATTTATGAGCACCCCATCTCCCCTAATGTGTCCTGGGGGCAATAAACTGGAACCATGAGCTGACAACTGCACAGAACAGCCATTACTATGCATCACTCTCCTGGCATCAAAAGAATCAGCCACAAAAGACAACTCTAGACCTTTTGTTGTTATATAACCAAAAAGAAAAAAATAAGCTACAGGCATACCTATCGTGTTAACTCTAACTGCTAAACAAGTTAAGCTAAATAAGAAACGCAAAATGCAACTTCACCAGAGCCATAACACTCATGACTATAAGCAAGCTAATTTCATCCTCCATTGAAATCAGCAGGCTAAGGTGCATAGCTATGGGCAATTTATGACAAGCCTAAAAAATGTTAGGCAATGTTTAATGCCCTCTAGTAGAGAGGCAAGCATATTAATGTTTTCAAACTGGTGAAAATCAGTTTTGTAAACAATACGTAACTCAGCCCTTAGCATTAAATATTGCTATCTACATGCCTAAGATTACTTTGAATTAATTACGAAGCATATAGCGATTCTTCAGCCAAACCACAAGAGCTTAATGATAAGAAAATGTGCTCTACTGTTAACAAATCTAAAGTAATCTAATGCTAATGAATAATGCCTGTGGTTTTCTCTTGAAACCATTTAGGTCACTTGTGAAGCTCTCTATCGACCCCACAGACAAGATTAAATGAATATGGGATTATTTTCAAGACTGAAACAATGCTCGCTTGGTTCATAACTGAACAACAGCAGCAGGCGACAGAATGTTCAGATAGTGGTTTTGTGCCCTTCTGCAATATGGACTGAGTGAAGGGAGAAACTCTACAAACAAGAGACACCCAAAACAAACACAAATGAAAAGAGGCCTACTTTGGGCTAAATATTGTGGATGGAAGGAGGGCATAGAAAGTTTCCACAGTGCACTGCACTCCTTCACTATTTCCTATCGCCTTTTTACAGGTGCGAAAAACAGAGAAAGCTTACTGAGCATAGTTTTAAACATGCTAACACTCTGACACTGATGTGTGCCTTTGCTAATACTCTTCAGTACATGGTACACAAAGAGATACAAGTAGTATGGATGGTGTAGAATAGTGAAGAAGGAGTTTTTAAGAGTGAGTAGAAAGTTGTATAGACAAAGAACTCACCCACAAGTGAGAACATATCTGAGATCATGCTGGCCTTTATCTTCAGATCAAGAGGAGCATCACTAGAAGTATCAAATACAAATAATACGAAAGTGAAAATGCACAGTTCAAATAAACTGTTTAGACCATTAAATCTATTTAAACGTATCAGAAATGCTAATATTTTTCCCATTTCCCTATTCAGGTATTGGTTGCAGTGAATTCTTGTTTTGATCACTGCCACATTCTTTTAAGTGGAGTGTGTCACACTAAAGGCTATGTTATCATGTGTGCAATCAGCTGTCTTATTTTCTCCCCTCTGGGCCAAACAGTGGCTGATAAAAGAATGCAGGTTTATTGAGAAGTAATTCATTATCTAGGATTGTAGCAGCTGCCTCGAATAGCTATGCTCTTGTGTTCCTCATTTCACACAGACAAAATTTCTAAGCCATGTCATTTAACACTAAAAAAATAAAACAGTGCTTCAGAGGTCATAGTTAATTTTTATTATTATTATTTTTGTTAGTCTCATATTGTTACCATTACATCATAGCATGACTGCCTGTTTATGTTCCAGCACGTGATCTTAGATCTGCAGATACTGTAAAATACAGAAAACATGTGGAGGCAGCTTTCAGTTATTATGCTTCTAAACTAAGGAACTTTTATAAGACAGTCAAGCTCAGTGCACACTTTCAAGAAACATTTAAAAACATCTCTTTTGTCATTTAATTAAAACTCTACATCTCTTGGTATTTATCTTTTACAACCCCATTTTCAAAAAAGTTGGGACAGTATGAAAAATGTAAATATAAACAAAATGCAATGATGTGCAAATCATTTAAACCTTATAATTAATTGAAAACGCTTCAAAGACAACATATCAAATGTTGAAACTGAGAAATTTTATTGTTTTTCGAAAAATATTTGCCCATTTTGAATTTGATGCCAGCAACACGTTCCAAAAAAGCTGGGATGGGGGCAATAAAAGGCTGGTTAATTTGTGTAATGCTCAAAAAAAACACCTGGTGGTTAATTGGCAACAGGTCAATAACATGATTGGGTATAAACAGAGCATCCCAGAGAGGCTGAGTCTGTCAGAAGTAAAGGAGGGGTTCACCACTCTGTGAAAGACTGCACAAGCAAATAGTGCAACAATTCAAGAATAACGTTTCTCAACATAAAATAAAGAACTTTTGCTTTTCATCATCTACAGTACATAATAACATTCAAAGATTCAGAGAATCTGGAGAAATCTCTGTATGTAAGGGACAAGGCCGAAAACCAGTATTTGCTGGCCGTGATCTTTGGGCCTTCAGGCGGCACTGCATTAAAAACGGACATGATTCTGCAGTGGAAATCACTGCATGGGCTCAGAAACACTTCTGAAAAAAACTGTCTATGAAAACAGTTTGTCAATGCATCCACAAATGCTAATTAAACTCTTAAACGCAAAGAAGAAAGCACACACAAACAGGATCCAGGAATGCTGCCACCTTTTCTGGGCCCAAGCTCATTTAAAATGGACTGAGGGGAAGTGGAAAAGTGTCCTGTGGACCGACAAATCAACATTTGAATTGAACTCACAGATGTGCCAGTCACCGATGCCATGTGCACTAATGCTCCTCTATACCATCATGAATACTGGCACAGTTCAAAAGCCAGCATTCATGATGGTATAGAGGATCATTAGTGCACATGGCATCGGTGACTGGCACATCGGTGAAGGCACCATTAATGCTGAATGATATATACATGTTTTGGCAGCATATGCTGCCATCCAGATGACGTCTTTTTCAGGGAAAGCCTCACTTATTTCAGCAAGACAATGTCAAACCACATTCTGCATGTATTATAACAGCATTGCTCTGTATTAAAAGAGTCCAGGTGCTAAACTGGCCTGCTTGCAGTCCAGACCTGTCACCACTGATAACGTGGTTTTTTTGGAACATGCTGTTGGCATCAAATTCAAAATGGGTATATATTTTACAAAAAACAATAAAATTTCTCAGTTTCCACATTTGATTTGTTGTCTTTGTACTATTTTTAATGAAATATAGGGTTTAAATGATCTGCACATCATTGAATTTTGTTTTTATTTACATTTTGCACAGTGTCCCAACTTTTTTCAAAATTTTAAATCAAATAAGCGTTGGGGTAAGGGGTTGTAATATGATCTGTCATTTTCTTATTTGATTTAAAATTACTCATAAGTCAAATTAATATTAAATTACTCATACCAAATGAGCCAATTTCATTACTTGTAAATGTGTAAGAGTTTTATCCCAAATGGCTACGACATTGGCTAGAACTGAAATACTAACACTGTTAAAAAGAGTCAATGTTTAAGCAGAAGGAAACAACTTATCTTAAAGGACAGTGCACAATTTAAGAACAAGCACACAGACAATTTTAGGCCCATTAGAAAGCTGAAACTGAGATAAATGAATATTACACAGCATCTAGTTGAAACCTTTCCATGGCAAATGTTAAATGGGCACTTCAGGGTAATGGTACAAATTACACATTTAAGTGATGTTTTACTGCACTGGAAAAGAAGGACAAGGTTGTTTTACAAGAAGCAGATGACATAAAAGCTTAAATATAGCTGAACAAAAAAATATTGACACTAAAATTGAAAATGTAGTAAAATGTACCATTTACATTTATATGTCACAGAAGCTTGGGCTATTTTAAGAATCACTGTACAACATGTTTATAGGCATGTTTACAGTATGCTTACAGGCAGAGTAGTGTTTGAGGGAAAACCCTTAACTCGTTTAAGACTTCATTAGGAATTTCTTTTTCCATATGCCAAACCAGCATGAAGGCTGTCTTTGAGTCAGTGTTTTTAACAAACTGTGAAAAGCACATGGGTGGCTCTAACCCACTTATGTGTTCACCTATCTGTTTTTTCAGTTAGACACACCCAGCACTTGCCACACAAAAGGATGCCTAATAAATGTCAGTTACGAAGAGAGACTTTTATGAAGTTGTTCATATTTAATGTGTGATACTGCCGGCCGTCTAGAATTCAATGGACCTTGAAAGTACTATGTGTTATCATGTGAAAATACAGGTAAAAGGTCATGATGAATTATTACTTCTGAAGCTCTAGTTTAAGCGCATACACCTGGCAAGATCCCTTTGAGAAAAGCAGCTCAGGACATTTTTTAGGACATTTTTGGACATGCACTGTTCCTCTAATAGAAATGTAAGTTAGTTATTTAGGATGGACAAGCTTGTATGTTTGCTTGCGCTATAATGAAAAATATAAAATAATAACTTGAAGAAAAAAATAGAAAACATAAAAAATCTAAGGTCTAAGACTCAGGTCTTCAAAATGAGCACAGTATGGCGGAGAACCAAAAATCTTGAAATGTTAATGCACGATCATCTACATACACAATAATAAACTGCAGGCACACTAAAATCAGTAAGCTAAAATAAAAAAGAATTCAAGGTCATGAAAACAATGCAAGTTCAAAATCAGTCAGCTACCTAAAAACACAATAAAATGAAAAAACTAATGATATAGAAGTATGAGCTCAGAATGTCAAAACTGATATGTCACTCACCACGCCAAAGATGGCGAGAGGTTCACTTCCAGAAGCCATGGCTTGAGGTTGGAATCAATGAGAACATCAAAACCATACAGTTCTGAAAACAGAAACACAGAGACACACACACACACACACACACACACACACACACAGTTATGGAAATCACTTCAGTGGACAGGAAAGAAAGTAGCTCTTCAAGCTCCCTTACCCAGTGAAGGCCAGTGCCATGGAAGAGGCCTGATCTTTGGCTATACAAGCAGCCTGTTGACAACACGCTTGCTGTCTGCTCCTGATTATACACATATTAAATGTCCAATCATTTGAAGAAAACTTCCATCAAAGAACAGCTACTGAGAAGAGCATGGATTAAATTCAGTATACTCAACATTTCAACTTAATGGGAAAGATTAAACACAGACCAGAGTAAAAAACATTTACAGATGCCCTCATGAACTCAATAAAATTTTATTAGAATATTTTCAAGACAAATACGGTCCAAATTTCAAGCCAAAATGTGTATGGATAGAAGATAAATCTAAAATAGCAGGAGTGTGCCATCCAAGGACTTATTTAAAGAAGCAGCTGTTCTGAGAATTAAAGAATTTTTTTATATAAAATTAACTACAGGATGTCTTAAAATATCCTTAATTATTTAAGTGCATCCAGCTATACTTCATATACAACACAATATGTGCCCAGCCTGAGTTCAATTACAAGGCCAATTGTTACCACAGACTAATCACTTAATATTGTTTTATTTTTTGTTCTTCTTATTGCCAAAAATGTTGTTGTTGTTTGATGACATGTCTGGTTCAAACAATATAGGACTGTACTGAATTGTTCATTGTTTGCATCCATTAACGTGTCTCTTTAAGTGACTATTTGAACTAGCCCCTCAGTCTTTGGGGTAGGCTGTAACTTTTACTCTCATGTCTCTTTCGGCTGAATTGTTTACAAATGACAGGCACTTGAAATAAAGCTGACATCTCCATTTGTAACAGTGATGTGTATACCGCCTATATAAACTATTTTAATTATTTAGCAAAAAAACTAAATGTGTTACATAAGCTTCCACTTTTCTTGTAACGGGTTTTGGCAAGCCAGCTTAGAGTATGTTTACAAATACTTTAAGCACTGACCAAAGAGAAACTATACTAGCCACAGAAGAAAAATTACATTGGGAAATATAGACAAACACTACTCATGCAAGGCTGAATGATGTGGAGAAAAATATAAAAATATAATTGTGATTTTTCAGACCAATATTGTGATATAAATTGTGATTCTTTTCTATAAATTACACCCTAGGCCTGTTTTTTGGCCAAGAAGACCAGTATGTCCACTTTTTCTGGCTTCAGGCTAAAACGCTGAACCTAGGGTGCCAGATAGCTAGTTAGTGAGGCTGCGTTGTGGGTGTGTTGTTGCGTCTGATTGGCCTCATCTACAGGCAGTTCACAAGCTCTGTGCTATTAGTAAAAAATCTCCAATTAAAATTTGAAGGCTATAATTAAAATCACAGCTCAAAGCAAAGACAAAAACAATTTCTCTCTCAGTTCTACTCCTATATCAGAATATAGTTGAGATTGAAATTAACACTCAAATGACTGCATTTGACTGATTAAATTCACATATTTAAACATCCTTTACAGCAAGTTGAATATACCTCGGCCCCACTCTCTGCGGATACCACTTCAAGAAAAAGCTAGAAAAGTATTTTCCCAAGTGTGAAAAGGCTCCTGGCAATTTCACAGTCTCTGCAATATTTATCCCTATCTTAAGCCTCTCAGGCAAAGAACTCTGTACAATAAAGCCCTTTTACCGAACAGAGAGGGATTTCCCTGTGCTCAAACGAGCCCATTCTGCTCTCTCTACTCTGAACTCTCGCACAGCTTTAGAGTTTTGCTATTACGGCGAGAGAGTGTCTTTTTTGTGTATATGTGTCTTTGGCTGGACGATCTGATTTCACTGCCATGCTCTCACACTACTGGATAAACATAAAGAGGGTGGTCAGCCAGAGTGCAGCAGCAATGTAATATTCATCAGTTCAAATTCAGTTACTCCTTAAATTGGATGGTGATGGGAGGAATAATCTAATTATATCATAGGGTGTGTGTCAAACTAAGCTCACTTTAAAAATGCAGAACTGAGTAGACTTCCATGTAAGTACTAAGACTAGTGCAAATAAATATCTGAAGTTAATGTTACAGAACAAACAGCTTAACTAAACAACATTGCTTGCATTAACCAGTGCCTTCAAATAATGCACAGTGTGGATTTCCTAAATCAAGCAGTAGATGTTCAGCTCTACAACAGGCATCACTAAAGTTAGTCTTCTACTAAAAAAAGCTAATAAGAATACAACATCTGAATTACTTCATCTTTCATTAAGCACTGAATCTTGCAGGCATTGGATTCCATCCGTATTTATTTTGCAAACAGTAAAGCTATTCAGGACGGGTTGCTGAGGTCAGGTTTGCCTCCAGATTTTATGTAATACTGTGCCAAGGCCAGAAACATCAGAGGAATTACATCCTACAGTAGGTCCTGGCAAAGCGGTGCAATTTTGATTTTCTTACTTTCACCATGGTTTTCCTTCGCTTTCTAACAATTCAACAAACTCTCAGCACACACAAGAAAGATTCTACAAATAAATATTCTATATGGTCTCTACAGAAACCAAAAGACTAGCAAGATAAACAAACTATACAAGAAGATAAATGTGCACATAACCTTTTATGCTCTCTGAACAACCGCCCCCACACACAGACCTCATGCACCCTCCACACAAATTCACACACACGCTCCTCACCAAACTCTGCCAACCAAACTCCATGTGCTACACATTTTCCCCCAATTAGGAGCAGACGCCGGTCTTCCCCACTGCCTAAGCCCTCACAAGCAGAATCTCTCTCTCTGGCTCTTCAACATATACCAGGAGGCCCTATTAATGTGACCACAAAATATTCACAGTTAGGAAAATAAATAAATATCAACAAGAAAAGATCAAGAGCAAAGTGCTATTATGAGCTGCTGGGCACTGGAAGAGAGGGAAGGAGGACTGCACCCACAGCTCCAGCCCAAAACCAAACCCGCCGCCATGGCTGCACCACACACCAAGCCACAACAACAATAACAATGGTGTTATATATCAGTTCACTGCTTGTTGTGACATCTGACATTGTTGCATCACTCCATAACAAATCGTTTTCAAATCAGCTTTGGGTGACTTTTTATAAACAATTTAACAATGGGTGGAGGTGCTTGCATGAGGTCAGAGATGAAATATCAGCTCTGCTATGAAAGACTTCTTTCTCCTCTATAGCTTTACAACAGAAAAACTGTGCTGGCTGCTAGCGTCACTCTTGGCATGTCAAGGTGAAGCCTGCTGAGATGTATGTTCAGAATTCCCTAAAACTAACAACATCATCTGAGGTGCCTTTAACATGCCAGTGTTTCCCCTAGACGTTTTTCAGGCCCTGCTGTAGATCCTTCAAAGGTACCAATGTCATAGGTGTTGCCATGAAAGGCACACAGGCCTTTCACACACACACACAGTGGACCCACAGCACAAAATCATTATACAGTGAATATACTATACATGTCAATACACCGAGTTTTACGGTCATCTTCACATTTATTTTCAAGAAGTGCAACTGTGATTGACTGATTAGGAATTCATTTACATTCAGGTAAGTATCCAAAGGGTTACTGTGCAACTGAATGTATTATAATAAATACAGCCCAAAGTAGTAATGGTGTCTAGGAATAGCATTAATAGTTCCTAAAACTAACACTAAATGAAGTCTACAAGAAAACACAAATAGACATCTTTTTGATTATTAGCACTTGAAGAATGTTGACTGCTTATGCCTGCAATCATCCTGAAGGGCGAGCTTTCATTGGTTTCCTTGTCGATAAAACGACAAAGATGAAATGCCATGCTTAAGTTTCATTGTTTTTTAGAGTACAAAAAACCAATTTCAACATATTTCAAAAAGTTCTTATATTTAGTTATAAATATTTCAAGTATAGTACAGTTATTAGATAATAATTATTTTGGCCAAAAAATGAGCACATGCCACATAAAAAACTGAACACTATGAAAAGCCTTAGCCTGCCAGTAACATTCTATTGTCTGTATCTTATCCAGGCCTGGTGGCACATGAGTTTCAATGGTAGGAAAAACGCTGTATGCATAGGCAGTACTTTGCAAAAGGTAAGCACATTATTCAATACCATGTATCTTGGTAAGAAGTGTGTTTGCTTGTAACAAATACAGTAGTAACAAGAATGTTTTTTTTTTTTTTCAAAATAGTAGATATGTTGAGCAAGAATTCTCTGTGATGCTCCCAGCCATTGCATGTAATTTTTTAATTCCAACACCAGCACACTTGATATGACATAATGAGGTACTGCTTAGTCAAACAAGGAACTGGACGATAACCCAAGTAACACTGGGCTGCCACGAGATGTTTGAAAAAAGTTAAATGAACACACTGACTGGTGTAAAATCACTTCTTTTTCTAGTATTATTATTTGTTATTTTCTGAGCAAATAAACACTTACTGACCAGATAAATAGCTTTTTAAACATACTTTTCTCATGTGCCCAAAATTTTGCACCGTGCTGTGCATACTGAAATTGTCATCCCTTTAGAAAAAAATCTGTTTTCAGCCTACGGAACAACAGATGTAGTCATTCAGGTTCACATTACCATTTAATTGACAACTGCATAAGGACTGGAGTCCATGATTTTTCCCTAATTAACAAACTGCATTTTAGTACAAGAAGTTGTCATCACGCTCAGCCAAAATGTTTCTGGTTTTAATGCCTGGCTTTCTTTACTGTTATCATTAGTTGACAATGCTTTTCTTTCGCACATGGGTACATTGTGATGATTTCACATAATCTGCTCATTGCTTATAATGACCTGCTGCTTAAACAAAGCTTGAAAGCATGAGGCTCACCTCATATTTCAGCCAAGTCAGAGTAATTTCAAAGTGACTGTGGACCTGCACTGTTAACAATGGTCTCAACATAAACAGAAAACATTATGTAAAAATATTGACATAAAACAAAAACAGCCAATGGGTGCAA